AACACTCTGTCATGACCGAGAAACGCGTATTTCTGCTCCAGTTCGACCGTAATGGAGTACTGCGCACCACGGATGCTAATATCCAGGAGAGACCCGCCGACTTTGTTTACCTCATCCTTCTGGTCTCTTCCCCCGACTGCTCCGTTCTTGGATTCGACACCAGTATCTTCTGGAAGCGAACGAAACGCTACATGCGGACGCTCAACGAGGATGGGGAGTTCGTCGAATACGAGATCGTCGAGTCCCGCCCATTCTTCTATCGACGAACTGTTCGCGGCAGGGGCACGACTTGTTGGTGCGTCAAGGACTCTAGCGGTCGCTACCGCGTCATCAAGGACTCTTGGCAGTCTGAAGGACGCGATCCAGAGAAGGATTTGCTGCTGGAGGTCAAAGGACTCGAGGGCGTCGGTCAAATGATCGCCTGCGAGGAGCGCAATTTGACAATCTCGTATCTGAGGGGGATGGAGGGCCATCCCTTGCCAAATGGATTGGTCGACCGCCTGTTCCGTTGCATCATCCTCGAAGCGCATGGAAGGCAAATTGATCAGTTCGAGAACCGCAAGGAGCTGCTGTATGCTTTCCGAGATGCCGTTGCAGGTCAGACTTCAGGTCTGGCTGTTATTTCATCACTGACGTTCTATCCTCAGGCCACCGAAACATGTTCAACAAAAACATCATCCACCGCGATATCAGCACCAACAATATCTTGATCGGCGGAAGGAAAGCCAAAGCAGGTTGGAGAGGCGTGATCATTGACATGGATATGTCCGTTCACTGGGAGCGCGAGCAAACCATGGCCGAAGTCGACTTCAGAACCGTGAGCACCATCCGCCTTTGCAATGAAAGCACCTTTGACACATTTCGCTAATATTCCAGGGGACGAGAGCCTACCAATCTATCCTTGTAATATGCAGCGGGCAAGATAAGGCGAAAGGGCGTTTTGTCCTCCCTCACGACTACCTCGACGACCTCGAATCCTTCTTCTACGTCTTCGCGTGGGTCTGCATGCGCTATACTGCTGATGGGACGCCTCTGGAAGCTCCGCCCCTCGCAGGCTGGGAAGCCGATAACCTCCAAGCTGTGCTTGACGGCAAAAAGTCATTCCTTCTGGCTGAATCAATCGACCCTAAGCACGATGAAGTCATCGGAAATTTTGGCCCCGCATTCCAGAGGCTGTTTGACAATCTCCGCGAAGTGGTACGCGAAGCCTACACCTGGAAAGTGAAGCACCGGGAAGAGCTACCGCGAAAGCTTGACGAAATGAAAAGGCACTCAGAGAAGCACTACGGGCAGTTCCTGGAGGCACTTGACAGGGCGATTGTGGAGCTGGAAGAGGAAGAACAGCTGAAGAGGAGCACGCGACCACCGCAGGTTCCCACTGATACGCAAGACCCTACTGTGGCGCAGTTGTCTTCAGATCCATCTCCTCAAAGCCCTGTACCTGCATCCATACCTCCACGTGCATCTTCTCCCAGCCAACAATCGGAATCCCCTAGCCGCTTGAAGCAGAGCCGAGACGAACGAGATGTGGACGAAAACGAGACGCGGGTCGATAGCGAGGGAACCGCGCCCCCACCCCCGAAGAGGCCCCAGACGAGATCGCTGTCACCATTACCAGTACCAGGTCATTCAACAGAGGGCATTGTCGTGGCCAAGGCTGCTCCAGTCGCGAAGCGATCGACGAGGTCAAGAACTGGCTCAACTCAATCAGGAGAAGCAAATGTTCAAGAGGACGTGGCGCCACCAGCTCCGAGGCGGTCGACGAGGTCGAGGGCTGGGGCAACCACACCAACACATGCTCCTGCTGCTATCGCCACCTCGTCGAATGGAATTCGACCGAGGTCACGTAACAGTTCGACAAGCTCAGGAAGGAAACAGACGACCAGGAGAGAAGCGAAGGCGAAATCGGGAGGGTCTAGCGGTGCAAGAGTGAGGACGCAATCTTCTGGCGCATCAGGTCTCCGGCGCGGTCGTTCAGTGACCCGGAAGAGCAAAAGCTAGTAGGTGCACCTTCCGGCTGCATAGACAGATCTACTCGAGTACATATGTTTTCACTTTTCATTTTCGCTTTTTTCATATCCAATACTACGTTAATTTCTGTGTGACATTCTGGTGTGAAATAAGCCTTCATGGGCCATGCCAATTCCTCCGCAACAAGGTGTTCGGCTTTTGTAAGTATAATTTTCCGTCGAGAAACCGGTTTCGGTGATGACGATGTCACTCCCTAACGGGGCCTAACCATCACTATCGCCACCACTGACAGTCTCGCGACACTCACCGCCATCCTCTCCACACTGCCAGATAACATGCTCAGTAGAGACATTTCGGTGATGAATTCCTTATTAATGCGACTCCGACGAGAATCCGGGCAGTGCCCACCTCCTCTGGCTTGGCCGCCAGCGTGAACATAGCACCGCGAACCGCAATAATATCCACTCCAGAAACCCTATCCAATCCAAGCCGATGCCCTCGCTGCCTACAGCGCCGGTCTTGGAGCTTGTAAGCTCCCGACGCACAGACATTCCCAAAGCGTCTCCGCCTTTGTTTTGTGCATCGAGAGATCGAGCTCGAGGTGAGTGCCCTAGATGCTTTCGACGCTCCAAGTCATTGTTCTCAGATTTTCAGTAACTACGGCATACACAGTACACGATGCTTCGCGATGGACCAAAATTCATCACAAACCCCCAAACGGTTCGCATCCAAGTCTTAAATAATGATGCTTCGCGAAACCTTTATAAATGACACCCAAGTCTGAAACTGACATTCCACACACGCGTATCTCAGCACCATAGCCTCAACCCAGCAACCTTCAAACCGTTGGTCATATGGAAAATTCTTCGCCAAGATAGAACACACGTCCAACAGGAAACTCTTAACACCGTTCGGACGGTGACTTGCACAACAGCATACAGGAGGATCTGCTGGTGAATCGGATTGTTGTTGTTGTTATTAAGGTCGCGAAGATGAAGCAGAAGGCGTACATTCAGAGGTATGCTCCCTGTTTTTGAACGAGCCTCTTTAGATTTACAGACTTCGGTGTATGTAGGTCTCCCTTTGCCTCTTTGTTCGTGGGGCAATGCTCCAGAAATCCATCTCGTCAAATCGCCCGGTCGGGACTCCACAGAAGGCCGCACAGTTGGCAGGAGCAAGCTTTCAAATGCTCAAGCGCTCATTGCTCAAATTGTCCTTGAATTGAGTTAGCCTCAAACAGAGACGCGATCACGTGTCGTTTCACGCAGGGCCACATTCGCTGCCATTCAACTGGCCCGCATATGTAGCGCAATCAACTCAAACCTCAACCACTTCCTCCCATCCTCAATCTCTTGACCGATGGCCATCAATCCTGAAGCATACATCTCGTGGATTCAAGAAGCTCTAGACGAGGACTATTTCTCTACGGTAGTCAGGAAGAGGGTTCGGGACTCTGGGTTCTCCGATGCCCCGATTGCCAAATTTATCAAAGCTTGCAACCTCTACGATCACAGTACCAACCGGTGGAAAGAAATGAAGCCAGCGAGTGCGAAAGCCTCAGATCTCTCTGCGCAGTTTCTGAGGATATTCGAAGAGGTCCTCTCGGCTTTTGGCATAAGGGACCGAACGGTTATCGATACGCTTTCGGCGACCCCAGAGAATATCGACTCCAAGACAGTGCCAGAACTCTTCGTCCTCGGCGAAGGATTCAACTTTAGTGCCGAAGACATGAAGCCAAGTTCCAAAGTGGACTACATCTACTGCGCTTCGCCTTGCAAGGTCTCGACCAAGGCAAGCAGTGAGAGTGAAGACATTCTAGGCCAGGTGGCGAATTACGCTTGGTGCGTTGGATGATTTTGATAGTTTTAGCATCTGACACTGTTCATTTACTTAGGAAATGTTTTGCCGAGCAAGGGAACCGCTTCTACGTTTATTCTCTCGCCATGACGGAGGAGGAGGTGCTCCTTCTCCAGTACGACAGGAATGGGGTTCTGTGCATCAACGGCGTGAACATCCACGACAAACCCGAAGACTTTGTTCGCCTGATCCTTCTCGTCTGCTCTCCGGACTGCGCCACTCTCGGCTTTGACACTAGCGTCTATTGGAAAGGCAGCAACCGCTACATCAGAACCGCCGGCGAAGAAAATGAGCTAGTCGAATACGAGATTCTAGACTCCCGCCACTTCTTCTATCGCCGCGAGCTCTGTGGCCACGGCACCGTGTGCTGGCGTGTCAAGGACCCCGAAGGCAGATTGCGCATTATCAAGGACAATTGGTTGATCGAGGGGTGTGATGCGGAGAAGGATCTGTTGCTCAAACTCAAGGGTGTGGACGGTGTTGGCCAAATTATCGCCTACGAGGAACAGAAGTGGACTATTTCAATGTTGAGGGGAATGGAAGACCGTACCGAGGATGACGGACGGGCAGACCGCTTGTTCCGTCGCATTATACTTGAGGCGTACGGTAAATCGATTGACAAGTTCAAGGATCGCATGGAGCTTCTGTACGCTTTCCGAGACGCCGTCGCAGGTGAGGCGTTCGATTTATACGTTACTGAAGATAACGTAGAACTTTCCTCCAGGCCACCAGAACATGTGGAAGCAGAACATCATCCACCGCGACATCAGCGTTAACAACATCCTCATTGGCGGGGCAGATGAGCCAAAAGGCCGTCGAGGTATTTTGATCGACTTGGACCTTGCCGTTCAGTGGGAATACTGGGGGTCCATGCCTGCGGTGGATGTCAGAGTGGTATGAGCTGTTCTATCGATATATTTGATGCCACATTCATGAGACTTTGTCTGGATTCCAGGGTACGAGAGCTTTTAAATCGATCTTTGTCCTCCGGAGCGAGCTAGACAAGAAGGAAGGACGAATGCCGCTCGCGCACGACGACCTCGACGACCTCGAATCTTTCTTCTACGTGTTTTGCTCTATTTGCATGAGCCAAGACTTGCAACACACGAAAATCGAGTGTGAGGAGCTCCGAGCCTGGGAGGACAACAAACCTGTGAATGCGATGGCGAGAAAGCATCTATTCCTGCTGTCCTCTCCTTCCTGGCATTGCCTCATAAATGCGTTTTTCAACTTTGGAAGAGCCTTCCAAGAACTGTTCTACTCACTCCGGGATTGCCTGCGAAAATGGGTGGAATGGAAAGCTTTCCAGATGAGGAGATGGAAACGGGTGACTGACCTCGATGAGATACGTCGCTACTCTGATGAGCATTATGCCACGTTCTTGGGGCACATCGACGCAGCGATCAAGGAGGTGGAAGAACAAGAGCAAGGGTGGAAGCTGAACCCGCAGGAGTCCATCAGCAGTCCAGAAGAACGCCAATCCTCAACGCCGCCTCCTTTTGCTCCGTCTCTTCGTTCAGGTCAGCAACCAGAATCGTCCCGCGGCGTGAAACGCAAGCGCGGCCAGGTAGACGCGGCCAGAGATGATGTGAATATTACTGAAGATAGTACTCCTCCGGCACCGAAGAGGCCACGGACGAGATTGTGGGCGAACTTGCACCCGGAGACGACTCAGGCCGTTCCCTCTGGAGCACCCGCTAGGAGGCAATCTTCGAGATTGCAAACTGGTGCCAAGCAGCCGCAGGATGTGTCGCCTTTCACCAACGTCACCTCATCGACTTTGAATGGGCGACGAGCGGTGTCAGGAGCCAGTCAGACGGCAGCGAGGGGTTCAACTGCAAGGCGAGGCCAGAAGCAGTCGGGGAGTGCAAGAGAGACAACGAGGGCACAGCGCCGTCCTGAGGTGAAAGGCCACCATCGTCGTCGTTCGGCGACCAGCAAGAACTAAAAAGCAGGCTGGTCGCGACCGATATCGCGTAGCTGTCATGCGCACGATTGAGTAGTCTTCAACTTTTCTTTTGCATGAATTGTTTTTTTTTTTGAAGTGTTTTTATAGCCTGTCGGGTCCCTTTCGGGTTCCATAGCGGCTTCGTACAATTGGACTGCTACACTACGCTCTTGGCCCCCAGTGCCAATTTCCGCCGGTCCTCCCGTGGTTATCCCCAGCACCTCCCGAGGCGCCCCCCGGTCCGAAGGCCCAGCTGGGGCTCCGCCCTGCTGTTTTAGGGATCCACCACCTGCAAGACGGCTGAGGGTGTAGCACGTCTGTCATCTCTTGTCCTGGGTCTCCTGGTTCGTGTGTTGCCTTGTACGTACCCGACCGCCTCTGGGGCTGGTAGGCACAGTGAATCGAGTCGTTCTTAGTGTAGGCTCGCAGTATTACAGCTTGCAGTTTAATTGATGACTTGTTTTGGTATCGTTGGTCGAGTCAAAGTGTTGCGGGCTGAAAATGTGTGTTTGTGAGAATGAGGGTGTTTGGGTTTGGGTGAAGTTAGGTCGACTGCGAGTGACTGGGCCTAAATCTCGTTCTCATCATATGCATGAATTGTAAATATACATGGCGGGTATATTCTCGAAAACGACCTCATTTGAGATGTGATGTTCCGGAATCTATGGGCCCGAGGTGCTTAGTTGCTCCAGAACTAGAAAACTTCGTCTTCCTGGGGCTGACCACTGAAGAGTTGCGATTCTCATGCAGAATACTTCCACGACTTCCATTACGTATAATAAGAGAGATGTAGGACAAAACGCGTATTAGGTTCTTTTGGCATTATAAGTGCAGGAAGTGAGTAAATCCAACTGAAAAATGAATAGAGACATTAGATGAACGCAACGAACTAACGAAGAGAGTATAACCGCACCAATTCTATTTTCCTCTCTCACGCTGGAACCATCAAATCCCCCCATGTCCGCACAGCAATGATACCTCCAATAAACAGACCAACAGCGGAAGCGACGCTAATGTTTCCTGAGATCTTTTCAGGAGCATAGACTTCTGTACGAAGAAACCTGGAAGAACACGCCTTCGTTAGGCGTAGTCTCAAAAAATCGAACCTCTTGTGTATACCTTGAGAAAGCGGACTCGTTAGGGTCGTGAAGTGCTCGCTGTGCATGCGGCTGATGTGGGAGATAGGGTGGTTGGGCGGAGGGTGCTGAACGTCGGGCCATGGTAGAGGTAACAGGTAGAGGTGAACAGCGCGTCAGCGCCAGCAAAGGTCAGGATGCTTACATAAGTGTCCCAGGCTGTCACGGTCATTCCCGTTGAAGGCCCAGTGAACGTTTGAACCGTTGCTCGCTACTTTTATTCTTTTCCCTCAACTGTATCAAATCAAGCAGTTTCAGAGCACTGTGACCCGATTTCGAGTTCTCCAGAAGTTAAGTGCTGATCTCGGATGTCAGCATATCTGGATTTCGTCGTTTCTTTAACTTTCAAGTTCTCTGGGACGATTTAGATCGGTTTCTACAGAAGGTCATGAAGTAGACGTTTCTATCTCTCAAATTGCCTGGCTTCATCTCTCTGGATTCTTTCAACCTGAGCTGATACCTTAGGACTATGGCTACTCTCGCGGATGGATCGATGACGAAACAAGGTCTCACCAGGATGTCTAATATTGTCGATTTTCCGCCCCACCGACTCTTTCTGCGAGTTCCGGCTTGCTTACAAGAACAAAATCTCCACCACGCGCAGCAGCCAACTCTCGTCGGCCCCGGCCGCCCTGCGGCTTGTGAATAACGGCGGTTTGACGTCACTCCGAGCCTTCCGCGACCCAACTTTGCTGACCTGCACTGGGTCCTGGTCATTGTCCGAGGTCAGACAGTGCCATGCACCACCGACAAGCCACTCAAGACACTCCGGGTTCGTAATGTATGCGATGGACTCCAATCCCGCAGCCACGCATTGCCTATATATGCGGTGTTCTGTTTCTAAAGATTTACCTCCTCAGTTGTCCTCCTCTTCTTACCTTCCTCTCAGATTAGCCACCAATGCGTGCTCCATTTGCCTTGATCATATGCACGCTTTCGTTGGGATGGGCGAGTGCCAGTCCAACCTCGCCTGACTCCCAGGGCCCACAATTCTCGGATTGGGGAAATCTGGCGAACATCGCAATCCGACTGAATTCCAGCCAGCTGGGCCAGCAGCTGTTGGCAGACCTGTCGAGTGGCCAGAACTTTACTGTCTTCGCACCGACGGATGATGCTCGTACGTTTCTTCGCAACTACCTTTTCCAATCTGCGTCTTACGTTGTTTTACAGTCGAATCCTTCTCGTCTCGAGTATCGAGCAACGACACTTTTGCCAAAGTTCTCTCCTACCACATTCTCCCTGGCGACTTCCGCAACACGACTTCAACGAACTCCTCTGATGGAGGTGGAACGACCACCATGACTGCGACATCAACTTCGACCGAGTACTCTACGTCCTTTGACAGCAGCACAACCGACACCAGCTCCGCATCGCCGTCTGGCACTGCAGCATTGTTCGCGAGGCTCTTCGGAACTACTCGTCGTCGTCAGAATCCCAGCTCTACGCCACAAATCCTCAGCGGAATCTGGCCCAACGACACCGTCGGCCGTACGCTGCTCAATTCATCCGACCTCGTCTCGCTCGGGGCAACAAGTCGCAGGTCCTCGCATGGACGAGGAGCGGCGAGACAGGCAACGTCACGATCTTGAACCAAGCGTATGTTTCTTTCTTTGCCTAGTGCTGATACGTCAACACTGATTTAGTTTTGGCCGTCGCCGCAGGCAAAACATCACGATCGTCGACTCGTCGATCTTGCGCAATCTGTTCGTCAATCGGATTAACGGTGTCTTGATCCCGCCGGGCAACCTCTCTACCGCTTTGAGGGCTGTTAATGCCACGGCCGCGAGAGCCATCCTGTCGGTCGTACAAGTGCCTTCGACCGACGGTTACAACGTCACTGCGCTGAATGCTCTGGAAGGAGCGCGTGGAATTACGCTGTTCATCCCGAATAACCGAGCATTCACGGCCGAGATCAACCAGACGGTGCAAGGTCTGCAAGGTGTTAACCGGACGGCGCTCGCTGCTCTTATTCAAAACCACGTACGATCTATTCTCCTTTCTCCTTTCTCTTCTCCTCCCCATCTGTTCTCTCCGTTTTTCTCTTGTCTTTCTATCTCTGCTCACACCTACGCTTCTGCAGTATATCAATGGCACGACCTTGTACGCCCCGAACCTCGCTGCGACGACCGACGACGTCATCTCCGCTGCGGGCGAGCCATTCCAGTTCTCGACGAATGACACCGGTACATACGTCAACGTTGGGAACAGCTCCATCGCAAGGATCGTCCGGCCTGATGTGCTGCTGAAGAACGGAGTTGCGCACGTAATCGATAGGGTTTTGGCCTACACGGGTGGTAACCCGGACGCTGCTAGCTCTGCGTGAGTCTTCCTTGGTGACGTTTTATTTTTCGAGTGTGGGTTGTACTGATTGGGTTCTATCTGCTCAGGTATGATTCTGCGACCTCTGTGGCTACCTTCAGCACGACGGAGACTGCGCCCATTACGAACCCGTACGGTTTGCCGACTTCTACGACGACTGAAACGACTGAAACGACTACGCAACCAACAACGACCGACTCGTATTCGACAACTGATTTCACGACTCCGACGCCGACGTCAACTACTGTTGCTTCTACCACGGAGATGTTCACGACGATGTCAGGCTAGACCTTGGTTCCGGGTTTGAAATGCGTTCATGGTAACCATTTGAGTTCGACATAGACATTCGATATTTTACAGACATTTATCTCTTCCGTATCCACCAATTTCATGTATTTCTAGTGTATTTGATTTCTGCTCTTTCATAATCTATTCTACCTGCCCTGTGTCCTTCAGAGGTCTCATAAAACCCCATCCGGATTTACGTAGACCGATCTAATTATCTCTTTCTCGTGGCAGCAAGGGAAAGACCCTAAAATATCTTCCCGTGTTGCATTCGAGAATATAGAGACTTGGTGAAAATGTGGTGACGTTAGCTCGGACAGCATCTTGTCAACATTTGTCCAAGAAGCGTCGAAAGGGTAGTATTGCCGAATGGACACCTCGCGCAGCGAGGCAGAGTTAAGAGACTGAAGGAGATCTTGTACGAGGCTGGAATAAGGCCCGACGTCTGTGGCGTAGAGAACCATTATATCAATTTTCTCCAGAGACGTATTCCATTGCAAATTGGGTGCAACAACGGGGGTACTGTGTCCAGGAGCTACAAGGCAGGGAATTAGGTGTCTGCTTCTTGGCGTTTCACGAAAGAGAAACCTACGCGTAAATTCGCTTTGATAACCACACTTCCAGAGAAGGCGTCTGATGTTAGGACCTTGCAGCTTCAAGAAGTCGTTGACTTGGGATGTTTCGAAGCTGTCGACCTCAAGAGAAAGATCGGTGATGGAAGGCATCTCTTCGAGGGACACGACCCATTCCAGGATATGCTTCGTATATGCGGATATCTCGAGAGTTTTCAACGACCGAGGAAGGATCCGAATCGGCTGCTGTTCTCCGGTACCCATCGCCGGACCTTCCCATAGCGAGCGGAAATGAAGTTCCTTCAACCTCGGAAATGCGCACACCAGACCAGTAAGTTGGGTGAACGAGCGAAAGTCAAACGCGACCTCGAGCGAGGTGATGTTGCTGAAGCACTCCGCGAGCAACTTGACCGGGAAGTTGTTCGTCGCGCGGAAGAAGAGGCTGTCTCTCCCGATGTAGAGCTTCTTGACCTGCTCGAGGGGATTCAGGTAAGGGATGAGGAGCCGGATTTCGCGTGCGGTGGAAAGCAGGATTTTCAGGCTTGTGACGAGCGGGGCGATGGTGGACAGAGGTGAGCTGAAGAGGTCGGGAACTTCGTTGATGATAGAGTCGGCAAGACGCTGGTTAAGGTGGAGGTGGGAGAAGATGCGATATCTAGTTAGGGAAAGCCAAGTCTTGCAAACAAGTCCGCAGGTTGCGAGCGATTCACGGTCCTTTTCCAGGTGGTCGAAGAACGAAATGAGGAGTTCAACGGGTATATGCTGCTGACTCTGGGTGACGTGCATCCTTCCTCGCAGTTGCAGCGAGTGTCAGATAAAGATTCTCTAGACTGTCTGTCGACTTTTCATGTTAAACAATTCTCGATTGATATACGCCCTATACTTACCTTGAGTCATGGTGATTTCGGTGCCGTCTGCTTACACACAAAGTCGATGTCCACTGTGTCAAGCGAGTAGACCGCGCTTAGGCGGACGAGAGTTAATATATTCAAGTTAAGCGGATGGGAGAGCAGGTATAAAAAAGCAAAATACCGGTTCCCAAAATCCTTCAGCAGGTCCGGAGTAGGTCTCGTTGACGTCGTGGTATGGGGGCAAGTTCAATGTCGGCTATCACGTATCATCTCCCACGCCCCTGTTCGTCCGTTTGTGCGAAGCCACCATCTTTCAACCTCCTTCAACGTTCTCCACGTTCTTCATTCCACGACGCGAAACTCCCGCCAAATCTCCGCCCAATTGTTGTCGCGATTCTATTGCAAACCATGAAATATCTCTGCCAAATTGCTCAGAAACGTTCGGATCTGCACGTTCGGCCGCAACTTGACAAACCACCGAGGCCTAGTTGGCCGGCACAGCTGTTTTCTGTGCTGGTACCCGCTACGTCTAATTACAACGCAATAGGAACGCAATTTTGCCAAGGAAAATTTCCGTGGAGCTTATCGCACTCGGAAGCCTAACCGACCATGACCTTCCAACTTGTTGCGCAATCGCAACATTGGAGTACGCCATTTTCTCTTTCCAGTCGTAAAGTGAGTCCTCCTATTTCTCACAAAGTATCATCTGATCCATATACGTTATTTATGGGTATCAGATAAGGTATTCAGAGGGTGCAAGAATCGCGGGCCAGAACCTCCCAATCCGAGCGTCGTGATTGCATACCATATTGCTTCGGCATGGCGTTTCCTCCAACGTTGGAAATACGGACAATGGGCCTCATATAAATGAGCTGCGAGCCGTGGTGGAAATCTCACTGCCAGTACTCCCATTCTGACGAGAACCTCTACGTTCTTCTAAAACCGATATGGCTCCCTCCGTTGCTCAGCTCGAATCCGTCACTCCGACGGTTGACCCCATACAAGCTATCAAGGAAAACGTCAAAGTCCAGCCTAAGGCCGAATCGACCGAAGACAAGGTGAGCTTACTACAATTATCGATTTCAATTAGCAACTCATCTTCTCTTTCAAGGGACCATCCTACCCCTTCTACTATCCCTACTTCGACGTCAACGAAAAGTTCCCTCCTCTTGAGATTTTCGGTGAGATTTGTTCGATTTTCTTTCTCGGATTTCTCTCATCATGCACCAATAGAGCACGATGAGCCTGGCCTTCGTGCGGACCCCAAGAAACCACACCTGCTCACTCCCAACGTCACTACCACCGACATCAGCCCTTACATCGGCACAGAAGTCAAGGGCGTGCAGATCTCGCAGTTGAGCAAGGAGGGTCTCGACGAGCTAGCTCTCTTCGTTGCCGAGAGGAAGCTCGTCGTATTCCGCGACCAGGACTTCAAGGACCTTGGGGCGGACCGCCAGATTGATATTGCCAAGTACGTTTACTTCCTCTTGAGCCATGAATCAGAGTCCAATTTCTCTCTACCAGGCACTTCGGGCCCATTCAGAGACACCCAACGTCCGGCAACGTCAAGGGTTACCCCGAATTCCACGTCGTCTATCGTGATCCAAAGCACGACTTCTTCCGCGAGTACTCGGGTGCCAACCGCGCCAGCCACCTCCAATGGCACTCGGACGTCTCCTACGAGAAGCAGCCCCCTGGCACCACCTTCTTCTTTATCCTCGACCAGGTGCGAACCCCGTCCCTCGGCTCTGACTCATTCGCACATCCTGACCGACACTCGTCTTGCAGCCCGAAGTCGGTGGTGGCGACACCCTCTTCCTCTCGCAAGTCGAGGCCTACAAGCGCCTTTCTCCCGAGTTCCAAAAGCGCCTTGAAGGCCTGCGCGCCGTGCACTCTGCCGTAGCTCAGGCCGAGTTCTCCAAGAAGCGCGGCGGGCCCGTAAGGCGCGAGCCCGTCGAGAGCGAGCACCCGCTCGTCCGCGTGCACCCCGTCACCGGCGAGAAGGCGCTCTACATCAACCAGGGCTTCACCCGCCGCATCGTCGGCTTCCGCGACGAGGAGTCCGAGTACCTCCTCAGGTTCCTCTTCGACCACATCTCGAAGGGCGCGGACTTCCAGATCAGGGCGCGCTACGAGCCTGGGACCGTCGTTGTCTGGGTACATTTTCGTTCAAATCCATTCGATTTGGTTCTAATCCCCTCGTGTGCTATAGGACAATCGCGTCACCGCGCATTCTGCCATTCCGGACTTTGCGCCGACTTTCCGAAGGCACGCCGTGCGCCTGACTCCTCAGGCTGAGGTGCCAGTTGAGGCCAAGGCTTCAACGACAGCCTGAAATGTATCTACCTCGCGATATTGTACTATCTGCCAAAATTGAAATTTACTTTATGCACCTTTCCTTCTTTGGCTCTCGTTGCTTCCGGCCTTTTGTCTCTGTGCCAGGAGATTTTTTTATATCTGCTTGCTGAATGTGTGCAGCGAGACATCCATCTGCGGTAAATGCTGTTTACCTTGCACCGTTTCATTGTTCATTATATGCACATGGGCAAACTCGCCTACAAGCCAAAATGGGTCTCGGTACTACTCTACATAAGTCTTCCGTGAAATTCGCACCACACAGCAAGAACATAATTGCAATTGGGAGCATTGTAAGTTTGGGTCAGCGGTAAGCATGGCGCGAATTAAGGAGGGGGTGTGAGTATGTGTAGTACATCTTGTACGCTGCTGTAGCCGAATACCGGCAGGCTAGGTTAGACAACAAAAAAGGGGGTTAAAAGTAGCAGTAGTCAAAATTGCACAAAAAGGGAGATAGAATGGTGTGTAGGTAGAAAGTGGCACAGTTCGCATAATACCGACCGCAGCAACAGGCCTACCGTGTTAAACGCATAGCCCGTTGTCGGCCATCCTAAACCCATTGATGCCGTCGAGACGCGAGGTGCTGAAGCAAGCACTATCCCAATAACCCACTGTGACCATGGCTTACTGGTTTTTGCACTCCTCCGGATTCACGTTCTTGGCAGTGTTACCTCCTGCACCACGGCCCTTGGGGGCCGCACGTCGGCGCACAGGGACGTCGTCGTCGTCATCCGAGTCCTAACAACCACAAAAAAAATGAAAAGATGCGTCGAGAAAGAAGAGGAAAAATTGGAGTCAATGATCAAGGTAGATTTAAGGCAGCGAGGAACCGTGATCACTGACATCGTCGAATTGGCCATCATCATCTTCGTCATCATCATCATCGTCGTCGTAGTCATCGTCATCATCATCCATGACCTCATATTCCAGTGCTTTTCCGGTGAAATAGTCAACAGCCCGCGGGATGATCTGTCGCCACTATCAGAAAAATAAAAGGATCGTGCAGTGTTGAAACATGCCTTCTCCTTGAGATCTTCACCGATCTGGTAGTCGACTTCCAATTTCTCCTCGAGGTCGGCGATCTCATCGTCGTCGTAGTCGCCAGCCTCGATGCCCTCTTCGGTAGGCGGAACCGGAGGGGAGAAGAAGTTGAAAAACGAGTCGGTCGGACGAGCTTTGCGGACAAGGCGAGTTCGGTTTGTGTCTGGATATTGGTTGGCGATTGAAATATCAATGACCTTAGGAAAACGTACTTTTGTTTCTTTGCTTCTTAATCTCGAACTCTTTCGTCAGATCCTTGTCCTCCTTCCACTTGATGTCTGTGCCGAGAGCGCGATCGTAAACGAAATCGCCCGAGTAACCGACTTCTTCCTGGTACAGATACGTCTTCTCCAGAACCTCGTTTTCGAAGAACTCGTTTTTGCTGAAGACGAAGAGGATCTTGAATCCAGGCTTGCCTTCGGGACTGTCTTCCTTGAGATATTCAAGTCGAACATCAATGAGGTATTTGAGGGCGGCGGCATCCCTATCGGTGATCAGATCGCTCAGGCCGATGTGATTTCGCAGCGCGGTCAGCCAGAACTCGGGGATGCCTTCCGATGCGGGGGTGGCATCTTTGGGGAGAGGTGTGTAATCTTCGTCATCTTTAATCGAAGCTTTCTCGCCAGACTCAATCTCATCCGAGGTGGGTGCCGCTTTGCCATTGATGATGGCGTTCCGTCGTTCGTACAGTGGCTTTTGAAGCTCAAGATACTGCAAAAAGTGCAAAAAGGATAGAGTTAGACCATCCGATGAACGATTGTGGGGTGATGGGAATTCTCTCCCGATACAAAACCGCTTCCAGAGGTGGATTGATGACACACCTTCTTCTCGAGCTCGAGGCACTCTCTTTTGTACTGGTTATGCAGCTCATTCTGCTTCACCTGCACGCCTTTGAGAGCTTCGACGTTCAACTTGATTTCGACTGGCAGACTTTCGATATAGCCAGAGCTCTTGCCCAGTAGTCCAGCGAGCTTCCCTTGCACCATTTCAGCCATGTGCTCCTCGAGGCCTGCAAGCGATGGGCCGCCTTCATCGTCGCCTCCCGTTTCGGCCTCGTTATCCTCCGAGATGTCTGGGACTGTGGGTCGCGAAAGACCGAGGGCGATGGGTGCTTGTGTCAAGGGAGTGTTCTGCGGTGTTGGAGCCGTTGCACCGGCGACTCCGATAGGAACGTTGGACGACATGCTAACGGCGAAAAAATGTGGTGAAAGGGGAGATTTGAAAAGCGCGTTTGGTCTGATTAGTTATCTAAGCGGAGTCTCAGCGGAGCTCGGAATTCGCCGGGATTCCCTTGACGCGCGCCAGGTGACTGTAGAATTCAAGGTAGTAAACAAGTTCCCCGGGATATTTCAAATGCTGCAGCTGGGTTCTTAACTTATGCCTCTTCATCATGAAATCTCTATCGTTGATTCCAGGCATAGAAGGGCTTTTGAAAAATATTGCCCTTGGAGCCTTGCACAACTCAGCACAACTCGTCTGAGCGCCATGACCCTCTACGTTGCGTAACCAAATGCTATAGATTCAAGACGACGAAAACCTTCCCCGATTTATGGATGTCTGGACCAGCAGGCTCACAGAAATCGGCTATTGCTCCAACAATGGCAGAAACGTGCTTCAACTGTGGATTGCTTGCAGCTAACTTCTTCTTCTCCCGCCCGTAGGTCCCTCGCCATAGCACCGTCAGATTCGTCGCGACTCTGGCCTATCGGCTTGAACTTTCTATACCTAAGACCTCCAACTGGCGCACTCTCTGGATATTCGGCACCTGGGGCATGGCCAAAACACGATAGCAAAGAGCATCAGGGACACATCCTACGGCATTGAACGACTCGCTGCATACCAGCAAGCCGTAGTTGAGCACGGTATCGGAGTTCTCGCGGAACGGTCTTGTCTCATCCCCTTTGACGGAATAGATCAATGTGGACTGGTCAGCTACCAGTCGCAATTGCATGCGTTAAGCATGCTTGTGCAGGCTTTGAAGAGCGAAACACCGCTTCTTTTTTTGTTCCCCAATACGGATAACTCAGGCTTGGAAGGAATAGTAGGCAACGATATTTGTCTCTTCCCCGGACGAGCTGTTGACGAGCTGTCAGAAAGTGATCCGTCAGCCAGAACTCCTTTGGGTATTTACTCTTCTGACGCAGTCTGACGCAGATATTCGGGTGTTCCTGGAATTCAAGCTCACAAAGCTTAAAGAAGAGCATCCTCTGAAAGACAACTCCGCGACGGATTGGCTATCACATACGGAGTTTAATCGCCTTTTAAAGCAGTGTTTGCAAGGAGGATTTGTACACACTTTGGTTACGATGCGACGCCTCGAGAGCATATGTCATTATGTACCCTATGATTCGACCGTCCGCTATATTGAACCTCAAACAGGGCCTGGCAACCTCGACCTCTTCTTTCATCTATTTGGATGCTTTGTATCGCCATGTCTTCTCTTCAGTGGCCGGTCTTGCTCGAGCACTCGATGCTCTAACTGTTGTGCTACACCACAGAGGCAGCCACATGAGGCCCAAGTCCGTGGAAGACCTTCTTATTTCTGGTCAATTATGGCATCTGCAAATCATTCTGACTGATTTAAAGCCTCTTGTCTCTGTGCCTTAGCCAACCAACAACCCAATGGAGGTCACCATTTATTATGGATCTGTGAGAGTGTTTTTGTTGGACCAAGGGCATTCGGAAATATGCTTCATTGATAGTTCGAATGCATATGGAAAGCTTACGGTGTTCTGTATGAAACGCCTGCAGTTCTACGAGCTTGTTCCACATACGGAAGGTATATTTCCTCATATGGATGATTTTCCTCTTTTGAGCGATACCCTACCAATTCGCGATTTTCATATATGAAGTATGTCTTCCGCTTAGGTTCCACTCAAGATGGTCTACGTGAGTAGCATTCTTTTAACCTGGAAAGCAGGTCGCAACTGTCGAACGTACCTTACAGGATGATGCCTGGATTCCTCATTAGCAGTAGCCACATTGGCAGGGTTTCCAGAGCATGCCACACGCCTACTCTGGGTAATAAAGGCTACCTTGAGAGTCAGAGATGCTGAGATAAAACACTTTGCAAAGACTCATTGCAGTCACCTGCCACGGCTGACGTCGAGATAATTTCCCTTCTCAATCCAACCTGGTTGCACACCGGCGGAGTTGAAGCAGTACGAAGGTTGTTACGCGACAACCTCTGAGTTTATTACGAATCCTGAACTGCCTGGCATATAATTGTGCATTTACAGAGGCGTATGCTATTCTCGCAGAAGTGTTGGTCCATTACCTACTACGGACACAGCGAGTGTTAATTTACTGGTCCACAGAATATTTTTACAGTTTTGAATTGTCTTTCACTTGTATTCACTTATACAGCGACTCATGGCACGACTACCGAAGTGGCCTCAGGTCAGTCACAGAGAAATGGCTTCCCTCTCTGTTGGAGCTCGAGATCGGCCAGGACCGCAGGACGACTTCGCGAGCTGAGGCTCAGATGATGGGAAACCGGAGACCTAGGGGAGACGTCACTTCCAGACCCCCTTCCTTTGGCGCAGGCCGTTCATAATTTTGTGAACGCCGAGTGAACACCCGTACTAGACCTAACCGTTATATTGTGCTGGTGTGGTATAGGTGTACTGCGAGGCTTTCGTCTTCTTCAATCTTGTGAACGTTTTCGAGGGGAGCAAATTAATCATGGAATACGAGGCCTCAGTGGCCAATCTGTACCATAGCTATATTCGAGAATTGAGTGGAAGAATTTAGAAGACTCAAGAGGGTTTGTTGGCCCTGTCTATGTTGTGCTCGTTTAGCGAAGGAGGAGCAGCAAGGGGTGCTAGGGCGCGGTGATACCAGGAGCGCGGCTTTGCAGACAAAAATGGCATGTCATTTTTGGGCGCCACATCTCTCTCTCTCGGGGCCCGCCTGAACCCGAAGGGAAACGGTGGGGTGATCAAAGCCGGAACAGGCGCAGTAGTGTACTATGAAGCAAATAAAAAGACGAATGAATGAAAAAGATGGGAGAGTGGTAAGGGTGGGACCAAAGAAAGAAATAGAGCTCGAGGCGAAGCCTAACGAGCTATGTGAGATATGAGATGGTGAACCCAAAGAAAGAGGGAAACGAAGGCGTGAAGCACTATATACGAGAAACGAGACAAAGACGTGAACGGATGACAGGGGATCTAATCTAATCAAAGGCGCGTTGTCACTCACTGCCATAGACAGGCCGTAGACCTCGATCAATGCGATTGATCGTATCTTTCAAAGCCTATTCACTCTGCGTCACGTGGGCACACCTTCGCGTCCCTGCCTAGACGCGTGCACGACGCGTCTATGGATTTCCTTATACAGACATTAGGTCGGAGTTTGGAATCTCCCGCTTTTCTTCCCAATAGCCAGGGAATTTACAACGATTTACTTCGACCTGTACGACCACACATATCGACTCTGCATCGGTCATAGACATGATCAGCAACGTTCGGATTACTGGAGAGATCAAATGGGTGTGAGAGGAGTCATAAGCCATTCACGACGAATGAGGTTGGAAGGATACATATGTGGAGTGACGCGGACGCACTGTACGTCGATAATCTATCTCATATTTATGTTACCAGTCTAAATGCTTCTCCGTCATAAGATATTTCCGCCGCATATATTCAATCTTCCTAGGGAAGCTCAATGAGGCGTGAGCCATACCACGGCAATCTCTTTTTAACGAGTTCTGTACGGCGAGGAAACATTTCTTAATTACCAGATGACCATGTTGATTCCTGACAGATCTATTTGGGACGTCAAAGACAGGACGTTCAGAGCAATTCGTGGTTGAAAATCTGACATACAGGAACGGCAGTGGATGTCCCTCATCGGCCATCATTACGATGATTGTAGGTCTGGGATTGATACAAGACTCCTTGTCTTGTTGACAGACCCATCCAGGCTGCATATATGCGGTCTTGAACGCACCAAATGCAACCTACAGCGACAAGGCCTTCGGACGGACTTCCGAATCTACACGTCCAGGTGCCAGTGAAATGCTCAAGTATAACGGCACGTTCTAATATTATCTCACATAATGACATTCTAGTCGTTTTTACCCCTCGTTCCGATCCAGCAGGTATAATGATAGTCATAAAAGAAGCAGAGGCATTACCGCAATTTTTGGCAAATATTCTTGTTTCGCTTATTGAAGAGATTTCCTAGCTCTAACAAAACGCTTCACCGCGACATATGAGGGGACCACCTGGACTTTCGGACAGTCCGCCTTATTAATTCTGAGATTCTAAAAGAATTCTGATTCGTTCAGCTGGATCGTCTTGATGATTAAGTAAGGTACATTGCGACGATTTCACTTAGTTCTTTTTCCTCAGGCAGGCCGTACCCGACCCCGGGATGCACTTGGCTGGATGAACTGATCTATTTATGTCTGATGAAATCGGTAGGCCTCCTATTTTTAGATTTCATTCCAAAAATATCCGTCTGACCTTGCCACAGCACTCTGTCACCCGAAGAACATTAAAAAAATCATGGCTACAGAGTACTTGCGTCTTCACTTTTCGTCGCGTTGAGTGGGGCCAACTCCAAGTTAAACTTTCCTGCACTGTTCCGCCTCGTGGGTTGGGAACGGATTCACTGGCAAGGATGAACAAAATAATACGGACCACAAGTAGTCAGGAAACTTCGATTTTTTCGACGAGCGCAAACACGAATTCAATCCAATATTTATACAGGCCTTCAGAAGGAATCAAGACACCCTTTCTCCCATTTCAAAGTTCTTGGAGGAAGCTGGCATCACATGACCCTGCACAAGTTGGCTCGGTTCCTTGGCAGCGCGTTGTCGCCGCTTCTCCGCTTCGGTTGTTCCATGTCGTCTGCCTGCTGATACGTATCCTGTTACACCCACCACCAGCACATTCCTTTCTTCTCACCTTCACTTGGCTTTCGTTACGACTGCTTTCGCGCTTTTCCCCAAAATAACAGGACAACAAACCCCCAGACTCAAGAGTTAACTCTCCGACAACCTTCAAATAGACCCGCCATGCTTCGTTCACTTCTAACCACCTTTGTTCTCGCCGCTTTGCACGGTGCCTCCCTGGTTTCTGCCCAGAACGCTGGACCAGCGGGCTGTGTGTCCTTCGACATTCAGTGGAACCTCCTCGCCTTTGGGTTCAATGGCAAGGATTACAATGCTGGCACGCAAGATACTTGGGCGTCAGGTAAATTTTCATGTCGCTGACGGACAGGGTCTTATTGACGAGAGCGTGGCTAGGTGCTGCCACGGATATCACGACCACTGGAAGGCCGTGAGTCACCTGTGTTTCATGAGAAAAGGGAGAAGCTGAATATGACTGTTTGCTTCCAGGCCGTTTGACCACCTGAACACGACGTGCTACCTTTCCCAGGTGAGCTATATTCTGCCTTTGTTTCCTTTTTTCTTCTTCAGGACGAAGGCTTGGACGATACTGTTGACCTTGTCCCTCGATCCCTCCATACTCCGTCGTCCGCACGTTGGAATTACCCGATGAAGCTTGCATCTACTATGCCGTCAGAAGCTGGTGCAGGACTAGGATGTGCCGTTGCTATACGTTTCATGATCGTAATAAACAACGATCGAAGTAGCTTCGTTCCGCCTGGCCAGAACGAAGGCACATTCCCTGCCATCCATCATCACTTATTGGTCGGTTAACCAATGTGATTCGGCTTCGTGGGCCCTTCATTGAAGACTACGCCATGCGCTTTGTCCAAGGCGACAATGATGCCCGCATGGATGTTAGATGCGCCGCACCGTCCTGCTCGTCTATTTCGTATTCACTCCCGCTCTTGGCGTTTCTTGGAGCAGCATGGCTCGTGACGAGGATCTTCACGGCCAGCGTTCTCAGCGATAGGCATTTCAACTGCAGTCTTCACACTTGCATGGATTCATTGCTGACGGCTCTGCAGTTCACGAACGCCATCTACTTTATCAATGCCGACAAGGCGAATCCATCTGCGATCTATATCTACGACGCCACTGCGAAGTCATGGAGCATGCAGCAAGTGGTGCAAGGTGGCTTTGACCCAAGCGACTTTGATGCCATCCTCGACCACGACACGAACGTCTTCTGTGCGCCGTTCTACTTATTTCAGGTTGTGGCTTTCCTAACTTGCCTGCAGATTCCTATTCGGGTGGCGAAATGTATTCGCTGGATATGGCGCTCCTCAAATCCGCCAACTCGACGGCGATTCCCTGGGTGGACGTTCAGGAGCCCGACCTCTCCATCGACTCGACGGATCCAGCAACAGTGAAAGTTCCGGGTGCCAATACAGATGGGTACAAGCCTGTGCTCGCCCTTGCCCAAAATCATGTGCACTTTATTGGCGTGCCAGGCATTCCTAGCGGCAGCGCGAAGATCTTCGTGATCCACTTCTCGTACATGCAACCTGCACCCCAATCCTACGGTGCCAACGCGTTCCCGACATCGCACGGACGGGCAGCGTCGTTCTTCCTCGACCAGGGTGTGCAGCAGGAGTTTGCTTTCATTCCGGATGACGGCAGTGCCACCTATGTCGTGAGCGTTGAGACAAATACAACCAAGACCCTCACAGGCCCGCCGCAGCAGGATCCTTGGGCTTCATACAGCGCATCGACGAGTGCACTAGTACAGCTGACAACTGCCGGCGAGGTTGCGTTCTTGCCATATGATCCGAAGACGACGGTGAACGGTCAGTCTCCGTACTCCGTACCTCTTCTCGACTTAGTCTGACTTAAGTGTTTGTTCAGGTGGGACATGGACCAAGGTGTCTAAGCTCCCGGCAGCGGCATTTTCAAGCTCGCAAGGGACGGCGACATCGTCCGGCAATGGCCCACGTGCGACCGAGGGCTCCTCTGGCAATTCGACTAACGGGTCGAACAACCAGACCGGCGGTGCAAACACGCTGGAGCTCGGGATGGCCTTACTCACCGGCAGCGCCCTGAGCATGATCGGCCTGTTTGCGCTGTGATGTTTCTTCTATCATGATTTCTTGCGGACTTACCTGACGATTGTTTCGCTTTGTTGGAATCCTACACGTTCATTCACGTATCTTGCTGCACACCTGCTCGTCATATGGACGCTCGTCGCTACCTGCTTAAGTACCCTTGGATCTTTAGAGTGCGTACACCACGTTGTTTGTTCTCTGGCCCTAATGCATGCGGACTACTGGACACTCATTATTAATACCATAGCACAAGTACTAGTATTCCGGCCATCATATACTCTCAGTATTGCATAGCATAGCATCGCGCCCCTCTAACAAAAAGCCCGGGTTTTTCCTGAATCTGATTTTGCTTTTGAATTTGTATTGACCTTTTGAGGACCAGGCACACAGCCACAACCTTCCCTTTGCCCTCAACCACCACACACTCTTGAACGATATACGCCCTTTACAGTTCCTCAACGGTTCCTCAGCGATTCCGCGATGGCCGCATACGACCTTCAACGTGTTACCCGTGATGTAATTGCTCCGCACCAGGACACGGCTTGAGAGGAATCTCACGACGAATCATCTTTCTGGGCGGTCGATGCGGGATAACCTCATGTCGTCCTATTTTTACTCTCCAAAGAGCTTCCATGTTTCAAAAAAAAAAACGGCATCCAACATAAACGGCCTTCATTCACCGACGATTTCTATGATTAGAACAGCCAGACGCACCTGGTTGTTCTGAAGCGACGTTCTGCTGGAGTGATAGAGATCGTGGTCTGGTCAAGTGGCACACCTTCGAGAATTCTTTCGTGGTGGGCTCCGTAGTTGTAGGATCACGAGGCGATGGTGCTGGAGTATAAAATGGGCATCGACCGCGGTGGTGAGTAGCAGTGAAGTCCTAGCCGTCAGCTACACCCTCTGTCAACTATGAAGATCTCTTTCATCCTCGCGTCTGTCATCTTTGGTGCGGTGGTCTCCGCGACCCCCGTCGTCCAAGGTTCGTCGCGTCTCTCGGTAGCTCTGCGCCAAGCTCCATAATGACGCGGTTCCTTCAGAGGCCGTCTGCGACGTTGACAGCCAAGTCCTTTCAGAGTCGTGGATCGGCGCGGAGAAGAACGTCAAGGTGACCACCTTATTCTGCCCCAGTCTCGCCAAGGTGGGTCGTAGTGTGCTGGAGGAGCGCCAGGCGGCCCCCGTGAATGTTTGTGGTGCCACCTGTACGTCTAGTCCTTTCTCGTCAGTGCTCGTGATACTGAGGTCAGTCATGGAGGCAATACGAACTGCTTCTTGCCAGCAGGAGGTGGACCAGACCCGAATGACTGCAATGTCATTGCTGATGCCTTGCGTTACGAGAGCGAGAACACTGGTATGTCTACTACGTCATAGGCTCGGAGAACGATGGTATCTAATAGTAATTGTTCTATTTCGAATTGTTCTAGGTGCGATATTCCAGGTCAACAACACCGCAGTAAGTAGAGCCCATCGACTCTTTTTTTTTTTTTTTTTTTGAAAAATACTTATCCGTTGTCGTAGGGTGGGAACACGATTGCAATGCAATACAGGAGCTGCAGAACGTTTTTCTTGAACCAAGATCTTCAACCTCTTGCTTATTGTCGCACTGACTGGGTACGTCGCCCCACTCTTTCGTCCGATTACCGATCTTACAAATTCTCTAGGCCGCCTTGATTGACTGGATTGCGCCGAACTGTCAGGCGACGCAGAATGCTCACGGCGGCAACTGTGTGGCCAGTGACCAGCGCTGGTTTGTGCAGTAAGTGAATGTGCCTTCCATTTCTTCTGTGGCGCTCATGGTTTCATAGAGTCCAGCACGTTTGAAAACACGGAGTTTGATCCTCGGTGGACATTTCGACGCATGTGATGGACCTTCGTTCGACGGACTTGCTCGTGTACCATGCTGACGCTACATTTTGTCATATAATTCTCAGCTTCTGTTACAATGCGTGTTCAAAGCTCTGTCAAAGATGTAATATTCCTGTTGACCCCAGCCTGATGTAAGAATAACCATATGATTCAGCGTGTCGGCCATCTCCCCTTGTCCATACGGAGTCGAGAAGTCTCTTAATATCCGTTGACAAGGATCAGAGGTACAGCATTCGTCGTTGCTTCGATCCCACATGGGTTCGTTATAAGAAATGCTAACATTGCTTGAGCTTCCAAGATTGGAGCTGCAGAAGAGCGATCCAGAAGCACTCCAAAAAAACTGTCGCCGTTCGGCCTCCGACATAATGCACAGATATATCTAAACGGAAAATCATTCTTATCTGTACAACTTTACTGGTGGCTTCAGATTAGGCGCTGAGTAATGTGACTTGTCACGGCACCAGCCACAGTGGTTATTGATATTTAAGCGCCCGTATATCAATCAGGTCTTGTTCAGGCTGCGACGGTGAAATTGTAATAAGAGAACACATGCTCAAGTAATTTGCTTTTACGCGATCTACTTTTACGCGATCTAGCTGAGTGTGCATGATCCAGACCTCAAGGACGAGCTGGGGTAACCTTCACCTGGCTGGGCCACGATTCTTATCCCCACACACTGTCGAAGGAGCTTCTTCCAAGAGTCGCGTACGTGTCCCTGAGCCCCTCTATTTTGAGCCCCTACATATGCAGCTAAATAATGAACTAGTATAGAAGCGTCCCATTTACAGCGTGTAGGGTCGTCGAGTACAGCGACGACCATTTTAAAGAATGGGCCCTGGGGAAACTATATCACCCACTCCAGAGTCCAAGCCCGCGCATGCATCGACGCCGATGTGAAGGATCACGGCGACAGATCTGAGCTGTAATAAACAGCAACAGCATGAAACAAGTACTACGCTGACCTTTCCTGAGCCGTAGTGCTGTGAAGGAAGTCTTTCAACCACTTTAGGCTTATAAATTCAGTGCCGGGTACCGAGCTGACCGAGGTGCCAGCCTTTTAATTTTGGAATGCGTAGGTCTACGTAAACGTGAGAGTCTTCCGTGGGTGAGCAGCTGGCGGCCGCGGGGCTATAGCCACCGGATCGCCTCGAAGACAAGCCATTCGGATAGGCAACCGAGGCCGGTTTGCCAATCAACGAGAGCGTATTTCGTATTTAGGTGGTTCTTTCAAGCCAAGAAATTCCAAATCTGATTAGCTTGAACTGCCAAATGTCGGTTGAAGAAAGCAGCCTCTTATTTTGTTACGAGAAGGAGGCACGCAGTATGGGCGCAATTCGCTCCCTTGGCCGGCACGCAGACGACGTGGGCGTATGGCGAGCTTTTCCCTAGTGAGATTTATTCCTCTGTATAAAAGCTTCTCTCCCCATCCATCCGCCAAAACCCAAGGGCTAACCCACTACGACATGAAATCCTTCTCTCTACTCCCAGCCTTGGTGCTTGCAGCGAGGGTCATCGCGTTTCCCTCCTATGCTTCGTTGGCCGGTCTCAGCGAGCGTGAATTGGATTCCGTCCTTCCTACGCTCGGCTATCGAGAGCCAGCACCACCTCCTGGACCTCTGAAGGACACCTCGGCCAAATTGGTCAATGACAAGGCTCACCCGTGGAAACCACTTCGGCGAGGTGACATCCGTGGGCCTTGTCCAGGTCTCAATACATTGGCGTCTCATGGGGTAAATACTTGATCGCACCAGTCAAAGCGTCAATTGACTAATAAGCGTCCTTGTAGTACCTCCCCAGAAATGGAGTTGCAACCCCGGTGCAAATCATCAACGCCATTCAGGAAGGTAGGAATCGAAGTAGAGTATTTAATTCTTACTTCGCCACTGACATATATGGCAGGATTCAATATGGAGAATTCCATCGCCATCTTCGTGACGTACGGGGCACACCTTGTGGACGGCAATGTCATCACGGACTTGTTGAGCATTGGACGTAAGACGCCGCTCACTGGTCCCGATCCCCCACCCCCAGCTATCGTTGGTGGACTTAATACGCATGCCGTCTTCGAAGGTATTTAGTAATATATAAACTCCGGGTGCTGCTTCTGACATTTTCGTTCAGGCGACGCTAGCATGACAAGAGGTGCTTTACTTCCTCCAACCCGCCCGATGAGGCTAATCTCGCATAGGTGACGATTTCTTCGGCAACAATCACGATTTCAATGCAACGCTCTTTGACCAGGTATGGTATTTTTCACCCTGTATATTTTTGAGGAACTAAACAGCCTGTAGTTTGTTGATTTCAGTAACCGATTCGGAGGAGGGAAATATAATCTTACGGTCGCAGCAGAGCTCCGGTTCCAGCGTATTCAAGACTCGATTGCTACCAACCCACAGTTCTCCTTTGTCTCACCTCGATTCTTCACCGCCTATGCCGAGTCTGTCTTCCCCATCAACTTTTTCGTCGATGGGCGTAGGAACGACGGCCAGTTGGATATGGACGCTGCGCGGAGCTTTTTCCAATTCCATCGTATGCCTGACGACTTCTTCCGCCCAAACGGAGCGAAGAGCGCCCAAGGAATCGAGAGGGTCTTCCTGGCTCACCCCATGCTGCCAGGAGGAAATGTTGGCCAAATTAACAGCTACACCCCTGATCCTACTTCCGCCGACTTTACGAACCCCTGCCTGTTGTACGAGAACTTTGTCAACCAAACCATCAAGGGGCTCTACCCAAATCCAAAGGGAAAGCTTCGCAAAGCACTTAACACCAATCTTGATTTCTTTTACCAGGGGATTGGTTCTGGATGTGCGCAGGTATTCCCATACGGGCGGGATTAATGGGACGGAGAATTCAGTGTTGACAGTTCAAGTTCATATTTTCCGTAGTTTGCCTCATTCAGTGATCTCTGCGTTTTTTATGGAAGTCGTCTACGAATTAAGCAACGCTACGCGCTTAGGGGCGAAGCGCGCCTCGCGTGTGATGTCACCTTCTATTTTTGGATCTCCCTGTCCCCTTCTACATCAGAAACCGGGTGGATTTCAAAGGTTTCGTTTCTATTAGATGATCACAGATTATTTAAAGTATTGAACTAGGAATCGAGTTCTACGTAAGCAAGATATCCTTCTATCCCTGGGCAACTACAAGTATTGCTGCTCCTCCAATTAGGTCAACTACTTGGAGCGCAGCAGCTGCGTGACCTCTTGGGGTTCGTCGATAAAGATATCATCCACCTCTTTCCACTTCTGGTTCCCGCCTAGACTCCACACCCTCTCGCGTTCAACCCAGTACTCCAGCATATGATCAGCTGTCCGCACTGGTGTCCAAACGCGGTCGCCTGTATCACCATCCGTCTCAGCAACGAACCACCGTGGTCGATGAGGTGGTAGTTCGCCTTCCTCGCGAGCTCTCCTAATGGCGCGCTGCTTCTCCTCTTGATCGTGTTTGAGTCCATTGGCGAGCTCATACTTGCCAAGCTCGAACGCACGTTGGTCTGGTCGTAAGCGACAATCCGTCGGGCAGATGAATGGACGAAGCGACTCTTGAGGGCAGTCGTTCAAAGTGATCGCAAAAGGGGTGAGATTGAATGGACTTCCCGGAATTTTGTCCGAGTTTCGCCAAAGGAGGATGTATTCGGGAGAGGCGGAGGGGGAGTTGGGCTCCGAGACCGAGATATCTGGGTGTAATTGGCCTTGACCACCAACCTGCTTGGCGACAAGCTGCGAATTCCATCGGCCAGCAATTTCGTAAGCAACCCTGCTGCGATGATCAAGAACCTGGCCCGAGATTTCGTATGCATCTTTGCCTCGCCATCCTCGAGGTTTAAAGGTCAGTATGCATTGATCGCCAGTCCTATGATTCCTGACCTAAAGAAAGTAATGGGCCCCGCGAAAAAGTTGAAGGGAGACTGAAACCCACCACCATATCGCCATAATGATCGATTGTGGGCGAGCCGAGAATAAAGCCAGAGACGTTCGTGGTGACCTTCTTCCAGCTGTAGTGTTCGACGACCTTGCCTTTGCCTAACTTTCCTTCATAAGCGGGGTAATCGGGCGCCATCTCTTCAGGTAGCAGCAGATCGGCATGGGCAACACCAGTAGGCCTAATCTCGAACGATTTGCCCATGAACTTGTTCTGCGCATCGACCTAATAAAACATCAAAATCAGGATGAAATCCAAACCTTCCAACAATTGTGAAGACGTACCTCGCCATAGTAATGCCACGAAGGCGACTCGGCCCAACATGCAGAAATAGGAGGGTGGTGGCTGACTTGTTCGGATACATATCTATATTGCTTGTCTAGACGAACGTATTCGAAGGTTTCGCTCTAACGAAAATAGTGCATGAGATTTTTTTTTTTAAAAAAAAAGAAAAAAAAGAAAAAAGAAAGACTCCTGAAAACTCACCAGCATGGGATTAAAAGGTTTCGCGATGCGTCCAATGGTTGAAGAATAGTTGGACATCGCAAAGGCTGCTACAAATGCGATACGACGAAGAGGGTCTTGCTCCTTGGCAGCGACATCCACTGAGGATGAGTTGAATAGTTAACAAGAAATCCTTCGAACAATGTCAAATGGCTTACAGCATTCCGAAAATTCCATATCCTCGGCCTAAAATAAAGAGAAAATGATAAGAAATGTGAACAAGGTGGGCCAGAGAAAAGATGCTTACCATACGCTGCAACATACTTGTCGGCTCGTTGAAGAACACGGGAAAACTGATCTTGGTCAAGTCCTTCCCAATACTGTGCTTCAACACACTCCACAAACTCGTACTGGGGCGTTCGTCGTCTCGAATCGCCAACCGACTCCGTAGGTGTGCATATCCTGCATATGGCTCCAAGTTCATCACCTTCGGCAGTGGTGTTTTCAAATTCGCGATGGCATGTAGAACGTCGGCTGCTAATGGAGAGTCTTTGCCCACAGGTGGAGTCATCATGGAGGCAGTGGACGGACTGGCCAGGCCCTCATGCACAACAAGGTTCGGTAAATTTCCCGACTCGATGGCGTCAAAGAACTCGTCCTCCTCGTCCGTATCGTAATCGTAGTCGTCTGGTGTCGGCACGTCGAGCTTGGTCTTGACCTCGTTGACAGATATCCGTGGGATGACTATCGTTTCTTGCGTAGCGCTCCTTGACGGCGACTTTCTGGTTGCCGGGACAGACAGACCTGCTAGCGCAGCACTGGAAGAAGGATGGATGGGTGGTGCCGGTTTATGGGGGAAGGTTGACTGCGTAGCGGTGATAGCAGAAGGCGGTGGCGATGAATCGGGCACTGGTGATGGAGGTTCCTCCACTAGCGGAGCAGGAACCCCTCTTAGGGTCGATGTCCCAAGAACCGAAGGTCTGAGGTCCTTTAGGCTCTTGATCGTGCCAGGTGCGCTTGGACCAAAAACCCTGCTCCCTCTTCTGCGACTTCGCGTCCTCAACTCCTGCTCGAGCGTCTCGCCCTCCCTTACCACCACTGCTAAGCTCTCTTCCCAGAACTGCTGCCTCGCCCGCTCTTTCTTCAGTTGTCGGGCCCACCATTCCTCTCGTTCGCGTGCCATTTGAAGATATTCGTTCAGCAGGTTCTGTGTCGTGACGAGGGAGTCTCGAATGGCGCCTCGCGTTTCCCGCGCTTTGCCAGAGGCATCCGCAGGTAGAATAAGGTTGCCCAGCAACTGTGATGTCAGTTCGAGCTGCGCCGAGGTCGCGTTGGCGGTGAGCTCGAAACCAGGATGAGGAGGAGCCTTGTTCTCTGAGTCCGCAGATGATGAGTCCTCGTCATCTTCGTCTTCGGCGTCATTTTCGTGGGTGTTTGTCACGTCAACAGGACTGTCGCCGGGGGTGGGTTTCGGGCTGGCCGAGGCTGAATCTGCTGGTGTATTGAAATGGGATTCTGCAACGGAATCTTGTTCTCGACCTCCGCCGATGCTGCTGGTGTTGCTCTTCCTCCAGATATTGTTAGAGAGGCTGTGCGAATGCATTGATGGTGTCGTCCTGATGCCACTGGAATCGCTTTCCATGCTCTTGCGGCGCTGGTTCAGGGAAGAGGCATCGCTATCCGTTGCTCCTTCTCGCTGCTTGTACCACTCGATGCTTGCATTAATAGCTTGTGTCCATCTGTGCGCTTCGACCGGGTGATTGGCCTTCATATACCACTTCTGTGCGCCGGCATGATTGTGCCCGCGAGAAGGCTGAGAGTGAACTTCGAATCGAGTCTTTTCTGCGACCCGTAACATGGCAGTTTTCATCGATATTGATCCTCTGCTTGCAATAGTCTCATCATCCTGGTGCCGGTAGTCTAGAATCACGGTGAATCAGACCGTTGGTGGATAAAGATAGAACAGAGAAAGAAAAACGCACAGGACAAAACGCCATTCTTGAGGACGAACCATCGAGTGCTGTAACCCTTTGCAACATTCGTGTATTTGTTCAAGTAGCCTTTTAGCGGAGGTGGCTCGGCCAAAGGCGCGGTATTAGGGATTAATGTTTTGTCTGGTTCGCGACTGGGGCACATCAATCAGCGCTGAAGAATGGACAACATAGGCGACAAGACCCACTTTGTCTAAGAAACACCCTAACACGGTCGTCTTTCCCTGATCCATCATACGCCATCTTCCCTCTCCGATTCCTCACAAACACATCTGCACCGGCTCGAACGGCAATTTCAATAAGGCGCAGGTCCTTTCTCCGAGCAGCCTCATGCAGCAGAGACGTGCCGCTGTCGTCGTCCAGGTACGACAGATCCACAAATTTCACCCGAGGCGACTCGAGCAGTTGGACGAGAGCTGGAGAAGGCGAATCGGCGTAAGGAGAAAGGATGTAACTTCGCAGAAGAGACCGGTAGGATGCATTCAGAAAAGAGCGCGAATCTGAGCCGAACCTGAGCCGAGAGATAAGACCCACAACCGAAAGCACGTACCATCGATGGCCCTAATGACGTCCTTGCCCCTCGCCACATCCCGACACGTCTTTCCATGGGCGTCTCGCAGGCTGTCGTCGATGTTTTCCTGCTCCAATAACAAATTGACGATATCAAGCCGACCCAATGATGCAGCAAGGTGTAGGGGCGTGGTGCCAGAGCCCGGCGGGTGTATGCCGTTAGGCGAGATAGCGCGGTGGGAGAGCAGAAGGGTCACAGTTTGTGCTGCCCAACAATTGAGCAAGGCACATAATAAGAGTTATAACAAACTGACTTGATCCACAGCGTACAGCTAGGTGCAACGCAGCTGCCCCCGTGTCTAGGTCTCCATCGGTGGACTGTCGTCTGTCCTTGCTTATTTCCGTGAGGAATGGGTGGATCGCGGCGGGGTCTCCTGCACTCATGCTTCAATTTCAGGTTGCTCAAGTCACTTCTAAGGCATGCCACTTGCCGCTGCGAAGAGCTGAGAGAAGTTTGACTTGGTAGAGAGGTTCAACTGCACTTCGGTGAGCTTAAACGAGAAACGTCCATAAACGACCGCTTACTGTTAGACACAAGATCTGTGTTGGACTTGACGTCCGCCATTTCCAAGGTTATGTGCCCCGACGTGGCGGTAGAGATGCCTGGGGAACGCGTTAGAGAACTTTGGGGTGGTGGTTGTCTCAAAAGGGGCACAATAACTGATGCACGTCACTACAATCGAAGTCCAAATAAAGTGACAAATCTCCTATGTAAATAAACTATTTGAGTGAAATCATGATGGGGGCTTCAAGTCAACGACACAGCCTAAGGTCATATCCCAGACTACATGGAGCAGTGCCGGCGTTTGGGAGGAGATACTCAAGAGGCGATCATGTTTCCAGTTTCGCGCTGAAGAGTATACATAAGGTCGTTAGAGCAGGTGCAAAAAGATGCAGGAAAATTCAGCATTGTTACGAATAACTGGGGCCACAGCATATCACTTCAGACGTAGTCCAGCAGGGCATTGTCGTTCTCTGTTCTGATAAACGGCCCTCCGCCAGTTGCACTGCCAGGCCTCCTAATCGTCATCACAATGAGAGGGTTCAGGCGGCCGAGTCCAATCAAGGATACATAAACGACTCGTCTTGTTACCTGGCTGTACTTGTAGCCTATACCGCTCGTCCATGATGATTGATGACACTGGTGTCGCGAGGAAGCCGGCTGGATGAAATTGTAGGAGAGGCCTTGTCCTGTTCGGAAAGACTTTCATGGCCGGTTCAGACAGTCGTTCTTCCAGTGAAGTCAGACAGATCGACACCGATCTCATCTTTGAAGCTTGACGGAGATTTATCACCGCCCAGGGGGTGTTCGGCAGCATGTAGCTCTGGAGCGAGCCCTTTCTTTTGGAGAATTTGCGAGCTGCTTAGCAATAGTATGAGGCCAGCCTGTTGCTGCGGCACGGCCAGTGTTGCATTCGAGCTTTCCAAGGAAAACTGGATTCTGTCCCTGGCACCTGCAGTCGCGAGAGTTGGATAAACATTTTGTGGAAGAATATGGGCTAGAAAAGGTGCACAGATAGGTAGACGTCGGACAGGTGATGATAACACTGATGCAAGCCCTGTAAAACCCAGAAGGCCAATAAGAAGTTGGTTAGGTCTGGTGGTTCAAACGAAAGGTTTTTAAGCACCTGAAGATATAGAGTGAGCCGATGCTTATGTCATTACCGTCGAGCTTGCGTGCTCGAAAGGGATTTAGACTGGGTATATACCTTAAGAGACCTTAAGGGTTTTCGTCGCAGTCTCGTTGACTCCTCCCTGTCTGGGATGTAGCGCATGGCTCTAGTATGTCGCCCATTGGACCTGGCCGGATGTCGGAAAACCCCCACTGTCGAGGAGATGAAATTTGACCCGCCCGAAAATGTCCTCGATCTTCCGCGTCTTTTGAGACCTTAGGTCCTTGCCTTCTATCCTCGCCCATTTGCTACTCATTCTTGATAAACCGTGGTCAAGAACCAGCCCTCTCGTCTTTCAATTCGCCCAACAATATCTGGAATGGGAAATCTTCCATCAAGAGGCGGAGTAGCAACTGCTACCAATGGTTGGTTCTTGACCTTCTCCAGGCTCCCTCATGAGCGCTTACCTTGAAATAAATCTGCTCTACAGGGTCAATACTTCCTCGAGAAGCGACGACGAGCCATCCGGATCCTAATTTTTCTGACATCATCGCGTTCGATGTCATTCATCTCTTTGGCATCGTCATCCTCGGGGGTACACTCCTGACGGCGTACTTCTCGTCGCGGATAAGACGAGGCTCACTGTGGTTCATGTTCAACATTTCGTGGTTCCTCGCAAGCTTTGGTTACCTTCTTCTCCTCGGTCAGCAAACTGGTCCAGCACCGCCCTTCGTCCTGTGTTTGATACAATCCATGTTTGTCTACGCAACGCCCGTATTGTGAGTAGGACAACCCCATCCTTGTGTTCTATGTTGAATTGGCGTATCATCACAGTTATGGCTTTGCGGCTCTATCATTCATGCTTCATGTAGGCTTCTCACTTCAAACAATAAAACAGGTTACCGACGGGGATTCGACAGGTGTATTTATCAATAAGACCTACGACAGGAAAGGTAGGAGTGTCGGCGCGCTACATTTCTTGGGTAAACGTTGTCTCTATTTTCCTTTGCCTACCTATTTGCTGACGTTCCAGCAGTTTCACATAATACCATGGGCTCTTTTCGTCGCAGTCCTCGTTGAGGTTCTCATTGTATGTCCGGCTGCTTCCTTTTTAATTATCTAATGTCTCAGACCTTCTCTTCAATTGTGTTATAGGTCGGCCTCATTCATAAATCTTACGTTCAACGCGATCCGACCGGCATGTATTGCCACATCACTCGACGACTACCGTACGGTTCTGATCGAGCTACCTGCCTGGCCCCATATTCATGACGCGTAAATTCTAGAAATCGGACAACAGCCACACTCGGTGTCGCAGCTTCGATACCGATGTTCATCCTTGGAGGTAATTCCTGATGTCCCGACGTCCATTTCTCAGTGTCAATTAAAGACTTTCAATAGTTCTCATATTCCGAATCGTGAAGAATACCTGGAGCGTCAAAATGAAGCGTACGCGAGACCACAAAGTCTCTCTAGACATCGCCATTCGCGCCGTGATTTTTGCTTTATGTCCCCTGATTGGGCTGACGTACGTCGACTCTGTGGAAGGTCCGAGTAATCGCTAACGTCTTTTTTGCTTAATAGGGTTGGGCTGCTTCAATACGTCCCGGGTATGAAGGAACACCATGGAGCTGGTCTAAACATCGCTCTGGCTACATGTATGCCTACCATGATCTATGACTTCAAGATGGTTAACTGACGCCGACATCCAGTACCTGCTCTTGCGGGGTTGATCTTCGGAACCCAACGAGTACGTCTTTCTGCTTTGTATTACGAGCGGTTAAGCTTAGTACAAGTTTCCCTCTCCAGGATATGATAGCTGTCTGGGCATGTCGAAGGAAGAAAACGGAGTCATCGGTTCCATTTACCGGCACATCAAGTCAAAGTAGCGCGAAAGTCTAACTTTATGCGTCTCCAGTATGCCAGGTCGGAGAGCATGGCCAGGGCTGCACCTAGCCTATGTAGCTTCACGCAAAAATCGGGCTCTTTGTGTCGAATTCAGCCCTTCTATCGGCTTATGGGCAGCCACTATTTTTCTCTGCGTCCGAAAGGTATCGTCAGACAAGGAGGGTATCGAATGCTATTGACATTTTGTTGATACAAACTGCGATTCCTAAAAGAGAGTGAAGATAAATGAAGGGCGAAGTCAAAGCACACGATAGTCAGTGAACGAAGGCATAAAAATTCTGTTGTGTTTGAACGAAGGCAGCCCTAATGGTAACCCGGACAGAGGTGTAGTGTCAAGAGACGAGTGGTTGTAATGTCGAGAAACGGGCTATGAATTTACAGTTTCCTGATGCTGTTGATGATGAAGCAGACACTTAGCTATCTTAATATCAAAGGGAAAGGATGTGCACTTACGATTCGGCAGAGATGGTACCATCTGTAACGCGGATGGCAGCGGGAAGGTTGGAAGCACAGAGCAAGTCGAGGAGGCCTCTCTCGAATGGCTCGGGTGCCACCGAGCGAGGAGCGCGAACACTGAAGCGGGAAATAGTGGGCAGCGAGCGTTTGGAGGCGTTGGCAGCTTGGTCGCCGAAGCATTGCTAGACTCTTCGTCAGCATCCACTCCACGCCCAGCAGGCCAAACAAACAACTTACAGCGTACAACTCCCATTGCTCCTCATAGAGCGTGTACCTCGTTTCGGGGTTCCAGAGACCAAAGAAGTCGGCGTTGGCGCCGATACTAACATCGAGGCCAGCGCCAATCGAGAAGCAGCCGCCGAAGGTGGCACTGCCCTCGGTGCTAACGGGTCTCTTAGTCGCCTCAGCGAGATCGGCGGTGACGGTAACAGTTTCGCGGAGGGTAACAGTCTCAGTTACAGTAGTGGTTGAGCCAGCGGCCTCAGCAAGAGCTGCAGCGGCGATCTCAGAACCAGCTTCTGGGACGAATGTCTCATCGCGGCTCCAGTAGGGCGTTGCACCGCGGCGGTTCAATTGCTCGGCGATGTCCCTGGCGCCAACAGGCGAAATGACGACAGTGCCAGAAGCGGAGGCGTGCAGATCGAGCTTCAAGTTTGCGCTAGCATCAACGTCAAGGAAGACGCCAGCTTGGACGATGCCACCCAAAGCGGAGATACCGAGCTTGACGGTAGGAATGAGATGCGCCTCGACAGTGCCGGCGGCAACAATGCCGGGGCTAGCATAAAGCGTGAGGGCTGGAATCACCATTAATTAATTAATCTGATGGACGGTGCCAGTAGCTTACGAGTATCAACGACGCTGAAGGTTCCATTGCCCGCCCGAGGGCTGTTTGGAGGGAAGACAAGCTGAGCATTGTCGATCTTGTACTTGATTCCAACTTTCAAGCCAAGGTTGATATCGAGGTTAGCGATTGCTTGGGCGTTGATCTCGAAAGATGGGCCGACGGTAAGGATGCTAAATTTTGGCGTAAAAATGTAGTCCGAATGCAGGTAGTCGTTCAACGTACCCAGGGAAATCAAGTCCAGGAAGGGCGACCGAGTACAAAGTCTGTTTGCCAGTATCGATAGCACCAGTGACTCCGGCATTGACGTTGAGGGCACCGTCGAGTTCAGCATTCAAACCTTCGCAAAATGTAAGTGGATCGAAAACGTGAAACGGAGGCACAACATACCAGTGATAATGGCGAATTCATTGATCACAGGAGGAATGACGGTACCACTGACAACAATGCCGAGGGCGACGGCAGCATGTGCGTTAGCATCGACATCGATCTTGAGGTTGGCAGACAGCGGCGGGCAAGAAACACTCTCATCGATCAAGGGGAAGTTTCTGGAGATACCGACTTCAGCGATAGTGGAGGATTTGTCGACATCGAACTCGTTAAGAGACTTGATAGCTATGAAGTGAAATGATTGTCAAACTGCCGGAGAAAAAATAGACATGGGCCAACCATCAAGGGCTTGCTGGATCCAGTCGAACAACCCGCGTTCCATCGCACGGCTACCGCGCCTCTCAAAGAGAGATATGTCGATCTCTCCCTTAGCTCCGGGAACATTGGCGGCACGAATCGCGAAGTTGACGGCTGTGCCTTTTTTCTTTGGACCCGCACCGAATTCCGTGCTCAGATGCAGAGCTTGCACCTGAGGCAGGGTGCCATCGCGGCGAACAAGGCTGCGAGCAACTTCCGTTGGGATGGATTGATCTTCTGGTACCCATGCGTTCGTGATTACGGCGAATGGACCTCGTCCGCACTAACGGTGGGTCAGAAGGCGGAACGGAATATGCAGAGGCATAAATATATGCGCCGGGACTTACGCTTTCGGGCAAACGGACAATCTTGCCTGATGCACCAGAGTTGCTGTATAGACGCTCGCAATCTGCCTCCTTGCCTTCCTGACAAACAAGACGAATATCTTGCGAAAGGTCTTCTGGAGAGCATCCAATGATCTCCCAGCCACCAGCAGGGGTAACGTCAGCGATCGAGGCGGTAGAGCCCCACTGATCATCCGTTAGCGAGAATAAAGTCCTCCAATGTGTTCAGACTTACGATCTTCAGTGTTCCAGAAGAGGCACCCGACGAGGCAGGAAGGTCTACGACGCAGACAAGGCTTAGTTTCGCAATCACGCCAGAATGCCAGATAAGACGCACCGTACTCGCAGACTCCGTCAAAGCATGGCTTGCTCCAGTCGTTGTTGGCCGACACGACGGTAGCGACTGCGATGAGGAGAAGCAAACGAGGGAAGGCCATTGCAGATATTCCGACACACCGCTAGCGAAAGACTCTTATTCTATCGCCTTTTGAATAAGAAACGAGAGACAGAGGCGAAGGTCGGGGTGAATATTGAAGACAGACACCTGATAAGAAAGAAGCACCGGAAACGTGAGCACCTGTACAGTACTGTACACACGTTGCTGAGAGTTGATCGCACGCATGGGTGGGCTGAGCGAAGTGGGTTATGTTGATGGAATTCCATCCAGTCGGAGCAGAAAAGTAGGCCAAATGAGATGATCTTCGCGCGAAATACTTGAAATGGTGGTCTTGGCCCGTTGCTAACAACGGCTTGGCATCCTCTTCCGCTATGCGAGGCCGCCCCGATGACCTTCTGTCATATGTCCGCCTTCCGCGGCCATGTAACTGCCTCCAACAGCGCAATAGAGTGGAATCCTGTGTGCTTCAGAAGTCATCAGTCAAACAGCTGACTTGCCGCGCCTTGGAGGCATTTGGGGGGCATACCTGTGGATTTAGACAATGGCGCCTCGAGAGTCGAGAATTGGGACCTTGCCCCCGAAACGGGCGCCTGTCGTCTACCTTCGCCACGTTCACCGATTCTCCAGAATATGGATGTGAAAGTACTGGATAATTCGTCGTGTACGTCCTCCTTTCACGGAGGGCGTTTGCTTGGTTTAACCCACCTTTTCCGGCCGTCATATCGACGGTTGGCATATGGACCATCTTCTGGTGGTTGTAGTTGGGTTGTGGTTGGAAATATTATAATTGTATCGTCTCACATTCCCACGACCAGAACTACACCTCTCCCTCTACATTATGCATAAAATCCACCTCGAAGTCCACCATCATCATGGCCACCAACGCCCGTTCGAATTTGTTCGAATTCTTTTCTCAACTAGAACAATCTCAATTAATGCCCTCTTATCTCGGAGTTTCAGGCATCCACAGAAGGACTTACAAATATCATATGAATGATGCAACTTCAATTCGGGCGAGGAAGACCGGCAAATAACGCAGGCGGCAGGTGGGATGTTTTGCCTTGCAAGAGCGGAAAAATTGCCAGCGAACCACTTGACCCTTTCTAGTATCTAGCCTCACCACTGCATGCCAGGCGCTTGGATCTTATCTGTAGTCATTATAATGACTGGGCAGGACGATAACCTTGTCGTCGATATTCGCCGACCTGGCATGATATTCTACGTATCCTTAGTGCAGAATGAGGCAACAAGGGCCCTGTTTCTCTGGATGGCCATCGAAGTTGCGTTAACTCTGCTGCAAACCTCGTTTGATCCCTTGATTTGTTCCTCTGTGGATAACTGGCCCAAACTTCTCATTCTGACTCATGACATGCAACCACCCTGGCAATAAGTGGGAGGGTTTTTTTGTTCCTTTCGAAATCACACGCTGCCACACAGGACGGAATCTCCTCTTGCTATGCCTCTCGACGTCATATCCTACACAGCTGACCAGGTCACCCTTTGCGTCTTGTTCTTGAAGGGAGTTGCCGACTTTCAGAGCGAGCAAGTTACACTTCGCTTTCTCTTGGCCCGTACCAGGTGACCAGTGCTGTTTACGCCTTCAATGGTATGGACATGCTGCCGTCACATGCAGAGCGCTCTTTGGAAGTTTGGACGTGAATTTCCAAGAAGCGATGGTGGTGGCATCCAGCGTTGCATATGCTTCAAGTTCGTTGATCTCTCTTGAATTGTGTGCCTTGTCTCGGGATCTCGATCCACTGGACTGAACGCTTATTCTACTTACCGTGTCAACGTCTTTGAGAACAATTATGTTGTAGTTGCTGAGACCACGCAAGGAGCACTTCCTCTCGATCTCTGTAAATCTCCACTTGGGAGGATTTCCCGAGAAAATGCCTTGAGGTTTCGAGTCGTGCTGGCACCCTACAAATTCATGAGTTTTTTACGCAGCCTGTTCCCTTCCTTCCCAGCTATGCCACACTTCTCCTGTTTATTCGTGCAATTTATCCTTGCGGATTATGACATGGAGCAACCTGCAGATTTGCTTGCGATCCAAGCTTTTTCGGCGCCTGTTTGCGGGACCCCTGTAATTTGCGCCACACTGTGGAGCTTGAATTTCATTACGCTTTTTGGACGTCGATGGAGCCAAATGCTATGGAACAGCGATTCAGGCTAGTTAAGGCCCACAAGAAATCCATTTCCTCAGTGCACACCGCTGTTGAGATCGCCACTAGAAAATCTTTTCTGTTTGTCGTTTACGAGATACCGTGTTCACACTGGGACATCTCTCCGTTGCGCCGTCTTTCCTAGGAACTCAGATAGTGATCGCAAATCCTTTGGGATTAACCTCGCGTAACCTCGTGGTCAGTCTCTGGTCCCCGCATTTATCAAAGTTCTTCCGACGAACAAGGGATGACATGCGCACGAATTAATATTACCCACAGCGGCCCGTTAGTGTCACTTCGATATCGGATAAGTAAGATATGAGGCGACACATACCGTATACTCTGCACCATCTGACGCCTTTGATCTTCTGAGAAACGGATAATGGAACAGAACTGAGAAAGAACTTCGTTTTGCGCCCCGTACTCTTAAAAGTCTACGTAAGGGCTCCTCATGGCACGGAAACATGGAAGATGGTTGGAGAAGATGCGAATGGAGATACACAGGTGGTTGTAAACATGGAACGGCAGTGTTAACTTAGCATACATATATCACATTATTTACTTTCCCAAGGCCCATGCAGAAATACAACCCAAACCCCTTTAAATGCGATGTTGGAGGTTGATGTGCACCGCCTTGACGTTAGTATAACTGTAGTCATGATAAAGTCAGACCACGAAAAAAGGACAGTGATAGAAGGACGCACTTCGAGAGGGCGTACTCTCCGAGCTCGCGTCCGATACCTGACTGCTTGTAGCCACCGAATGGCACTTGCGCGTGGAGTTGGTTGATGCAATTGATCCAGGCAGTACCGGCTTGCAGCTGGTGGGCGGTCTCGATGGCGCGGTTGATGTTTTGCGAGAAGACGGCGGCAGCGAGGCCGTACGCCGTGTCGTTTGCCTGCTTGACGACTTCCTCCTGGGTCTTAAACTTGATGACGACACCAACAGGGCCGAAGATCTCCTCTTGCACGATCTTCATGTCGGGGGTAGCGTCCGTGAAGATGGTGGGGTTGATAAAGTAGCCCTCGTTACCCTTGCGATCGCCGCCAATCGCCACAGTGGCGCCTTGCTGTTTTCCGGACTCGATGTAGCCCATGATGCGGTCGTATTGAATTTGTGAGACTTGAGGTCCCTGGTCGGTATCGTTGTCGAAGGGGTCGCCGACCCTGATCTCACGAGCTTTCTGGGTAAAGCGCTTCAGGAACTCGTCGTAGATAGCCTCCTGGACGAATATGCGCGAGCCGGCGCAGCATGCCTGTCCGTGATTCCAGCTACATACAAGTTTAGAGGAAGAACGCGAAAGCAAATGAAACTGGACGCACAAGATACCATGGGCTGCCCAATTGACGGCCTGGTCCAGATCTGCGTCGTCGAAAATGATATTCGGGCTCTTTCCTCCGAGCTCGAGCGTAACGGTCTTCAAATTTGACTTGGAAGCAGCCTCCATGATCTTGCGGCCGACGAGTGTGCTGCCCGTGAAAGCGACCTTCTCGATTTTCATGTGCGACGAAATGGCAGCGCCAACGGTGTGCCCGTATCCGGTAACGAGATTGACGACACCATCAGGGATGCCAGCCTCTTTGAGGATCTCGCACATTCGAATGGCGGTCAGGGGGGTGAATTCGGAAGGCTGGAAACATATTCAATATCACCATGCCAAAATATCGTAAATTAGGCAGACCTTAAGGACAATGGTGTTTCCAGTAGCGAGAGCAGGGCCGATCTTCCATGACCACATAAGAACTGCATGTCTCTCAGGCAGCTATCAGATAAACAAAGAAAGAGACGTACGAGGGAAATTCCAGGGAATGATCTGGCCAACAACCCCGATGGGCTCGTGGCGAGTGTAGGCGAGTTTTCGTTCGTCGGTCTAAGTTTGGGCGTCAAAAACGGAAAAACCGTAAATAAATAGACGAACCTCGATCGTTTGCCCTGTGACCTTGTCGGCCCAACCGGCGAAGTACTTGATCACGTCGATCGAGAAAGAGACGTCAGTTCCGAGGGCCCAATCGTATGTTTTGCCTGGAGGGCAATTCAGCTGAGTTGCAGAAAAAGAGACGTGTCGGGCTCACCGTTGTCCAAGGATTCAATCGCAGCCAGTTCCTCCTTGTGTCTCTCCATACTTTTGCTAGGTTCCACAGGAGCTCTGCACGCTTAGCGCCAGGAGTTTTCAACCCCCACACGGTGTCGAATGCCTTCTGGGCGGCGGCGACGGCGAGATCGACATCCTTCTCCACAGCTTCTGAAATCGACGTGATAACCTTTCCGTTGGCTGGTGAGGGTTGAGCGAAGAGATCTAAAAATGAATTGAAGGAGCATACTGGGGTTAATGACACTGCGATAAGATAACAGCAAGATCAGAATGAGATTCGACATCGTGCTCGCCAAGGACTTACTCGATGGTTGTGCTGTTGGACCCATCGAGGAACTTGCCGTCGATGAAGATACCAGTGTTAAAGGATGTTTTCCCCTTGTACTTGGGAGTTTCCCATTGGTAAGAGAATGTCGAAGGCATTGTGTAGAGTGGGGCGATGAAGAAGAGGAAGAAATTCGGTTTTGGAGTCGATCCTGAACGAAGGTGTCTTATATGACCCCAGCTTCCGCCGACCCCCTGTGAATCGCAATACTCTATCCGGGGCGAAGAGGTTGTCAGGTGGCCAAATCTTTAGTTCCCGTTTCGTGCGCTGCTCCGCCGTTGGAACCCTCGTTCCGAGATCGTGATCATATGTCCCTCCTAATCCGCTTCATAGATCTCCAGATGCTCGTCGCCACAGAGGGCTGGAAGAAAGTGTTCATGGAAGACCTGGCGCGATTGCCCCCCTTCGACCTTTCGGTAGAGTTAAGATTACTGCCAACATCCTACAGAAGGATCATGGTTAGTCTCAGACACTGTTCTTACAGAAGCCCTTCAAGGACGTGATCGAAGTTACACACCGAATCAGCTTTCATTATTCATCAGTCTTCACATTCCAGATGACGAAAGGAGGAATTTGAGATCTCCAAGGGTATCTAGGGGTTCTTGGGCGGGTCTAGCTCCTACCCCAGTCATGGAGGGGCCCACCTTATTCCGTACCCCGCTGCGGGGAGATGCGGGGAACCTTCGCCAAGACGAATTGCATGCTGGGGTTGGCTGGAGCAGACCGACGTCAAGGCACGGCTCAGCTGATACGAATCTGCGTGAGTCTATAAATATCTCTGTCGGAAACGGAGTTGAAATATAATCAATATAACTCATCAAGGTTTATCGCCGTTCATTATCGTCGAGGGTCGCGCGAGGAGACGAGTACATGCGCAAGGAATATCTTGAAGCCGTCTACCACATGGTGAACGGAATATCGGGATGAACGGCGGAGGCGCCTCGAAACGAAAAATAAAAATTCTCTTCGGGCTTACATCGAACAAGCAACCACACGAGCGAATGGAGCCATTGAAATGCTACCTTATGCATAAAGTTCATTTGTTTGACTCAAGGTGTGTCGACTCACCAATCAATACTTGTCTAGTGTGCTAGTCCCGCTTCGATGGCGCACAGAAGGGCGCAGAAGCGGCGCTTTGCATACTTCGAATGCAGACAAGAAAGTTTAAACCGTTCTGTCGTGATAAGATGATGACGAAATTAGCTCACTGGGGAGTCGGCGACTCCTCTTGAATCGGAGGCTACTGCTTCGATGTAGAAAAGGGTCGTATTCTCAGCGTGCGATCGCTCTACGTCGTCGAACGCGTTTGAGAGAGATTTCAAAAATAGCTATAGACGCGTAAGCCCGTGAGGTTCAAATCGAACCCACGTTATGCTCCGAGGATTGACGGGAATAGCCATGAAAGACGTCGACGGTTTGGCAGTCTAGAAGTCAGGATCAGATCGGACCGAATGGAAGTGAAATTCACTGCGTCACCAAGTACCGTTGGCGATAGCGAGCAGGTCTGTTTCTCGAACGCAAGACGCCGGATCCAGTGATGGGGTCCCTCCTGAGTGACGGAACGAGAAGTCACACCTGCATTATTTGTGGGTACTATGTATTTACTTCCGAATTATGCACAAAGGCACCCTGTGATGTCCTCCAAAAACATAAATTTACAGGAGAAGAAGCAAAATATGTAGTTTTATGAGAACACCAGACACGAAGACCGGAATTTCAGAAAATAATATCTGAATTTGCGTGAATTTCACTCAGATCGCTTGCCTTCGCTCCTCCGTCGCCAAATTTCATTGCCCTTTGCCCCAGACGAGGAACATACCTTCTGAAGAGCAGCTGACATCTGGTAAGCTCTACAAGTTAACAGGGTCGAGTTATATACACATTTCGGCAGGGAGGAACAAAAGGAGGAAGACCCCACGGGGTTGCAGGCAACAATGCAATAGCCTTTGTGATGGCCAAATATCTCGCGAGGGGCCTGATGAAATCTGAAGGGAAATCAGAGAGAGCAAAGGCTCAAGCCAGAATAGACGCAGTATTGTACTACCTCACGGTAGCTAGAAAATGATAACAAAAGTAAGGGGGGTGCGAAAAGGGACAGAGCTCAAGGCGAGGCATAACGAGCTACGTGAGATGAGGGAGAGTGAGCACGAAGAGAAAGGAAGTACAGTGACATGAAAATATAAAGGCGATGAAAAGCAAAGAGGAGGGCATGAAAAATAAATCTAAACACGTCGACGCGTCGCTCGCTCTCATAGACCCTAATCAATGATAATTATCCCCTCTGCGGCGTGAGCTGCTCGGCCGAGTCCGAGCGTTTAACCAGCGCCTATGGATTGCCTCGCCTGCATCAAATGCGCTCTGAGGATTATAATCCATAAAATACTCTGAGGGCGCTTTATGTAACTAGGAGCTACTTAGGCGCCCGCTTTCAGAAAATCCTACGAGGGCCGTGACAGTGTAATTATTGGGAAGCCACAGGGAGACATGGATAGTATCCGGGCCACCGCATTTAAATGATTTCCCAGCTAATGCGCCAAGACTCCCGGGCATCTCACATAATTCCTTTCTCTTCGCTGTTGCTCAGTAGGAGGAGGAGGATCTGTTGTTTATTTTATCGCACACGCCCTTGACGTTCGTTTCTTTCAATCCCTGCTATTTCTCGGGCAGTGCACAGCCAAGGAAAAGGTAACGTGTACAGGGTTCGATGGGAACTCGAGCCTCCCGCTCTGTTGTCGGGGCGTCCGACAAGGCGCGTGAAGTTCGGGATTATGAACGCCAGCCCGAGCCGACTCCATCCCATTTTGGCGCCCGCGCCTCTAGCGCCGCCATTTCGCCAGCCGCCATTTCGCCAGCCGCCATTTCGCCACAAGCATGTGATTTACATAGCTTACTCTTTTGTTCACTCTCCGTATTGCATCGCCTTCCATTCTGTACCTATGGTGTTCTTTATTGCACATTTTCCCTTCATTTTATCTCTGGGATATTCAATCCTGATTTCCTCCTGTTCCACTTACTTCCTTCGAGTACTCTACAAACAATGTAGCTGCTCTGTATATCTGTTTCAACTTTCAGACTCGTGTCATTTCCCTTGACCGTTTGGGAGGCAAACGACTGAGGTGAGTTATCTACCTACTTTTGCATCACTCGTGAACTTATTTATGTACGTCGTCACCGAGCTCTTCATTTAGGGTTCGTACAGAGCTCAACACCTAGGTCTGCACACCCTCTCGTAACTGCTACGGCGCACCCTCGGGATTCTCCATTTTGGCCAACAGTCACGCATCCATTGGAAGCGGTGCCAGGATCCCCTGGCACCGCTCTAAGAACCACGACCTCCTTCCAAATACAGACCTGCTCGCTATCGCCAACGGTACCAAGAGCAGATAAGGACAGACTTGCGACTTGGCGCCATTGAGCACTCAGCAGAGACTTCCCCTCGCCGAAGGACCAATTGTGAAGTTGCCGGTAGGATAGAGTAGATTCGCACATTCCACGAAGAACGCGTGTCCTAATTGCCGGGGACTACATTCTGTGTGAACAGTGAAAACGGACGTGAGCGCTCTTTTTGGAGCACTTCTTTCGTCTATTGAGTAGGAGGAACGCCGCAAGGAGCACCGTTGTTGAATTCGGATGCGATAGACTGGGAATAGGAGTACCGAGAAGAGGAATGGGACAACGGTCGCGGAAACCGAGCAGCGAACCAATCTGCTGCGTTCGGAAGGACGGGGAGAGGCGCTCCGCTTCAACAAACAAGATTATGGGGATACCAGTCAGGAAAGTCGCCGTCAGCATGTATCACCGAGCTGGCCGAAATTGCTCATTCTTATTGCATGAGAATGATGCCGATCAGGTTCAAGCAACGACAGTTTGGGCCTGCGTATGGCGAGCATAGGATCTCGGGTTATGAGACGTGTAGACCAGGTGCAGTTTCGCTCGTTGAAGTGTATGCTTTCCATTTTATTTTAGATGATTTCCGAAAGCCTTGTAAATTCGGACGGTTTTCTCGACGGTGGAACCGAAAAATCGCTAAAATTGATGTAGGACCACTCATCAAAGGGCTTCTTCGGAGGTCTCGTCAGCATTTATGTAGGGCAAGACGTCGAAGAGTAAGCGGTATACCTAAAAGCTAAAGCCGCTGATCGGCTACGGTGTCAGGTCCCACCGGCATTTGTTACGTATTGGCTTCAACGACATAGGGCATATAAATGAGGTTGACTAGAGTAGTCCTTGCATATATGCGTTGCCAGCGTTGCGACCTCGATGTAACTTGTCAATAAAGTCGTGCGTACTGTTGCGGACTGCCGGGCGAATGTATGCGTAACATTTTCTCTGGATTGATGTCCGCGTTGGGGGAAGCTTCCCGACAAGTTGTGAAAAGACGTCCAAATCGTTTGGGCGCTTTCGCTTGAAGTCGGACAAAGTAGTGGAGAGCGTTGGATATCCTTTAGAGAGATTAGGAGAAGGATTCGCTGTCTGTATGCCTAGTCTTCAAGTGATATGACCAGCTTCCATGCCAGGACCAGAAAACAAGAGCATGTTGAATTGCCGTCATAGAAGATACCGATTGGCTCGACGAGTTGGCCTATAAGAGCAGCGAAGCGGTTTAGATTCAAAGCTTCCATGGGTCCAGACTCCTAAGCGCGTCCGTAGATGCTATGAGACCTTGATCGACACGCGTTAGATACTGGCCATCTCCTGGAACGCGATAGACTTGTATTATTTGCGTATAGTGGTCAGACAAATTGGATTGACCAAGAACGAGTCGAGTTGCTACGAAGGACTTCAGCATAAACAGTCGCCGAAGAGATTGTGTTTCCTCACCTAATATTCCGTGTATTTATTTTCTCTTGCACTCAGACGGGGTATTTTTGAGAGAGACGGCATATTGTGGAGGAAGATTAGCCTATTTTTCAGACCATCAACGTACGAGGTACCAGTGCTGAAAGTAAGCGTTTGATGACCTCTCTTCGGATTTTGCCAGTTTAGTCTCCCACGATAGCTCATTGGTCAGACCAACTTGGTAAGAGCGTTTAAAGTACCTGTGGAGAGCGTCTAGAGTAAGTACCTGTGGTTCAAAGTGCTTAACCCACCTATGTCATCGAACGCGAGCACTCCCAGTTTAAATTTTCGGTCAGAGCCCAGCCAGCCGACACATCTTTCACCATCCTTTCATCGTACAAGGTTGTCCCGGAGGTATGGGCGAAGAGTGGGTGAAAGAAGCTAAGAATACAAGTCGTCTGATATTTCCATATTTCCATACTGAAACAGCGTGGCCAGAAGGGGGAGGGTGGAAAGAAATCGCGAAGGTCGTACATCGAGTCTGTACTCTACTCATCAGAGCGTCCCGTGTAAAACTGGTAATGGTTATACTCCGCAATCATGATAAGAATGTCTCGCTGGAAGTTGTTGAGCCTTTCCTCTCGAATGGGACCCCGTCCAACTCTGCCTGCGAACCAATCGAAGCGGCGCCCAAGTAGAACATATTCCTCGCGTGCGATCATTCCGCGAAGGCGACCAAGTTCACTGAACATCCGGATGAGAGAGCCCTCAATAATAGCGAAAACCCACAGTAAGCCTGTGAGGCTGGAATTCAGTCCCGCATTGCGTTCTGGGTGTTGGATGAGGTGCCGGAAGCAGTCATGAAGGATGTTGACAAGAACAATGACTGTAGTACTCTTGAGTGCTGTTTGCATCCAATCAGGCTGGAGGCATAGACCACCAGCGCTACCGAGGAGGAAGCAAATACAGATGAGCTCAGCACTATTCGGCGCAAAGTCGTAGTATGTGAGTTCTGGGAATTGCTTGATGAGAGCCCCATCCCCGAAGGACCAATAGTGGAAGCGCTGTAGCCGTGAGGTCTGGCCGCCTAGCACGTGACTTTGTAGATTAGATTAGATCACATCGGCGGCTGTGCATGTTCTGTGTGCCAGCGCGTCGCTCACCGTGAATCGACACCACTCTTGCCCGCAACGCTATCCTGCGCGGCCTGCCCGACGCGTTTCCGAGCCTGCGCATCCGAGAGTCAGGTCAGATTGGCCTGCTCCAGCGCCAGTAAGATCGAGTTCCCCCATTCCACCAGGGATGCGTGACCTTAACGTTTGGATGGCCTCCGTGTTCGAGTGACGACGCGCGTTTCGACCGACAAAAATCAATGTCTTCACCTCCACCCGTTTTGGGATACCTGAGGTCGAAGTGTATGGCCCTATCGATGTTTCGTCGTGCAATCAAATTAGCAGTGACGCCCCAAGGAACGTCGTCGTCGATTTTGGTGGCAATATCCCAGAAGTAAGTAACACCTGCGAGATGAACCGCTGTGGTGAATATGGTGTTTGCTCGAGGGAAGGTTGTATTCCCGACGAAGCCTGCTGCACTCGGATGAGTCTGAATGACACGTTCTGCTTCAACCAAGAGGTTGACTTCAGGAACGACATCGTCATCAAGAAAGTGCACCCAATCGGCCGCTGATTCACCCATACCCCGGTTGCGTGAAGCAGAAGCTCCCAGGTTGGTATTGTTGACGCGAATGCGAACGTCAGCACGATGCGAATACTTGGCTTGGAGCTCGAAGACATGGGGCGAGCTGGGGTTGTCAACGATTATGATGAACATGACCGTACAAGATGAGGAGCACTGGAGGGATAAGATGGTTTTAAGGATGGAGAGATCGACGCGGTAACAAGGGACCACCACATCCAGGGTGATGCATCGTTGAGCTTTGCACCCTTGTTCGCCCAACCAATCTTCGGCCGTTGACACGGCGCCATCGAGGATCTTGAACATCCAATCTTGTACGTGATGTTTGATGTATCGCGCGTCGCCCTCACCTCCAATGCCATTCGAAAGGCGGGAAGAAAACACCCTCGAGCAATTCCATCGGCGGTAGAGTTGGAAGAGGAACGGGTCTCCGTCTTGATTTATAAAGCTGTCTGGAATCACCTCTCCTTTGAATATGTCCATTTGGGTACGATGAATGATTGGAAAAGTGGGCATTCCAGGGAAGGATACGTCAGTGAAGGCGACACACCCGAAGCCAAAAGGAACGCCGCGTTCTGATACGAGGTCCTGAAAACGTTCCTGCGCCTCCCTCATCCAGCCTTCATCCCGAAGTTCGACGTCATCACCCATGAGGACCATGTAGTCACAACCATCAATGTAAGCCCTTTTCGCACAATCCTTCCATAGTTTGCAGACGTGGCCACGAGGATGGCTGCAGGTGATCGTAACAAGATATGAAGGCCCTCGTCGTGCAGAACGGCTTCTGCACGGGTGTACCCGCTGGTTCTTTCGAGCAAGAAGTCATCGTCGTAGTCGATGGCGATATAGACGACGACGCGATAGCATGCACCGGACATTGAGTGGGCGTCTCTCCATGTCGTTCGAAATAAAGAGGCGGCGAATTTGCGAAGATTGTGAAGGCAATCATTCGGGTCGTTGCCGCCTCTGGACGTAATGGGAAGGAGGATGGCGAAGATTATGTCGGTCGGTTGGAGGTGAAGAACTTTGCTTTCCAGCATTTGGCGAAGGAGGATGGTGTGAGAATCTCCGGATACTTGCAGAAATTTGACGACTTCGCCGCGACCCCACGCTTCGGTGTGGCGCATACCGTCCTTGAGGGATATGGTCGGCCTCCAACCCAGAAGCGAACTGCTCCTTTCATTGTTCGAGTTCCTGGAGGCCACGCACACTGGCTTCGACTGGTCATAAGAGAAAGTGACAGCTGACGGATCAAGGCCAACTTGGGCGAGGGCGATCTCTGCTAATTCTTGGATGGAGACGGCGGAATCTGAGCCAATGTTGAAAACTTGAAGTGCTGAATTCGAAGAGTCCAACAACTTCAGGACCCCATCGATCGCATCGTCGACGAAGAGGAAACTCCGCCGCTGCTGCCCGCTACCCCAAACCTCGAATGCCGCGTCCTCGTTCCCGAGAAGCTGCAGCGCGACCGCCTTGCGTAGCATCGCGGCCGGCGCCTTTTCTCGTCCATCATTCCATGCGCCACCAGGTCCGAACACATTATGGAATCTGACGATACGGACATCCATTTTTGAGGCTAATTGGGAAAGAAGAATTTCTGAGATGAGTTTCTCCAGCCCGTAGAGGCCTTGGGGCTTTGGTGGGGTGTTTGCCCATACATTGTCTTCGTGAAGGGAGACGTCGTTGCTGATGTCGGTCTGAAGAGCTTCGGGATAGACGCAGGCTGACGACGCATAAATGAATTGTCTGACTTTGGCGTCGAGACATGCCCGGAGGAGGTTGGTCGTCATGGAATGGTTTTGTGCATAGAGAATGAAATCGTTCTCGTCGTGGATTGTGCCCATGCAGCCCATGTTGGCCGCGAAATGGAAAACAATGTCGAAATCTTGCACTGCTGCGCGACATACATTTGGCTCGGTGAGATCACCGCGGATAAATTCATGGCAGATCGGCCCGTCGTTCGAGAGGTTATGCGCGATATCGGCGATGCGAATTCTGTACGGCCCCACCGTCTGAAGACGCCGCGCGAGATGGGAGCCCTGCGTGGTGTCAGAACAAAAATGAAAAAGGATGGAAGAGTTTCTCACAAGAAAGCCGTGGCCTCCAGTGATTAGGACGAGTTTGGATTCGCTGGGTTCCATTGTCGTGGGTGGTTTAGATGTGCGACCCCAAAGGCCCTTATATCGCGCAGCCAAAGAATCATCGTCCAACTGAGGACTTGACCTATAATGGTTGTAAGTGACCGGATTTCCATGTCATACGGACGCTGTGAAAGAGAAGTGGTCAGTATCACCCTAGACCCAGCATGGGCAATGTTTTATGTACCCTCTTTTTCAGCGCTTATGCTCTTATCGATACAGCATTGAAAGGGGTTCATAACGAGACAATTGGGTCTACGAGGTTAAGGAAGAAAATTAGATACATGCATCGCGACAGGCAGTACATGACCGAGAAAAAAACTCACTTATATTGGAACGAAAGGTGACCTCGCCAATTTTCGTCTATGGAGGGAAGAGTTTATCGACCGGGGGCATGTAGAGCGGCATTATGACCGCAGTCAACTGATGTTCGAAGAGGGTTCACAGGAACGTCGCCGCATTATCGGCCATCGATCCAGGGGACCGTAAGAACAATCGATTCCACGCTCAAGGGAGATATAGAGTTCGCGAAGTTTGTCTTATCAACAAGCGCCCATAGCCAGAAAGAGCGGTCCAGACTACATGGATGATGAAGCGATCAGGAGGACAGATTTACTCTCAATGGATATAAGCCTTACCGTTGAATGATGCCCCACGTAAGTCCTCCACACCCACGCAATGCCCGCATATCAATTCACGCCAACCCAGGATTGGTTCTCGCACAATATCGACCACTGGAAAGCCCTGTTTCCTCTCGTCCCATCGGCCAAACCTCGCGTTCTAGAAATAGGTTCTTGGGAAGGCCGTTCAGCTGTCTTCCTCCTCGAAATTTTGTGCCGAGATGGCGGCGAGATCGTCTGCATCGACAACTTTGACCTCTTTCATACCGAAGCCGGCCAGGAGCGATACCGCAAGATGCAGCACAACCTTGAATTGACAGGGAAAAAATCACGTATCATGCCCCAGTTCAGCACTCCAGCATTGATGACGATTTTGACGGAGGAGATATCCGCGGCAGTTCCAGGATTCGACTGGATTTATGTGGACGGGTCGCATGAAGCCGACGACACGTTGCGGGACGGGGAGCTCGTATGGCGGCTCGCCAGGAAAGGGGCGATCGTTATCTTCGACGACTACCTTTGGGACAAGGAACCAGAGGACAGTATGCACCATCCGAAACGCGGCATCGATGCGTTTTTGCTTCTTCATCAAGGAGAATACGGGCGCTTCACCGATCCTTTGCATTACCAAGTCGTCTTCCGAAAGCTGACCGATATGCGTATCGGTTTCCTCATAGACAATGCCGGATCCAAGACTGACGAGGGGTTCGGGTACGGTATCAATATCGCATTGACCGTCGACTCTGCGTACGCTGTTGGAGCGGTGGTGACCATTCGCAGTATCGCGGATTCCACAGCAGGTCGTAGGTCATTTTACATCGTTGACTGTGGATTATCCAAACACGACAAGGAAAAGCTCGCAGCGAGTGTAGGAGATCTATCTCAACGATCTGACGATGATTTTTGTCGAGTTGCCGGAAGAGAGCTTGACGAAGTAGATGGGGCCCTGTTGGGCGAAGCTGGACATGATACGCGCATTGCCAATCGAGCGAGTGCTATATATCGATTCCGACACTCTTGTCCGAAAGAGTCTGAAGAAGCTGTGGGACCACGATCTAGGCGGCAAGGCCGTCGGTGCAGCGTTTGACGTTGGCCATCCTATGGGACACGAGGGAGTGGCGAAGCGGCCGTACTTCAATGCAGGGGTCATGCTCCTGGATTTGTCGCGTATTCGACAGGGCATCGAAAAGTTGCTGGAACTTGGCGAACGTATGAAGAGTTCGAAGTTCCGCGATCAAGACGTCCTCAATCTCCACTTTGCAGACGACTGGATGCCCTTTGGCCTGGAATGGAATGCACAAGGACTTGGGACATATGCTCGATACCCTTCAGACGACAGAAAATGTCTTCAAGGCCAGTTGGAAAGGATGAAGGACCCAGCAATTGTCCACTTCACAGGCCCAGTCCATCCGTCTCTTGTCGAGGTCCTAAATCCATGGGTGGAACCACCAACTGCAAAGCCATGGGGTTACGTCGGGGCGCCAGGTCACCCGTTTGAGAACGAGTGGCAATTGGTGTTAGGAAAAACGGAGTGGCGGCTGAAGTCGTAAATGAACAGTTGGCGAAGGCTGAAGCCGACTACAGGGCTAAAGTAAAGTTACATCAGGCAGCCTGAAGTGTATAACAAGCGCTCACGTCAACAACATAAGTTGCTTCTGTAGTTTTCCCGCCCATCATGTTATAATCGAATGCATTTTGAAGGTTGGTTTGGAGGGTTTGATTTGGCGCCCCTTCTCACTCTGCGGTATATTAGGTTAGCGCATTATTTACCCTTTCATAACTCGAATGCAGTTACATGTCTTCAAAGTTGAAGTATGTAGTTGTGGTTGTAGTAGGTTGCATAGCAGCGGCTAAATTCGGAGGAGGCGCCATCATCGACGTCAACGATTCTCTTTCCCTTTTCTGGCTTGCTCGCTGTTGGCCACGAACGTCGACAACAGCATCAGCAATTTGCACTACCCCCTCAGCCTTTGAAAATTGAGCCTCTCTGCGGGCCTGGACATATGGCACCGGTGACACCGAAGTGATGTCAAGAATCGGGGCAAAACGGGTTTCAGCACACCAAAATCGAGTTAAACGTGCAATATCAATGATGCTCCAGGCTCTCACCAGTACCATCATCTAGCCATGCAACGCTTGCGATAGAGGTCCTTTCCTTTCTGCCACATCCTTCAACCTTGCGCTGGACGCCAAAGCAGCCGTGCTGCCAATGAATACTTGTGGAAACTGCACGGACAACAGGGAGCGCCAGGTCGCTTCTTCGAGTTTCCCTGGTGGAGGCTCGAGTGCTCGTCCGCTGGATAATGGATATGGTGCGTGGGGTAGCTCGATTTCTCCCGAATCAAGACCTGACAATGTTTTTTTTTCCTCAGGACAATCTCGTTCAAAGTTCCGGGCAGCGCATCTTCCAATGTATCAACTTCATTCCGTCGCATCCTCTTTTCCTTCTAACGTGGCATTGGCAGCTCCGAGTCACCTATCCCGCAGAATGATCCATTCAGCGTTCCGATATCTTCGTCCTGGCCTTCGCCTCTTGGAAGGTACAGCCCGATTTCGCCCAAGATGCCTCTTCGATCTGGGCGAAGACGAGTTCGCCCCACGACTCGACGAAGGCATGGATGTGGCTCGGTAGTTGAATGCCCGCTACGCTTTCCTGTGGATACAAAGATCCCAGGTGCTGAGTATACGTTCGTGTTCCTCACCAAACTTTTGCATATGGTTCATTGAGATCTTTACTACAGGCTGCGCTACACAGCCGCTACTTGCGACCCAGACGATTTCAACTCGGCAAACGGTTACACGCTGCGTGGCAGTAAAGGCAACCAGTCTACAGAGGCCCTGATCGCGATAACGGCATTCAACGAGAACGCGGTGATGTACGGCAGGACTCTCAGCGGTGTATTTGCCAACATTCAAGACATCTGTACTTCTCAGCGGTCCAAGTATTGGCGGTCATGCGTTGAAGATGGCAATCCAGCATGGCAGCGGATCACTGCCGCGTTAGTTGTCGATGGTCTAGACGAGATGGATAATGACGCGTTAGACCTATTGGCTAAAATCGGCGTGTGCCAGACGGGCATCATGAAGAAGCAAGTTCAAGGAAGAGAGACAACTGCCCACATTTTTGAGGTTCGTGAAGTCCGCATGGCTATTCCTCATACCCTCAACAAGTGATCGTCCAATCTGTCATATCTTCAAGAGCCTTCAAAAGCGAGCCATTCATCAAAGGCTCGATTGTTGTCCCGGTCCAATTCATCTTGATCATTAAGGCGAAGAATCAGAAGAAGATCAACTCTCATCGTTGGATATTCGACGCTGTTGGGAAAATTCTGAAGGTTGGTGCCATTCATTCCCTCAAAGATCTTCGGTTGATATTTTATGTAGCCCGAAGTGTGCATTTTGGTCGATGCTGGCACCAAACCTGGTCCGAACGCTATCTATCGGCTATGGCAAGCCTTTCACGACAACCCAAATCTCGGTGGTTCCTGCGGTACGCCTTTTCATGCTCTGGATGTCCTCCCGTACTGAAAGACCGCGAAGGCGAAATTCATCCCATGGGCGGTAGGCCTTTGCTTAACCCTTTGGTCGCGGCCCAGAACTTCGAGTATAAGATGTCGAACATTCTTGGTTAGTGCCTTGCATCTTCATTGAAAGTCTTTTCTGACACCTCAAATAGACAAGCCTCTAGAGAGTACCTTTGGCTACGTTACCGTCTTGCCAGGAGCCTTCAGTGCATATCGCTACAGGTTCGTTCTTGAATCATGTGTCAATCTGCCGGTTATTGGTTATCAATGACCGTACAATCTAGAGCGATCCTCGGCCGACCACTTGAGCTATACTTCAAGGGCGATCACTCACTGGCGAGGCGGTTAGGAAAAGACAATCTGCAAGGCTTGAGCATGCTTCAAAAGAACATGTTCCTCGGTAAGCCGATCACTTTCTCTTTTTGTACGCGTTATTCACGAAGTCGAATAGCTGAGGATCGGATCCTCTGTTTCGAGCTCATAGCGAAGGAGGGCGAGAAGTGGACCATCTCCTATGTCAAAGACAGCAAAGCAGAGACGGACGTCCCAGAGTGCACGGCTGAGCTCCTCAGTCAGCGTAGAAGGTGGCTTAACGGCGCCCTTGCCGCCAATGTTTATGCCCTTGCAAATTTCCATCGACTATATCGCTCAAAGCATGGATGGAGACAACTAGTGTTGTACCAAGTTCAGGCTATTGTGCGTCTCGTGATGTTGTCTCTACCTCCGAGAGCGAAACTCTGACTTCTGGACGATATAGTATAACGCCCTCTCTCTGGTCTTTTCCTGGTTTACGCTGGCAAACGTCTGGCTTGGTTCCAGCATGCTGTTGGATAATCTTTCAGGATATGCGCCGTATCCATACGTTACTTATGCAAGCCGTTCTGACCACCATCTTAAGCATCTTGTTGACGATTCAGCAGGTTGATGGAGTCAGCAAGGTCATCAAATACGCCTACCTCGTATGTCTGGCCCTCCAGGTCGGTTATATGCGCCCTTCTTTTAGATGTTACATGCCCTAATGCTGTGTTCCTGTCAGTTCCTTCTCGCCTTTGGAAACCGACCCAAGTCAGAACGTCTGACGTTCAACATCCCGCTATGGTATGTATGTTGTCTCTCAGACATTCGGTCCTTACCAAGCAGCATTCGATTTTCAGGTTCTTCGCCTTTTTGACGATCTACCTCATGGCTGCTCCTGGAGTTTGGTCACGACTGGCAGCCTCATCTCCTCGTGTACATCCTCCCTGCACGGAAGTACTTCATTCCGCATCGACCCCTACTGCGTCTGGCCTCGCAGCTCTTCTTGTTCCACTGAGCTCTGCAGTCGGTGAGTTGGCTTGGCTTTGGGCATTAATTTGCAAGCGTCTCACACGCTGTTCCCAGGTATCTATGTCGTAGCTTCCCTGCTCTATGTGGGCTTCGATCTTTCACTCGTCACTCGGGAAAGATGCTAACATTAATCCAAATCTAGCTCGATCCTTGGCACTTGCTCCATTCGTCACTGCAATACCTATGTATGGGACCCAGTTTCATCAACGTGTTGACCGTTTATGCCTTCTGCAATCTCCACGACGTGTGTGCGTTTTGCTCGTCGCATGCGGCGTCTGCTGACTCCTAGCATTGGATAGGTCTCGTGGGGGACTAAAGGGTGCGATAAGCTGGAAGTCTTGACGCCATTGGTCACGTCGTTTACCCGGTTTCTTGGCCACATCCATCCTGGGGACAAGATGAGATGCGATCGTGGACGCCAGGAATCGCAGATGAAAGCAGAGATCGAAGACCTCCACAAGAGTTTCCGAACGCGCGTGGTCATTTTATGGCTCTTGTCCAATGCGATATTGGCCATCGCTGTAGAGAACTTGGGGGGATGGCTCAACCTCAACGATCCGTCAATTACCATCGAGCAAGTTCAGCTCTTCCACAGAGGGCAAACCAACGGACGTAGAGCGTATCTTTCCGTCCTCCTCTGCGTTGCGTACTGGTTTGTCCTTTTGCGCTTTGTGGGAGTAAGTGTCTAGATTTTTGTCAACTGAGTTTCAATTCTGACATGTATGTTACGCAGAGTATCGTTTATTGGGTCAGGAATATTGTCTTCAGCTGGAGGAGGAAACGATCGTAACGGGACAGAACGATGTATTGGAGAAGGAATTGCGAAATGTGAAGTTATCCCGTGATACATCCGCTCAAGTGCTATCTCAAGAAAGAACGAATTTCGACGTAAATCGAACGAGGCTTGCGCCACTAATCCATTCGGTCAACGTGGATCCAGCTAGGACCAGCGACGTTGGCTAACATTGGTCACAAGTGATCTCCGAACCCATCCCCGAGTCCGAGACCGAAATTGAAGTCATGTAGCACTCAATGCAAACAATGACGCTGGCCGCGCCGCGCAATGCAGGTGATGGATGACTGTACTTAACCTCTCCAATCTTTCCGCATTCTCACCGTCTACCCTCGGTGAAGCTGATTCACCTCTGACAGAGAACCCCGAGAAGACAGGCGCCAACGCTCGATGATGGCAGATAGATACTTACCTACTCTCGTCGTCTCTGGGTATAAATACCTAGGCGGATGGGTTCAGACCTTTAGACCCACCCACCGACTCTTATCCATTGTAAGCACTGCATTTAACGCCTTGTTTAACGACATGTCTGGAAAGCTCGTTCTGGTGCGTAAATCGTGACTTTCCATGTTGTCCAGCCATCGAAGCTGAGCTTGTTGACCTCTTCAACAGGTCACTGGAGCTACAGGATTCATCGCTGGCCATGTCATAGAGCAAGCTCTTGACGCTGGTTATCGTGTTCGAGGGTGAGTTACTGAGTGATGCTGAGGGCACCCGAGGCTGCAGTTGCTAAAAATAGACCAAATCAGAACTGCTCGGGCAGGCAAATTACAAAGCCTCCAAGCCCTTCATGTTCCTAACCTCAAGTTCGTCCAAGTCGACGACATTGCCAAAGATGACTTGACCAAGGCCCTGAAAGGTGAGATTTTGCACTGAAGCCAAGGTTCGGATTCGCTGAACGTTTTCGCCAGACGTCGATATTGTAATTCATGTCGCGGCGCCGTTACCCGGTGCTGCCTCGATTGACGATACGGTCAATGTCAGTGTTCAAACCCCGTCCTAAAACTTCTTTCATTGATTATTCCGTTATTCCAGACCGCTCTTGAAGGCACCCTGAACATCGTTCGTCAAGCAGAGAAAGCCGGCATTAAGAAGCTTATTGTTACGACCACTTTCGGAAACGTTATGGATCGTGAGTCCAGTGGATCTATGGTATAACTTCCTATTGCTAAGATTCCGCTAGCTACCTTGTTCCCTGGCTTCGCTGGTCTGACACTTAACGACTCCCGTGCGTGTGCTTCTTGACTGCAGGTAGTTGTGATGCCTAACTCTTCTCGTCCACAGAATGGGGTGAAACCACCAAGGAGGAGATCTATAAGCGCGCAGAAAATCCATTCTACACCTACTTCGCTGCGAAGAACCTGGGCGAGAAGGCCCTCTGGGACTTCGTACGCGCACATCCCCATCTCGACGTCGCGACGGGTAAGCACCACATCTGTTTTGACAGCATCTACAGAGGGTTTATATTTCCATTGCAGTCCTTCCAGGCTTTGTATATGGGCCATACTCGAAGGTTCTGCCTAAGCCCAAGTCCCTTCAGGAGCTGGGTACCAACACCTTCGCCTACAACGTCCTAAAGGGTGTGAGTTACCCTCCGGTCGCCCCACCTTTCGTCGTGGACGCACGCGACGTCGCTCGTGCTCACATCCTCGTCATCAACCTGCCACCCTCTTCGGACATCGGCTCCAAGCGCTTCCTTGTCAACGCTGGGAACTTTACCTGGAAGCAGACCGCAGAGCACTATAAGCAGGTGTTCCCTAGCGAGAACGTCCTCGCTCTCGATGGATTCCAGGACCTTCCAGGAACACCCTCTGTCTTGGATAGTACGAAGGCGAAAGAGGTTCTTGGCCTCAAGCAGTTTGTCGAGCCAAAGAAGACCATGGAGGATGCTGCGAAGGATTTGCTGGAATTGGCAAAGAAGTGGTAAGCTCCTGCGCGATCGATGACGAGTCGACGGAGGTCTTTCTTGTCAGCAAAGCAATGTAGGAATGGGATACACATGTTTCTATGTCATTGCTAAGTATGAGATGGATTTATCCGATTCCGTGAAATAAGCGCTTCTTCCTCGAACACTACGTCACTCGATTGCGTTGGATATTTCGGCCAGCAATGACTCTGAATCTGCATGGGCAGAGCGAGGTCCTAGTCTCAGCTTGAAGGACTTGCGATGGCTGGGACCACCGATTACGAACGACCGAGCACTAGAAAAGCGCTTAAGATAAGGACGCACATACTAATAGTTCCTGACGAATAGGCGGACTCCAGCAGGACTTCGTTCCCTTCTGCATATCACACATCGCAAGCACCGTAGAGATCGAACAATGTTCCTTCGGCGAAGTGTCTTCCCGGTGACACTGAGAATATCTGCCATCGTCGCCACCGAGTCATGCCAGAGATGCTGCTTGGGAAACCGATAATTCTGGAGAGCCACTCTCCCTGCCATGCTTGGAAAAAGGGAATTCCTGGCTCAGACGGTCAAGATAGGATGGAATCTTGGCCAGAAGAATTCTTGTCATGAATTAAGATCCTTGAATCATAATAATCACTTACCATAGCCACTGCGTCGAGTAAATGTGAACGATATTGTCGTTAGCGGCAGATCCTGGCTGCGCTTGACAAATATCGGCATTTGCCCCAAGCCCCTATTCTCGTGGCAAAGCACGCGTTCAGTACTTGTTCACTCATGTTCACTCATCCGCGACACTTTCGAGATTCTCTCGAATGCATAAAACTCGTTCATATGAATCGTAAAACATGTTGCATACGGGAAAAGTACACTCTATTACCCTACTCTACAACGGTAGACACCTCGGCGAGCAGAGCCAATGCCTCATTCGAACGAGCTTTCACCCTGAGTGTGAATGGCTTGGGGAATCTAGAAAATCACCAGAATGAGAAAGGGTCCATTTCTATAATAACTCCATACGTACACGATGGTTCCCGAGGTAAATTCGAACTTAGGGATGTCTTCCTTGCCGTTTCCGTTTAGCCCCGGGAGAAGTTTGCACGTCGCGAGAGTCGTGGAAACAATTGCAAAGAGAGTTCCTTCGGCAAAGTGCATCCCTGGGCAGACGCGACGGCCGAATCCAAAAACGAGGTCCTTGACTTTGTCCATCTCGGAGTCAAGGTTATGAAAACGTTCCGGATCGAACTCCATGGGGTTGGGGTAGACCTCTGGGTTATGGAGCATGTGCCTAGAAGATCGGGGAGTCGTCTCTGGTTTTGGGACTCTGAATAGAATGGTATAACACCTACCAGATGTTGGGCATTATCATTGAGCCTTTCGGAATAAGGAGCCCGTCGTAGACGTCGTCTTGACTTGTGCAATGGGGGAGGCCTGTAAGTTCAAATAGTCAGTGTGAAATGGCAAATTTGTCACTGAAAGCGGCGTACATAGAGGAATCGCAGGACTCGAGCGGAGAACTTCGGCGATAATACTCCTTATATACGGCAAATTGGGACGGTCATTGATGGTCGGTAATCTGTCTTTCCCAACGACGGCATCGATCTCAGCCTGTGCTTTCTCTTGAATTCTAGGGTTCAGGATCATCGCCAAATAAAATGTCAAAGCAGAGGACATGTTCTGTGCAAGATGACATCAGTGATACAATGAGAGGTAGAGAACTTGAGAGTCACTGTGTCGAGTCCACCCCCAAGAACACTGGAGGCGGCCCAAATCAGTTTCGTTTCCTCATCTTCTGACAATTGATGAATCGGGTTTTGGAGGATTGTGGCGCACAGGTTCGGCAATAGCGTCTGGCCAGTTTCCTGATTGAGAAGTCAGTGGGTCCTGCGTATCCAGGGGTAGTGATCGCTGAGCAAACCAAGTTTTTCTTGCACCAGGTGTAAGGTCTATAGGTAGAGTCGTATAAAAGCTTCCTCCACTGCTCTGCGGTCGTTAGAAATCCAGACCCAGGTGCCCATCGCGGTAAATACTTCACTGACGGTCGACTTCAGTACGTGTGCGTCAGGACAGCGGAATGGCGCACATACAAATGGGGATAAAGTCTACCAGGAAATTGCCTGGCGTTGTCGAATAGCTGAAGTTATCCATCGCCTCTAATGGCGTCGTTAAGATAGGATCGTTCTCGGATTTAATGTAATACCCGTATGTGACTCGAAAGATGATGATGCCGATCCTCCTAGACAGATGACATGAGATACGCGAAATTAAGGTGGAGTCAGAAAGACGTACAATTTAACTTGAGAGACAAGAGATTCTGGATTCTCGAAAACGTTCCGGACAAGGATTCGGGCTTCCTTCTCTTGAAGTCCGTGATATCGTGGGGTATTGGTCGGCGCGAAGTCGTGAGAAATGAGTCGACGCTGTCGTCTCCAATTGTCATTGTACGATTGCATCGCGAACGGCGCGCTATATCCGACGCTGAAACCATCCGGCTCGTCAAAAACGAGAATACAATAAAGATAGAAGGCTCACAGTTCTCCCGCCATGACCTGCCACGAAATCGGACAGTGAGCACCTCAAGCACGCAGCCATGATGACTACTCACGAAGTGCGGCCGGTCAGAGTAAATGGTTGCACGTTTTACAAGCAGGTCTCTTGCAATTTTTTCTGAATTTATTATGATGATGGGCTTGCCGACTATGTCGACATGTATGATGTCACCTGTTCGATGGATTATACAGCGTATAGCCATAATATATCATGCACGGGGAGGTACATACCATACTTCTTTCCCCACTCCGAGAACGCTCTCCACGGGCTCTCAGTAGGAACTTGATGAGCGTTCCCGATGATGGGGAGGCGCTTCGGTCCCGGAGGCAGCTTCGTTCTACGACCCGAAGAAACGGTATACCAAAGAAGACCGCCAAAGACACCAGCTGCAAGCAGAAGAATATACGAAGGGTCGGACGACATTTTTCTTTACCTTGAGGGACTTCCAAATTTCCCGTAGACGGCCTCACTTAAATATCTAGCAGAGCATGACTCCGAGACACATTTCCTCCATGTCGCCGTGTGTACGTGGTTGTCAGGGTCAGCAGACTGCTCATGGGCTCAGTTCGTCCTCTGTGAGGCGCTTTTACACGGGCTGCTGCTTCTATCTACGCAGCCCTCCACCACGCCTGTCAATCGATCTCTACACGTTGTCCCAAATTTGGGACCTCGTCTGTGGAAGAGCGGATCTTTTGACAATCGGTTAAAGAAAACATCTCCCGAGGGCCTTGGTTGTCGGATGGTAGGGTTAATCTGAAAGGATAGAGGCCACCAACGACTTGGCGGGAATAATAAGACCGGCCGCACATACCCCAATCTCGGGACACACGGTTGGAGCACCTACAGGTTTCCTTATTTGGTGCACTCTGACTCTATCACTCGATCGAATTCCACACGGTACGGAGTTCTGGATCTTCATGAATCATGAGATACAGGTAGACCCGCGAGAGTCTGGCGTGCCTGGGGCCTGCACCTTTCGGAAGGTGGGCGCGAGGCGATCCTCTCGGCTAATATATATTGCCCTCTTGTGCGGCGTGCATGCAGCGTGGAGTTGGGACTACACGGAGAATGCTTGGCTTCGAATAAAAGGAAACCGATTTTCTTGCTCGGGAAAATTGGGCTAATTTATTCAAGGATACTGCCGCCCGCTGTCCCGGACATTTGATCGCTAAACTTTTACAATCTTCTGTGCCTCTACGAACATGGCAATTGCTTAAAATGTGGCAGATTCATATCACAAAATTACCTGCTGGCGAATGTCGGGAAAATATATTCCGAGGAGGCATGCGTAATTTCGGACTGTTGCTAGCCGCCATAACGAGGATTTTCTTATTGGATGCGATTTACTACACGAGGAGTTTTAGACACAATAACAGCCATCTCAGGATAATTATAGCGACAGAGGTTTTAGGCGACTTCAAAGCCCGAGTATGAATGAAATGCACTTTGATCGCTTAAAACATCGTCATGAGGACCATAGGCTCGCGATTTATGCTCCAATCCACCTGTGGGGTGCTCGATGGCTTTAGTAGCCTCAATTCGTCTTTCCGTGTCGACTTCGTAGCACCCTTCCACTTGTCCGGGAGTTAGATGTGAAGGAGAATGGACTGATAGTACTATACTGACACAGTTCGAGGCCCTGTATCTATAAGGGCCGAACTGCGTTTGAAAACGCCGCAAGCCATGATGTTCAGGAGCATGATGTTCGGAACGACGCACATTGTCCGGGACACAATCCGAACGGTCTGAAGGATCAAGTCGACAACGGTTGATAGATTGGTGGAGGCCCTCGCACTGTTGGGGTATCGGACATAGGGAGAAACAAATTTAGACAATAAACTCGCAAGTAGTAGACTCGCCCGTCTTGGAGCAACCTTTTCGAAAACGCCGGCAGATAATGATCATGGAAGAATAACTTGATCTCGCCTATCCTCGAGATTAAAAGGGCCTAATTTATCGTCAACTTGCAAGAGATAGCGAGGAAGACGGACGAGTAGGACATACAACTCCACGTTGACGGTGACGCCACACCTCGTCGGCCCTATTTTAGCACTGAGAACGCCTTGCTTGGAGGTGAATACACATGTGACAGAGCCACCTGAAAATGAAGAAAAAGACATGGCCTGGAGGTAAATGGCAGTGACAATTTTGACACGTTGCCTGAAGAAATGTCGGTAGTCGTCTTGAAGATGGTTCAAGATATTCTATACCAGGACCTGTGTTTTCAAGTTTCAACCGACGATCGTGACTGCGAAAGCCTACCTCTGTGGGTAGAAACTCCATCGGGATGGAGAGTTGCGTAAGGCGTCCGTACCGTCGCCGAAACAGTCGTAATCTGAGAGGCCCACCTGACAAGAGGGACACAGCTGGAAACTAGAACAAAAGAAGCCGCTAAGAACCCCAGTCGATGACAGTTCCCTTTGGTAGTGCCAAAGGATTGACCAGTGGGTAAATACCTCAGAGCGTTTATACCAGTCGGAATGTCCAACAATTCTTCGAATCATTCGACCGAATCATCGTCTATCATCGTCCACATCTAGCAACCGCGAGAGGTCGTTCTGAGGGGACCACAGCGGCATGGAATCGCATCAGAATCCACCAGAAATGCCGGACTGAAGCGGAATGACACAGCATCGAAAAAAGGGAGAACTGCGGCTCTAGTATAAGCACATACGGTCGTGTTGAAGCAAAGCGTCGAACGCTGAGCGCTGATGATCGGAAAGCCTCGGGCGGGTTTCGAAATGGTCTTCCCGGCCCGGCCATCTCGATGCATTCAGAATGCACATTATACTCCCTAGATCTAGCGTGAAGCTTTGAACGGGGCAAGGAGAAAGAAAGAATGCTAGGTCTTCTCGCCGATTCTTGAACTACTCGGCGCTGTCTCACTCACCTTGGACCTCAGTGGCTTGGCATTCGTGGGGTTAATTATACTTCCTTCAGTTCGGGATAGGCGTCCCAACGTGAAGTATTCGAAGATAGGGTCCAATCTCGCGGACTTACTGTCAAAAAAAGGCTGAAGATATTAGATTCATTGAATTTAGTGTACATGAGTTCCGGTCGTGACTGAGTCGTGCCGACGCTGGTCAGAGGGGGTCCAGCAAGGGAATGGTGGAGGGTAGGCGGTCTTGGTGTTCCAAAGGGGGCGGCAGAATTTAGGGTCTTGAGAAATCAGGTCAGACGACATAGCAGTCGGACTGGATTCACCATTATTTACCAGCGCCGGCGGACGGTATCAAAGTCAAACCTTTGAAATTGCTGTAATAGGGCTGCAAGGCATCTCTTCGTCGCCCAGCGGGCTGGGATAGTCGACGACGGTGATCGTATTCGTCTCTTTCCGAATTGCGAGTAGATTAATCGGGTTCGCATTGTCTCCCTGACCCGATACATAGGGGTCCTTGACGTCACGGTCTTCGCTCCTCGCATTCGCTCCTGACCGCGACTGACCCGAAAGCTGCATCGCGATTGTTCGTGAGCTGCGCCGAGTGCTTCGAGGAAGTGTATCGTAGTCGAGAGGCTCGCGGATCAACCCAAGTTTTGTGTTCCTGAAAACGCGACATGTGACAACGTTTGCGAGCATGACGTGCACCGGGACGAGGTTGGCGATGAGGACGAGTCCTGGGCTACCCGCGGGGAAGCAGAAAGCGCCAATGATGATGCCGAGCTTGACGAGAGGCACCGCCCTAATTAACAATCGAGGTTTGGTTGGATGAGCGTCAAGGAAGATAGAAGCGACTTACATATAATATAGCTGACTCTCGTGCAACATCGCCTTAGAAAAGGCTGGCATTGACGCGCCGAAAAAAGCTATCCGCAGTCCTCCCTGTATCGAAGTCTCCTCCATGCGATACAACCGATAAAATCGGTACGACGTCGCCGCAAAAATGAGCGTGTCGTAGGCGAAAAAGACAAGGTACGTCGGAATGAGGTAATGCGTCCTGATTTGCTCGACGCAGTATCTTGTAGGCCCTATGTGAACGGCAGTCATCGCGGTTGGGATCAGGCATGCCATCCCGACTGTCGCACACCAAAACAGTCCAAAGAAGATTATAACGTAAAGTTTGTTGTAGAATACCGCGCAGACGCGAATGTAGAAGAGGAGCGTGTTGAGACATAGGCAGATCGTCAGGAATGAGTCGATGGCAAGCTCAAGCTTTCGGCAGTGCGATACGGGGATGGCTGCAAAGTTAAGGATTGTAAGACACCTTTATCGGCGAACGTATCTGGTCTTACTGAGAAGGAAGGCTCTTCCAAGCGCATATACTAGCACTGCTAGTCTAACAAGAAAATGAAATCAGAAATCGTCGGAAACATTCAACCGCGGACCAACCTGGAGAGAAAATACGCGCTTGTAGGGATGCCGACTCGATATTTAGTAATTAGGATATAGTCGTTCTTCAGGTTGTGTAGCATGTCCCAAACTACCACCTGCAACCCTCGAAGATTAACTCAGCTCGCAAACTTGAAGGTCATCAAAATGCACTCACCGCTAAAATGCCAATGTGGATATACGTCCCGTTCATCACCTCCACAGCGATCCCCGGTTCCAAGAACGCCATTGGAGTGAGCGGGTTCGGGACGTCATAATCGGGGAGAGACACGTTAGTGGAGGCCATGGTCGCATGGGCACCTTGCGTTAAGAAAGAACGACTTGGAACTGAGTGACTGTGGGGGTCTTAAAGCTTATCAACGCGCTTCAAGCCGATCTTCTGAGTCCAACAACACCATACACCACGGAGCTGTAATCAAGGCTCTTTGCGGACGCGGGCACCTTCACTCAAACGGAGGCAAATTGCCAGACGGTGGTAAGCCCCTCTTTCTCCATCCGCGTCGTGCTGGGCTCCGTGGATTGGGATTTGGATACATGCATACGGCCTCGACCGTGATCGTCGGTCGCTCAGGAGTCAGCGGGCACTGAATGTCTGAGTCGTGGTTTTGGTTTGTTCTTGAACATAGTGGCGTCTCGAGGGACCCCGGGGGCTGTGCCACGCACACCAGGTGAAGGGGCACACACTAGATAGATGGGATTTAGGTATAGAAAAAAAGGATACGAAAAGATTTCCTCACCTAACTCATGGCGAAAGAGATTTCCTGTCAGGCTCAGGAATAGATGGCCGGAAGGCTTTTTACCGAAGAAAGGTCCTTGAGTTTTGACGACTCTTTTGTCTCATTCCGATCTGGAACTGATCCTCCGAGCGTTGACTCCTTCTCAAACTTCCTCTGAGCCTCCTTTCAAAAGGCGTCCTTGGCCTCTCATGGTTGCCCGCACGGCTCCGGCAGCTGAAACAACCAAAAGCCTATAGTGCGCCTATACTGCCTATTCAGTACCCCTCTAGTAGCGATCGAAATCTGAGCATCGTACCAACCAATCATTGTCACCTCCTTTTCCCGCGGTGCACTTCTCCGGGGTAGCATTGCAAATACTCCTCGAACTGGGGGACCGTGACGACATTGAAGAGCTTGGGAGGGATTGTCGCTGAAGAACTTTGGATGGGTGTGGCGTTAAAAGTCGGAGGCACCTCCCTGGCCGATGGGCCCGAGCGGCTCATCTTACAGGCCAAAGGGAAGGGGTAAACACCTTTAACGCGCCCGTACTGGCAGATGAAGCGTCAGCGAATCGAACCAGATACGTAGAGTCGGCGACCTACCTTCATACCGGCCATTCAGTTTGTTTTTCTCCTGGGATGAAGGGAATTTGCAGTCCGGCGATAAAGATGGGCGTTGCCAGCCTCTTCTAACTGGAGGGTATCATTGACATCAAGGAGTGAATGACGCGCTACAGTTGAAACTCGCAGCATGAGATGAGGTCTAGTGGCACAACAAGGCAGTGTCACATAGTAGTTGCCGCCCTCCCATCTCACAATCCTTGATAAGAAGAGCGCCAATTTGCAGCTTCGCAAACTTATTCGAGTTCCAGGTCGCTTATTGGAGCATCGATCATGGAACGCTGAACGACCATCTGTCGTTGATCCTCGTAGCCGCAGAGGCATTTCATCGCCTCTTCGCCCCCCGTGGGGGTCGGTCCTGCCGCCACCACCTTTGGTGGCAGAATTAAACCTGGCGTCAAAGAGATTCTAAACCAAGACCCACGGTTAGACCGGTTTCAAGTCAGCTTAGCAATGCAGAAAGATCACGAGCCTGAAAACGGTAAACCAACGTGGATTCAACAGCCGTCTCCCCAGCCTAAACACATTGCGAGCTGCGGCAGCATTATTCTTCCCAACGCGTTTGACTTTGTTTGGAGGCTTTGGTTGAAGGAAACCCAAAGCTCGAGTGTCCGATTCGGAACGAATTTATCGAGGAGAAAACTTCAGGCGTGCCAGTGAAAGGTACAGGGAGGACGCGCTGGTGCGAAAGTGTGCCTCTTAAGTTTCATGAAGGCATTGTTGAAGAGCGGGTATTTGTCTACGGCCTGACAAAAAAAAGGGTGTGGGTTGAGGATGCTCGAACACGAGGCCAGCGACGAACCTTTGATCGCGAGACGACTAGGAACAGAGTACCCAGCTACCGTATCTGGCTGGCATTTCCTGCAGGAAACTGGGCCAAACTATGTAGGTTAGCAGGCACCAGGAGCGACAAGAGGCATTAAGGAGTCGGTAGTCAAAATTTTGGTGATACGCCATGTACTCTATGCGTTGGATAAGGAGAAAGATCTTAAAGTCTGGTGACCGAGGTTGATGACTCCGATGTTCGGGAAGATGACGATTGTTGGACTCGTCGAGCATCTGTGAGCGTCGTGTAGGGCCCAAGTATATGCTGCAGAATAATATCATCAAAAATCGTTAAAATAATATGAGAGCAGAAAGGGTGGATGAAGACGATGTGAGGAAGGAGGAAGCGAGACGAGGCTCGATAACGCGAATCAAGAAGCACTCGGACGCGCCGAGTGTCGTGAAGGTGAAGGAAATGTCCAGGAAACGACGGCGTAGATTCTAGAATATAAACAGGTGCGAGAAAAACGCACCAGGACGCACACCCACGATTCTCTTTCTCGAGGCACCGCCTGCTCACGACACTTTAACTTCCCCGCACTTGTGCGGCTGATACTCCCCTATAGCTGCAGCGCGACTAAAATGACTGATGTACTCCATAGTTCCCGACGAAAGTATCCCGAATCCGTGAAGAGCTTTAATTCAAAAGGAGAGAGCCGGTCAGCGAGGAGGTTAAAAGAACAGCAAAGGGGTGTACCTTTAAGTTTCATGGCTACTGCACTGCAAAAATAGGCTCGTTCGCGCTCCTTCTCTCGCTGCATGCAGGTGCGTCCTTTCTTTCCATCCTCGTCACATGTCGAATGAGTGTTGGTGCTGTTGCTGCTCTGCTGGGTCCTCTGACGTGGGGTAAGAGCGACAACGGGTCGGGTCCCAACTGCACTGGAGGCGACGATGGTCTGTGAGGGCTCAGAGGTAGGGACTACAGGGTGCGGACGAAATTGAGCGACGAAAGAGTTCATTGAGGTAAATTCTGTGCTCGTTGAGAGGTAGGACATCGACCTTTGCAAACAACATAGACAAGCAATGTCGGGCCGGAGATTACCGATTAAGCGCCGCCATATTGCCACCAGAGGAGATTCGAGACGTAATGCATAAATAATAGTACGTGCTGCGCAAGAAATGGGCCCGATGCTGGTGTCTGTGGACAAAATTAAAAATTAATTAAAAATTAAATACAAAAGAGGAGGGAGGAGAAGAGGGAATTCAATACTCTCTCCCCTGGGTGCGTTTGAAACCACCTTCTGAGCTCTCAGGGCATCGCCTGGCTTTCGTAATTTACTTTCTGGATGGAATCACATGCGAAAATAATGCAAAAAGGGTCGAAAGAGGGTCGGATTGCCTCTTGTACGGCTGGATACTCGCCTAGATGCGGGTTGTAACCCCTCTCCGTTGCTATCCTCTCTCATCGCCCTCTCTGTCCCTGTACCCTCAAGCGGCGAGTGTGCAATTGCATTCGCTGGTCTTCTCTGCTTTGTCCTGAGTAGTCAAGGTGGCGACGAAGCCAAAGGGAACAGCGACAACGCAGAGGAGACGTGTCGCAGCACACGACGGATTGGACGCTCCAAAGAGCGTCAATTCTTCGGTCTGCACTGCTCACGCTCCTGCGTTATCGAGTCCCCAACGTGCCCACCGTGCCGGCAGCCGATGTCGCAGGGCGACGAGCGAGCTTGTGCTTCAGCTCCTCGCAGCGAGCACGATGGCGCGTTATTGGTTACTGAACGGGTGGCGAAAGGCGACTTTTCGAGCTCAGCAGCGAACACAACGGGCGCGAATTCCCCCCTACCAAGACGTTGGCCAGGAGAGAGGGAAGAGACAACGAGAGGAGCCGGCGGCGGGTGGGTGCTGCGAGGAAGGTGTGCGAGCTCGTTGGACTTTGAACTCGCAGCAGGAGAGAGAAGCAGGGGCGGACTTGAATGGGCAACGGCGACGGGGGTCGACTGAGAGCATAGGCGAAGTGCAGCGAGAGAGTGAAGAGAGAGATGAGGAGAGTCGACGAGTGGGATGGCAAAGTCCAGCGCGGGAATGGCGAAGACTCACACCAGTTATCCTAAGACCTCTTGTCGTACTGGACACGGATAGCGAGCCAAAAAAAGTTCTAGATAATATTGAACCTTCGAACAGATTACGCAAGGAATAATAAGTTGTTAACTTCAGCAGAGAAGCGAGATGTCCACCCCAAGGGCCAAGTTCAGGCGACAACCGCACGTAGGGTCAGCTTTTACAAACCTATTCCCTTTCAAGTTGTCGTCGCACTGACCAACATTGTGCTCTGACATCTTCATGGCATCGATGGACTCTAATTTTTTTGATCCATCCCTTCCAGTCCTGTTAGTCCTGTCATTGAATCGCCTTTCTTGTTTGGTGAGAAGGCGAGAGGAATGAGGGGGCCGTCATTAGGATTTGAATTTGGCGGGTTACTACTCTGGTTCTTCATTTCTTTGTAACAGGCCAACTTGATGCGCCGATAGACACGGCACGCCATTATGTTCATCAGCGCCGCGTTGGGCACTGCAAACATTGCCCGATAAACCGCGGGGATAAAGGTGAAGTAAAAGACTATCACAGTCATCAAATTTGTTGTGACCGTCGTCCTATGCGAATGTCAGGCACTAGAGTTCCATACAAACGCGTGCACTTACAGGTAATATACCTGTCCATCTTGGAGGAGTCCCCGTGAAAAGGCCGGCAAGTAATCTCCTCGAAGAAACGCCCTAAAGCTGAGATTTCCTCTTAGCGGATTCGGTGTCATGTGCGTATTCCGCATCAGCTTCCACGAGATCGCGAGAAAGACGAGGGTGTCATTCACGAGCGGGATAAGCCCTGCTGTCGTGATATAGGCTTCTAACCTCACGTTGATGCAATACTTGGTCGGCCCGATGTTTGTGCCTATGAGCCCTTGCGTAGGCGTCATGACGCCCGCGACGACGCCCAGCCACATGACGCAGAAGAAGGCGCGGACGAGCTTGTTTTCGTGGAATATCGCGAGAACGCGAAACAAGAAGAGGAGGGAGGTCAAGGGAACAGACACGGCGAAGAGCCAGGTGAAGACTTTGGAAAATCTTGTGCACGGAATGTCGAGTGGGGCAGCTAGACAATTTGTCAAGGTGAGCAAGTCATATCGACAGGCATGAGAAGCGACTTGCTCTGGTATATGACGAGACACAGCACAAATGCGAAGGACATCAATCTGCAGAATTTGAGCCCGTTGTGTAGTCAATTCATGCGAAGAATAAATGACCTCGATAAGACGTAGACCAAATTTGGGATCTTTATTGGGAGGTGGAACATCAGGAGGAAGTCTTTGCGAGCTTGGCTGACGATATCCCAGATCAAGACCTATTGAATGTGTTAATCCTCCGGCAATTTTTTGGGTTAGCAAGGTCATTGATACGCACGCTTAGAGTACCGACGGAAAGATATACAGAGATTGTGGACTGGTACGCCAAATCCGGAGGGAGAAAAGCCATCGGGGTGAAGGGGTTGGGAAGCGGTGGTGGGCCTGCGGTGGTGGCATTCATCGTGGTAGAATGGAAACTGAACAGACTAAGTAACAGTAGCTTAGGATCAAAGCTTGGATACGGAGGGGAAGAAAAATGTTGCCTTTTTATATTTCTTCTCTTTTCTTCTATCTGCATCATTGTTGATACGTCGAACCGGCGCAAGTAATCATGGTAGATGCCTTCCGACCCGCTGGATGCGATCCATCCGGTTGATGTGAGATAACGAAGAAACACCTTCGGCCTCTGGACTCGTGGTCAAAATTCAGTTACTAAGTGAGGGGTGTGTGCCCTCTTCGATAGACAACGGGCACCATTCGCTCGAAGACTTTGGGTAAGGAGATCGCAAGCCTTCAACGTTCAACCACCCCGGCCCCGTGAGGGCTCTCGTTTGAAACCTACTTTGGCAGATGGACGTTCAGGAACATCATACGATGCCAGAGACGACAGAAGTCAAGAGTGAAGATCTTCTCGATGAAGTATGCCCAAGCGAGAGGAAATTGCTGTGATGGCTGGACTCCAAAATAACTAACCTTTGGACCGGTGGTCACAGTGGTGCCCTGGAATCTCCGGGACCCACGCAGAACTTTGATGGAGGCACATCGCAAGCTTTCGCAATGTGCATCTGAGTTCCAGAAGACCTCACCAACCCAGGATGTTCAGAGGACGGACTGTGGAGAACCTCAGAACACCGCGATAAAGAAAAAGAAATCACAAATCAACGAACCAATTTGATGTAGAAGAAGAGAAGGTGAAAGTCGACGGATAACATACAGGGAATCCAATGGTATTCGTGATCACACACGCACGCGTCATACACGAGCGAGCGCTATATACTCTTGCAACTTCACAGTCCCCGCCCCGTGTCGTCTGGGAGATCAACCCCCCACTCCATACAATGGAGCATAGTGAGTATGAGGATGCTACTTCATGCCGGCCGTTGCTCAACTCTTGCACCGCCAATCCTTGCACAACTTGCCAAGTGGCGACGAAGACCTTCGCCTGAAGGGGTGGCTGGGTGCCGAGGAGTATGTTGAGTGACTGGAGACGACCGTACACAGGTTTCTTTGCTTGGTGGATGGTAATCCGCCCGGCAGGGATTGCCTGAGTTATTCAGGGTTGCAGTCATCGAGCTAAGGGCACAAGGTCAATATGAGTTCGCAGGGGGGAAGCAACAAGAGAGAATGTGACTGAAAAAGGCACACGTAGGGGCCAAAACATGATGGAATGAAAGGGGAAAAAACAGGGGAAGCGTGAAAGAGAGCGACAGTCAAAATCACTCACCATGAATGCCATATAATCCGAGGCGATGTCAATGGTTCTGAGCTGCGTCACCACAACCAGGCCCTCTCTTACTTGTCCCTTGTTCCGATCCATGGCCATTCCGTTGGCACCGTGCCAAACCAATCGGTAGTTCTTGGGGAGCTTCTCAGTAGAAGTTGCTGAAAGCTGCCGCTGACGTGCGGGATCTGGGATGTACGTTGGGTATGTCACATTATCTTGGATGCCGTTGAGACAGGGTGGACGCGATAGATGGGCGAACGGGTGATGGGTCGGATGATGTTAAGGCAAACCTAGTCGAGGAGGCAAGAACTTGAAAAACGGCTCTATCGCTAGGAGGGGGCCAGGTGACGAGGCCGTATATAGTGGCGGGTTGAGAGCAAGATTGGAGGGAGAGGAAGATGCATGGGAAAGAGAGGCGGGGCATCCGGACCGGGAAAGCTGCTTCCGATTGTATGTACCGAGTTGCCTTCACGCGCCTCCAATTTTCTAATCCATCTACCAACGTGAAACAATCATAGTCTCCAATACAGCCTACAATGAGATAGCACTCAAAACATGGGCAAGAAAAGTAGCCGCTTGCTGAGATCAAGGTTTAAACGGCTTGGGCATTCTATGCCAATCAGTATCATCTTTCCAGAAAATAGCTTTGCGCGTACATAATAGTGCCTCAGGTGTACTCGAACTCGGGGAAAACCTCCCGTCCATTGGCATCGAGTCCGGGGAGGATTCGAACCTGAATATCAGGTTACAGGTAGCCGAAGTCGGACTCCGTGGTTACGGCAGACCCCTGGTCATGGAACATATGCCTAGGTTGATTAGTGACAACTCACTCAGAGAAAAGGGGAAACGAATCCTACCAGATGCTGGGAACGGTCGTAGAGCCTTTCGAGATGCAATCTCCCTCGTAAATGTCGTCCTGTCAATGGCTGACAACGTGTCCAATGCCTGCTGCATTTCAGCGTTCCTAGCAACGGCCGAGTGTAGCCCAGCCTGAGCCTTTGCTTGAATTGCAGGATTCAGGATACTACCTAGTGTGCTTATAAGAGGTCGATGGTGGTATATCTGTTGCTCTTGAGTTGGTTAGAGGGCTTTCCAATCGCTACGATGCACAGGACGTGTGTCGCGATGCACCAGAGGAAAGAAGATGAACCGAAGTTTAGATTTAAGAGAAAGGACGAGGTTAAACGAAGAACAGCGATGCTATCGCTAGCAGCATGGGGATGATGAAGTTGATAGTAAAAATAAAGGATAAAGAAATGAATCTGTAGCAAAATGAGACTGAGCGAAACGGCGAAGCTCGACAGCTTGAACGATGCTGATGAATTATCAAGAGGAAATTAAAACGCTGTTGAATCGAGGGCATGGGGGATGAGAAAGAACAAAGGAGACGTAGGGGAAGAGGAGGATTTCAAAGGAGACACCCACAGTTGATGCCCTGCTAGTTGACCATACGCCGACGCGCGCGTGTTCATAGCTCGTCCTCGCAGCAGTGGCTGTAGGAACGGCGGCGGTTCTAACGCAGAATCATCCTCGGTGGAATTTGAAATGGGTCGGCGCACAAGAGGAAGTGCCAGAGGTGGAAAAAATGCAGCGAGTGATGAGAGCGTGTGTCCAGAATATGGATGTAATTGAGGGAGAAGGTGAGATCGTGGAGATGGACCCTGTCGGAAAGAATGTGCGGGAGGAAATGAGGCTGCGTAGAGTGCCCGGACCGGGACAGAACCCGTCATTTCCGGTTTTAGGTGTGTTTCGGTGAAATCAAGAGAAAGGACCAAACGTACGAGGCGGGAGAAGGGAAGCAAGGAAGGTAATTTACACCACGGCAGAAGAAAGCATAAAGATAAACTGGAGCTGCAAAGACTACGTACAGAGAATGGTATTTACTATGGGCTGGAATCCGCCAGACGAAAAATGAGGTGTGCTTGGCCCTATTGGTTGTACACTAATACTATACCTACTACTACTACTACTACAATGCATCGCACCGCTGCAATTAGAGTGATATATAAGCTCAAGAGATCACCACGGTAAGTAAACTTGAAGATGGGAGACGAACCTTAAGGTAGGCGTCAATCTGTTTATTGTAGAATTTTACTGTTTTTGGAAATGCCTTCATTGCTTTTAACCCCTTTTTGCGTTGTTTCTCCCCGACGCCCAGCAATGATCGCTGTTCCAGGTCGTTTGCATGAATTGGGGCAGCGTAGGGTAGAAGGGTGGCAACGAACAACAAAATTGCTGCTGCTGATGGCAGATTTTGAGGCTCAATCGAATCGGAAGCCTTCAATGCCCAACAAGTTGCAATACTATATTGGATTGGATGTTTGCCCACCCAGCTGAATCGCCCACCTCGAGTTTCTCAGCACCAAGGGGCCTGTTCATGCTGAAAATTTTCACACTAGCTGCTATTATGTGTCTCATAATATTGCTATTTTTTTCACCAAAATTCGAATGGGAAGGAGGTTTGTTTTACTCGTCCATTTGTCACTTTATGTCACACTTTTGGCAGGGTGGGAACCAGGTGGGCAAATTGCCCCACCAAATTTGATGTGACATTGATGTGACTGGGCGATTGAAGGGGGTGGGCAAACGTCCGATCCAATATAGTATGTGGGAACATTAGGCTGCGTTCGGGAACAAAAAGATGGGCTTCCGAAATGGTGTTTCCACCTATAGAAGGAAATCCGTATCACCAGGCTGGATATCACATGAGCAGAGGGTCCCGTGCCCTTGTGACACAGTGTGACCTCGCACGACTTTGTTGATTGTGCGTTTTGTTGATTGTCCCATTCCTTTCTCACCCCCTTCCATGGCCCAGAACCAACACGACGCTCCTGCCTACTGGACCAAAGAAGATGAAACCCGTCTCCTCAATTTTCTTTTTGACCACCTTGCGAGTGGTGGGGATGGTGCCAACTTCAAGAAGACCACTTTCCAACTTGCCTCCGTTGAGGTCAAGAAGTTTCGCACTGCAGAAACCAAGGGGGGGTCAAAATGGTGCGCGCCTGCCAGAATAAATGGAACATGGTGTGTGTCAATCTATTTTTACTTGTCACTTCTCTAATTCTTTTCCAGTTACATCGCACTTTCTGTGCCATTCAGGCCATCAAGGACTATACTGGATGGAACTGGACAGACGAAGGAGGTGCAAACATCACTGAGACCTCCTCTCATTATCAAGACTGGCTCAAATTTGTCAAGATACACAAGCTGGCAGCCCCTTTTATGAGCAAGGGCTGGGCTCATCTTGATAAGATGACGCAGATCATGCCAGTGACTGTCCGTGGCCACCACATCTTCCGTCCTTCACAAAATCTCACTGGTATGTCTGCAGCTCGTGATGGGACCCCTCCTCTGGCAGCAGAGGTCAATGAGCCTGTTGAGGATGAAGATGGCCCAGCAGCTACCCCAGTTGTTGATCAACCTGTAGCTGCCGCAGATGAGGGATCTGGTGGGGAGAATGTGGGTGATGATGACCACGATAATGACGATATCCCAGTATGCTGCAGTGGCTTGTTCTTCATTGTGTTGATACTGACTAACCACCAGTGGGAGGCGACTCCTCCTCCTTTGGCACCACCTGAAGAGGTGACACCCCCTCATCTGACCACATCAGTAAGCACATCTCGCAAGCGCCAATGTGCGGCATCTGAAACACCGGTGAAGTCTGTCAAGAAGTCTCGTGCAACTGGGGCTGATGCCATCCATGGGCTCACGAAGTCAATTGACAACTTTGGTGTCAACATCTGCAAGGTCTTAGCCATGGATCCTTCTCTCCGCACCCCACAGCGCCGCAAGGATGCTGTTACCGAAGCTCAGAAAGAGTCTTGGCTCCCTCCAGTTGATCGCCTGGTCTTCTGCAATGTCCTCGAGCGGGACATCAGTGTCATTGACACCTATTTGGCCCTCAACAAGAAGGATGTTGAGTTTTCTCACCTGTGGATTCAGGATAAGGTGGATCAGGCAAAGGAGGCATGTTTCACCCTTCATTAGTTTTGTTTTTCTCCTCTCTCCATAATATTTCTATGTTCGTTTATATTCCTGGATTACCAATACCCTAATATTCTGTCACTCATTTATATCAATTGTTCTATGTTTGTTTATACTCCTGTTCTACTGATACCCTGATATTCTGTCACTCATTTATATCAATCACAGCAATAGTCATTCCTTTCTATCCTACTCATTCTCTGGAACAAAATTCTCCTCAAGCACCTCTGGGTGCTCACATAGAAATTGTTGATAGTCATTCCACATTTGTGTTGCAATCTCATCCCTCAATGCTGTTGCTCTGGCCCTCTCTACACAGGAGATCGAACCATCCCCGAGTGCTCCTGTTGATGTGTTATTTTCTGGAGTAGGTTCCTGGTCAAGATAATGTTCTAGATCAGTTTCATCGTGGTCCATGATGAAGTTGTGGACTGAACCAAGTCCAGCAGGTATCTTTGCCTGAATTGACAGGTCATACTGAGGTGGTCGGTTGAGAATATCCCAGCATTTCTTTAGAACACCAAAGATATGCTCAACAACATTCCGTGCCTGTGCATGACGGAGGTTGTAAAGCTCTTCCTTATTGGCGGGTCTTTGAAAACGAAATCAGACTGGATTTACTGATGATGAAGTCAAATTTCCAATACTTACCTTACTCCTGCTCAGCCCCATTCAGCAAGATGGTAGCAAACTCCACGATAGGGAACCAATAGCGTATCACAAATTGCAAACCCTGCATCCGCAATGTAGTATTTTCCCTGAGGAATTGCAAAATTGAGAAGACGTGCATGCAAATACATGGTTGCATTGGCAGCTGATCCTTCAAATCCAGTGATGATGTAGAGGAAACGAAAGTCGAAGGAGCATGCTGCAAGGCAGTTTTGGGTAATCCCTCCTTTGCAATCATGAGAGGCATGCCGGTCAGCAGCTGAAGTGAATGCGTTGATATGAGTCCCATCAAGAGCACCCAATGCACTCCTGAAGTATGGGAAGAATTTGGAGTTGGTAAGAATGTAATCAGGGATTGGAGTCAAGAGATCAGGAAGCTTGACATATAGGTCATAGAAGGGCCAGATGACACTGCATTGAGAACTTTCTGGAAGTATCTAGCAAGATTGTGAGTTATTCATGTTCTACTTCAAGAGTGAATCTTACTTACTTTGATATTGTATCATTAGATCTCTGGAATCTTTCACCAAGATGGCAAATGGATAGTCCAGTTACACATGCATAGAGAAAGATTGCAGGTTGTTCCTCCATGGAAACCCCGTGTTTGGATGTTTAAAGGCCGCATATGAGATGGAGATTTGCTACAAATGCCAGAAATACATGTAGACGCATCCCGAGCTTGTTAAAAATTCGATCAGGGTGCCCGTTGATAAGTTCGTCGACCCATGCTTGCCCTGTCAGTGCTGATGTGTGGTAGGGTTGTTTCCAGTAATTGGCTTGTTGGTAGAGCATGGCAGCAGCCCCAATGATATGAAGGAAATATGCAGTGGCAGTGAGCACTCGTTGTTGAAGTGTTTTGCGGTCCTTATCAGATGGCATAGTAGTTTCAAATGGCATACAGTACACAACAATGCAGCTTTATCTCAGACTTGATCACGTCCTGCCTCTTTTGGTTGTCACGCCGGGGTCCCACGTGATGCCGGGATTTTGAAATGCCATTTCGGAAGCCCATCTTTTTGTTCCCAAATGCAGCCTTATGTTAGGAGAGGCTTCGACCTCGTGGTGTACTTGCGTTGTCCAGAAAAAAAGGCGCGCTGCCATTAAGGCCCGTTGGATATCTCCTGAAGGTCTATTTTCACCTCCTGCGATCTATCGAAGATGAGAAATGGCACAACTTGACAAAGAAAATGCACACCTCCTTAGCTTCACCTAATATATGCCTTCCGAGGCATTTCCGTCGGGGGTGGACGGTGCTCAGGCTCCTCGCGATCCATTCCAGAGATGGAAATCACTTCAACTTCTTCGGTCCGGAAACCTGGCAATGTCTCGATACTTAACCTCCTGAGAGTAAAGCAAAGATACACTTACATCATGTATGGCATCCCATTCAGAGGTTTTCACAGTCGGTTGAAGCACCTGTATAATGGAGTCATCCATGCCATACAGTTTAGAACTATGCCAAATCGCTTGGATCTTTAATAAAAGGCATCTAGTTGAATTGCATGGAAATTCCTACATCGTCACATTTTTCATGTTAGACTTGGTTGCCTAATTCTGTTATTTGAACGTTCATTACCTTTCTCTCGAATAAAGATGAAAGGAGCGATAGAAGGGAGTCATATTCGTTCACGAGTCCATGTCGAGTGCAGAACTCCTGCTGATGCATTGGTGCGTCGATGAAATCCATGACGAATGACGACACTTGCTCGACGGCCTGAACAGCCACTTCTGATAGTCGGGCGAATTGGCAGTGCCGGAGAAACTGCCGGCTGAGTCGCAACTCACAGCGGATGAAATTTTGCCACACTTGTTCTAAACGAGGCACCAACCCGAGATTTGAGGTATTAGAGAAGCTTAAACCAAAGTGCATTACGATGATAAATACCTTGGAAATTTATATCTCTGTATCTCCACATAGCAAGAGCTTTGTGTGCAAGGGCGAGATCGAGTGTGTAAGCTCCAGAACGCGTCGGATCCAAGAGGAAATCAAAAAGAGAGGCATGGAGCACCTTGACTGAGGTGTCGTCTGAGATGACGCTTATCACCGACGGCAATTCGCCCAAGGCTAGGCGGACAGCGCCTCTACGACACCTAAACACTCTTTCAAGAAATGCCGGACACGCGATGGCTGCTTCGTCCATCTTGGTGATTTCAAAAATCTGGACCTGGGCCGCGAGGTGGATGACCCCAAGAACACGCCATACAGTGTCGCGATCCTTCACGAGTGAAAAGATGTGCGTATACAAGGCATCTAACTGGGCGAAAGGGTTTTCATTCTCGCGAGGCGGTGCAAAGGCCAGCATGATATTGAGCTGTTCCTCGGGGCTGTGGCTGAGGGATTCGAGGAACCTCATGACCGTATCTGCATAGATGAACTGCCCTGAAGCATTCGCAACAAGCCTGTTGATGACACTCTCGCCGGGCCAAGATTGGGGAAGAAAATGCCGTACCGGATGAGTCTCTCGAATCCTCCGAAATCGGTTGGAGAGAAAGAGGCGGATATCTGCATTCACTTGTGCATCGTCGCCAAGGTCAACGAGATAAACGCGGTTGTCCTGAAAGAGGGGATCGCCATTGATAACCCGCATCAGGTGGGATTCTGGTCGACATGAGATAAAAAAGTGGAAGGGGTATTGGAGACGAGTGAGAGTGGCAGCTATGATTCGGAGGAGGTCCTGCTGGACATGGCGGTCGTCGCATTCATCAAGACCGTCGATCGAGATGAGCCTCAACTTAGTGTCGCTCGAAAGAACTGGAGGAGCTTTAAAGTGCTTGACGAACAGGCGATCCAGCTGGACCTCGCGCGACCGCTCAAAGACGCCGGGGTCCATTCTAATCTCCTCCAGCACTTGTTCCTTCAGCCACGGGAACACCTGGATGTGTTGGTACACCAACATAGGGATGACGGTGTTTCCATTACTGCGCCTCGCATTCACGGCAGTTCGGGAAAGGAAGAAGGTCGAGGCGAGGCATCCTTCTTGCTGGCATCGTTGGGCAATCGTCTGCTCGAGGGCAGATTTCCCAGCTCCAGCGGAGCCGTGAAGCACCAAGATGGACGCTTCTTGGCTGTCGTTTGTGATCCAATCCATGATATCCTGCATGATTTGGAGACGTGTTTCCGGGTCGCATCGCGGCGGGTCGAAACGTTCATTCGAATCAACTTGAGCGCCGAGACAGCAGTGTTTGAGAAGATCATCTAGTGCTAGAGAGCTGTCATTCATCTGCGTCGAGTGACTAATTTGAAAGCTGTACCGCGTTGATTTGGTTGAATGCTGACCAGAGTCTCGTTATGTTCATTACTCGTGTTGAAGGTATTTCCCTGTAGGGTGATCTGGCTGGCATTGCGAAAGAGGGACACAGAGGGAGCTGGCATGGGGCGATGTCGTCAGTGATCGAAGAGTGCAGGGGCCTTCAAGTCTATGTGCCGAGGAAGATCGACCTTGACACAAGAACCAGTGCTGTTAAGGTTTGTCCTTGTGGCAGATGGCCTGACAAATTCCAAATATCAGAGCCGACCCCATCTCCTCCGACAGACCAAAAACCCGAGGGACAAAACGTATCAAATAATCCTTCAATGCATACCATCTACTCGAGAGACGACTCAGACCCCGCCGGCAGAACTAGGGCCATGACAGTAACGCCGATCCTGCCTCCATATGGGAAAGCTTTTAACGGAAATTGCCGACAGAGTCTTAAACAAATTTCGCGCTCAGGGGATCAGGATATCTTGGACTATCATCTGCTCTTCGTATTCCCTCCATCTGTTAGGACTTGAAGCTTAAATGGGCACCCGGGGCCTCCTAGGATTCATTATTGGCTCTCAGCGCCATGCCGCCTACAACCACTACGACTCCAACCCCGAGGCTCTTGGCGAGAAGATCGTCGCGTTCCTGCTCAGTCTCAAAGGGCCTGAGGATTACCAGAAGATGGCGATGCTCGTTCGGAACATAACTGTGAGATCTACCTTCCTACTTACCACCTTCTCAAACCCGTAGCTGACCAATAGGCCATGGCATGCATGAACTTAGTGGGCAGAAGAAGACTCGACCCCGAGCCCCGAGCTCCAACGCAAGTACTCTGAACTCGGGTTCTCCAACCTCCAATTCAGCAGTAGGAGCCTCGAGGACTGGAACTGCCTCCTGCACAATGTGCAAGGCGCAGCAGCGTTGCCCGCGATCCAGAGGGGCGATCTGGAGCACTTGGCTGAAAGCAGTACGTCCAAATTGTGCTAACCTAAGTCTGCTGCTGCTGACTCCAATTTTATTTGACCGTACTTAGTCGACTTCCTTAAAAACAGTTTCTCCTGCCAATGGGCCTACTTCATCGATTTTGAGTATCAGATATTCGAGACGTGGGCCTTTGGGGCGAAGCTTGACGAAGTGTCGTTCCAGCTCCTCGTCCAGAGGGGGCAGAGATACTGGGATGCGATAAGTCGCGACGAAGTTGATAAGAGAGCGGCAAGGATTCAGATGGCACTGCTCTCCGGCAGGGTGTTATAGCTGCATTTGTACTCCCCCCGCAGATCCTTAGAGGGTCCAGGGTCCCGATTTATGCTGAGACCCCAATAGTACTCTACTCTGTGATTACTATTAGCAAGAAACCATTTGTCGACCATATCTTGCCACATCCTAATGATGTTAATATTTCTGCCCTCGCTGTAGCTGAATCTCCAGTTCTATATCGTCTCGTCCCACTGGCTTATCTCCTCGCAAAAATTGACACATATATTGAATCTATCTCAAGAACGATCGTCGACAGCTCATCGTAAGGTTTCGGACATCTGAAGTCAGGGATCTTTCACTGATATGTTGATCTCGCCACAATGTTTTGGTACTGCAGTATGCCAGTGGCATTGACTGGTCTTTCAAGTTGACTGTCGTCAACCAACTCCCGAATTTCACAATGATATCACAGATTACGGACAGAAGAGATAATATAGAGCTCCTACCAGCTACTGAGCCAAACGAGTTTCCAGGGGCTTCCCTGGCGATGTGCGACTTCTGAAGGGGAATGCTAGCTCTAGTTTTAAGTGCGCATATACTCTACATACCTAGACTTGCATTACCGCCACACTGCTGAAGTACACTCGAGACCTGTACCATCTTGTTCGCAATGCTCGATGGCTGATAGCCAAGTCTCCTGCCGACGCTGGCGGCAAAGCCTTCGCCGGTGTTGAAGGAGCTGTAGGTCTGGAAGGCCGCCGGGAACACGCCGATGTACTCAAAGTCGACTATGCAGACTCTTCACAAGTCGAGGAGGAAGTTTTCCTTATTGACGTCGGAGTGGTAGATGCGATTCTCCCCGAGATATGTCAAGAGCTCCTCCACAGGCATATCAATTGGGAACGGCCAGAATGTGACCCCTGTAGGAGAGAAATGGTTCAATATCGAGCCATGAAAATGGTCAAGTGCGAGATTCACACCTTTAAGATGTATTCAGCGAGCTCGTTGCGGTTGGCGAAGACTCGCGGCGCGCGATCATCCTTGAAGAACGGGCGGCATACAGGCGCCGCCTTGGATGAAATCCTCCCGAAAAGTGTTTCAGGGATCCAAGACAACTAGGATAGAAGCCATTTAACGGCAGAGGCAGCGTACTCTACGGACTCGTCTTCTGAAATGTCGCAGTTCTTCAACGTGGGTGCGTCGATTTTCTCCATAACCATGAAGTTGCCCTTTGCAGAGGGGAAAACGTCGAGGACTTTGGGGACCTGAGGGGCTGATCTGTCGACAATGGTACGAAGGTAAAAGAAGTGTTGGGTACTGGCCTCGAAAAGGATGTCATTGCTCCTCTTGATGAACAACGGGGGCCTGCCTTGCAGACGGGAAGTCGAAGGATCGCATTACCTCCTCCCCGGCATCCTTCACGCTCGGGCGGGGCAAGCTCCTGCGGCACGGACTGTAGAGAAATATTGTCAGAGACTGCAGACAAGAAACACAAAGACCGAGGGGGACAGGGGAGAGCAGACACGTACCAAGCTACGCATGACTTGGTCTACGAATACGAAGTGTGCGAGGTGTGTTGAAGGGTTAAGCTCGGGGGAGAGAGCTACAAGTGCGGAAGAGATGATGGGACGACGAGACGGCCGAGAGTGCCGAGCCTAACACAGTTCCCACGGAACGGGTATCCCGGCCCGCCCACATCACATTTACCCACTTGCAGGCTGTCCCTCCGTACATCTCACTCTACCGCCATCCTTCTTCTAGTCTAGCTAGGCCACAGCGCCCGCAACTGTACCGTCCAAACGGATAGATAACTCCTCGCCCCTGACAGCGCCAGCTACTAGGACCTGCCGCGCTCTCCTCTTGACGCGAGTACTTACTAGCAGACTTCGTTGAACAGAAAACGAAGGCAAGAGTGAACAAAATACTTAGCGTCAAGAAGCAAGAACGAAAATGAATAAGGACAAAAAAGGGCCTGCACGAGCAGAGCAAGGACCCCAGATCAGATTGGGGCTAGTAGTTCATGAATTGTATGGACCTTCGCCGTCGGTCGTTCTTACTCGAGGCGCCGAAGCGTCTCGTTAATCTCTCGGTAACTTACCCTTACTACCCCTTACTAGCTCTTCCTCCGAGTCTTTGTCTTTGAAATTCGCCGCTTCGACGCTCAAGGGGTCGCCCATACTCGTATTGACAATGGACACAGGCTATGCATTTTCAGCATGCACCCTCATCGGAGCCCTTTCTTGAACTGGACGTCCTGACAGACTCCAGAGCTCATGCATGTACGTGGTTTTGTTCCTCGTTCCGGGTGTTCAGTGAGCCTCGACTCATCGTGACAATGGGTCTTCTGAATAGATATATATAAACCTCGCACCCTTATCGAAGCCTGCTTGACAGCCTTGGACAGCATGAACTTTCTTGAATTGAAACGTCCGGCCTTCAAGCTTCAGCTTCGGAATACAACAATATATATAAAAGCCTCACGGTTCGAGTTGTTCCTCAGGCCACAGGCGTCACCCACGAAACCAACCGTGATTTTCGACTCTCATCTCCACTATAAATACCCCCGTCCAACCACTGATGCCGTCGAGTCAGTCGCAGAACCCACATAGATAATCAACCTGAATGGAGTCTTTCCAACGCTACACGGTTACCTTTTATCTCGACGGCTTCGGTGGGCGTCAACTCGCCACCGTCGCCAGTGCACGTAAGCAGACCGAGCTCATCAACTACATGGAAGACCACGGCGGTGTTCTCGATGGCGAGTGGCACAAGTTTTTCAGCGAGGAGACATTCCACATGGCCATGCGCAAGACGAGGGAGCTCGGTGGGATCGTTTATGATTTACCGGTTAAGATAGGTGAATAAAGCGTCACTGGTCAGTGGTGAGTTGCTTTCGCCTTACCTTCCGGCGCTTGGATTTGACCTCATTCTTCATTCTAATTTTAATTTTAGTCAAGGGTTGCAATTGGAGCTTTGAGGTATGTTGCCCCGGCTTCAGATCTAGATGGCAAGCACGCAGTTGACGCAAGGAATGAACGAATTAATCTTAGTCGTCTCGTCTGGATATCGTCGCATGCTAACGTTCGCATTCCAAAATCCAAGTACCAAAAGCTATTGTATAAAAATAATAATATTGATCTGATGTGTCAAAGAATGAAAAGGCCGCAAGTATTTTGGCAGAGGACTCGGGGAGTGAAAAGCGCCCGCACACGAACACCATCCACAGGACATCTTGCCTGGGATGCCACATTGAGACGAAGATCGTGCCTACCTGGAAAGAGAGATAGAGAGTGTTAGAACGGTCATCTGACAACGCGAGAAACCGACGCGAACGAGTAGGGGTACATGACACGGGAGTGATTCACCTGCACCCGCGACTGACACTCTTCTGCTCCTTTCTCCACAGTACTGGTACTCTGCGTCAACGGGTCCTTGGCTCGTGGTTCGCTGTCTTTTGACCGGTACCAATTGATCAAAGGTACAGAGGTCACAGGCAACGGCAGGCACAAATGCACGAGTAGGTGCGGGGAAGCGGGTAGGTACGGGGAAGTGCGGGGAAACGGGTCAAGGGCAGGAGGAAACAGGTCAAGGGCCAGACGCAGACGGGCGTTGGGACTCGGGAGGGGGAGATGGGACCAAGGCAGGTAGGTGGTAGGACCATAAGAGGCAGGTGGGTGGCAAGACCATGAGGAGTCTCACCGGCACCTTGGGGCGCATGCGCCGTGCGGACGATCGGCGTTTTCAAGAGGCGCGTTATCGTCCGACACCAGATTATGTACTCTAGCTTCTCCCGGCGCGCGGCCGACACCCTCGAACTCGAACTCGAACGACAGTGTGGGGTTGTGGTTGCGGTTGCGGGTCAGCCAGCCCTTGGTTCTTGGCTCGTCTTGCTTCGTTTTCGTTGCAACATACCCAACCAACGGTGTGGAAGTTGGGTTGGGGGTCGGGTCGGGGTTCGCGATGGTGAGTACGCAACTCAGCGCAGCTTGAACTTGAGGACGGTTGCGGTTGCAATGAAGGGGGGCGGTGGGGAAAGTCGCATGCGGAGTTCCAGAGGGAGGTTCGTGGAGGGGGCGGGAAACAGGTTCAGGCAGGGCATACGCAGGAGGGAGGGAGGGCCGGCTAGGACGTAGATGGGCGTTGGGAGGTGGGTTGCAATGGGAGGCGGGAGGCGGGGCCAATGAACGCGGGCCGGGCGGGTGACGAGAGGATGACATTGACAGGGAGAGCCAGCTGAGTCCAAGGGGGGAGGTGGAGGTGGGGATGCCGACATGGTCCCTCGCCCCACATGTACAGTCTACATTTGCTCCTCCTGACCCTCTCGAGCGTCTTCTCCTTGACGTACGCCTGCACCGGCACACGCGGTTGGCTCTGGATCCTCTGCTATGCGTCAACGGGCTCTTCGCTCTTCTTGGTTTGTTGCATCTTGACCAGAGGGTGCAGAGGTTGAGGCCTTGAATGACGAACGTTGCAACGTTGAGGTTCGGTCGGGATTCGCGATGCAGGGGTGTGGAGAGGGAGGAACGCGGAGGAAGGATATCGATAAGCCAGCGAGTTGCGGACAATGGTTGAGATCGAGTACCCGGGCACAGGTTGCATGACCAAGGTCGTGTAGCGTCGACTTGACAGCAGCAGGCTAAAGTAGCTGGTTCGTCATCAGAATCCAGAACACGCGTTGGGTAGAGAGGTGCGTTGCGTCTTCTTGAAGGGGGTAGAGGGAGGAAGGGGAGTGTGAATTTTGAACGGACGAGGAAGGGTTGGTGTGTCCCAACTAGGAGGGAAGATAGAGAGAAGGCGAGGGAGAGTGTACGGCAGGTGTCGACCGATGCCCTCGGTGTGGCGGTCGTCCTTCCGGAGCTGTACTCTATTCTTGAATATTCAGAGGATGCTGATGCGAAGCGCCCGCGTTGTTTGGGAGCACAGTCCAGTATCCAGCATGCGTCCGTCGAAGACTCAAAAGCGTTGGTCGAGGACGAGATGAGCCCAATCCAAACAACTCCCAGATGTCGCTTCGTGCTTCCGCGACACTGGATATTATATTCCGTGCGCTCGTCTTCGTTTGCGGTTTATTACTTCGTTCCGTGTGCTATTTGTTTTCTATGACCTTACTTGCAAAGGACAATAGTCCCTACTCCAACTCGCCGGTGTCGTTCGAGGCATCGTCACCGTGCAGCACTGTCTTCAACCTCTCCTTTTTCTCCTAACGTATTCCAGTACCCCTGGCCCTTCTCAACGAGGACCCGAAACGTCACTTCGTCAAGCTTCTTCCCAAAGGACCACGTCTCGAATATCTGGTTCTCAAAGTCGATGAAATATGCCCACTCGCAGAAGAGGCTGTCTTTGAGGAAGTCGACTAAGCGCGGTCAGATAAGTTGGGGTCAGCAACAGCAGCAGATTATGGTAGAGAACCGGGTCAGCATGAGTTAGGATTTAAGTACTTAGACGTACTGCTTTCAGCCGACTGCACCAAATCGCCGCTCTGGATTGCGGGCAGCGCTGCTGCGCCTTGCCTTGTGTAGGAGGCAGTACCAGTCGTCTAGTCTTCCGTTGCTGACTTGGAGGTTGGAGAACCCGAGTTTCGAGTATTTGCGTTGGAGCTCGGGGCTCGGGGTCGAACGTTCGTCTACCCACTAAGTATCCATTACATAATCATTCGCCATCCATCCATCCATTACACAGTCGCTCCGATTAGCTTTGGGTTTGGGAGAATAAAAAAGGACGCCGCGGTCACCGCGATACTGCGAACTAGCCCGGCCGTCTTCTTGTAATCCTCCCGCCCTTTGAGGCTGAGCAGGAACGCGACGGTCTGCTTGCCGAGAGCTTCGGGGTAGGAGTCGTAGTGGTTGTAGGTGGCGTGGCACTGTGCGCCTATGATAAAACCTAGGAGTCCACGGGTGCCCATTTGATTGAGGGTGTGCTGCAGCGGTTTGGCTGCGATGGATGTCTTGGTTGAGCCCGAGATCTGTCATTACATAAGGCGTTGGCGGGAACCTCCCGCAAACTTTCCCACCATGTCGGCACTGCCCGCCTGCCCTTCCCAACCGGCCCGGGCATCACCTTGCACAATGTCGCTTCGGTTCCCCTTCCTTCAATGCAGTGTGCACCCACCTCGACGCCCTCTACACCCAACCGTATGAATCCATTTCTATCCCCCCCACTCGCCCTAGACGCTCCCAATTTCGCAGTTGAGGCTGACATACTGTTGACATTGAACTCTTTTTCATGTTGTTTTCATGTCATGTCCAATTGAACCGTCGGCCCCAACCTCAGGTTCAGGCTCTAGTAGTTGCCGCCGCTTTCAAATTCTAGTAGTGCTCCGTGCTCCCGTACACAGCCACAGCCACAGCCACAGAATACATACACCCCAGATCCCCGACTCGTGCATTCAAATATCCATATCTCGCGCCATCGATAGACACGACATATTCAGCGGCCACCTCCCCTCACTGTATTGGACACTCTCCTTAGTCTCCCTAAACAGACTTAACAGATTGCAGATACAAATGTATATGATACTACTCTGCAATCTTCAAGAGAGGGAGAGGCGGAGTCGTACCCCCGTGCATAGTATCATAGAGGACCCGTCGTCTCTCGTCTCCTGAATCAACTTGTGGGTCTGGAGTCCCTCCTATAATTCTCACAAACAAATTTGCAGTTGTCTACTTCCTACTTACATGCGATGCTCTGAGAATGCCACAACGGCTGCAAAAGACCCCCCATCTCAGCGTTTCTGTCACGTTCAATTTGCATGCTGAGGTCAACGTCCAGCGCTCAACGTCCATGGCATCCGCCTATGAACACTGCGGCCTTCCGATTCAGCCTCGTCGTCTCATTACCATTACACCTCCACAGACTCGGACACGATATGTGCAGCACCGGGCCCGTTAGTAGTACCAGTGTGACGTGTCAGACGCTGACGGCAAGTTCAATACTAGCGCTGAAGCAAGCTTTCAAATTTCAGGACGCAACGCAGTACGGTGGTTATCGCGTCGCGTTGACTATTTCCGGGATCCTGATGCGAAGCGCGGGTGGTTTGGGAGCGCAGGCCCGCCGAATCCCGCATGAGCTGCGAGCATTTCAATCACCAACAGTCGAAAGGATGCTCCCATGGTGGGAAAGCTTCACGGAAATTGCCGGCCTTTATGTAAACACAGATCTCGGGCTCAGGAGCATCTTGGACCATTGCCTGCATCGACATCCTAGCACTCCCTCAACCCCGTCGGCCAATAACTAGCTTAAAGCCTAGAGCTCAAATGGGTACCCGGGGCCTCCTAGGATTCATCATCGGCGCACAGCGCCACGCCGCCTACAACCACTACGACTCCTACCCCGAAGCTCTCGGCGAGCAGATCGTCGCGTTCCTGCTCAGTCTCAAAGGGCCTGAGGATTACAACAAGATGGCCGGGCTCGTTCGGAAAATCACCGTAACCCTCCTTCTTTCCTTCTTCTTTCAATTCCATAGCTAATCGGAGCGATGGTGAACGGATACTTAGTGGGTAGACGAACGTTCGACCCCTCCCCCCGAGCTCCAACGCAAGTACTCCGAACTGGGTTTCTCCAACCTCCAAGTCGGAAACGAGAGCCTCGAGGACTGGTACTGCCTCCTGCACAAGATGCAAGGCGCAGCAGCCCTGCCCGCGATCCAGAGCGGTGATTTGGTGCACCTGGCCGAAAGCAGTACGTCTACTTCAAGTTAAATCATGCTGACCTATTACTCAATCATAGCCTGCTGTTGCTGACCCCAACTTATTTGACCGCGCTTAGTCGACTTCCTCAAAGACAGCCTCTTCTGCGAGTGGGCGTATTTCATCGACTTTGAGAACCAGATATTCGAGACGTGGGGCTCTGGGAAGAAGCTTGACGAAGTGACGTTTCGGGTCCTTGTGGAGAAGGGCCAGGACTACTGGAATACGTTAAATAGCGATGGTGAGGGCACGGATGATCTTCGGGATGGAGAAAAAGAAGACAGTACTGCACAGTGACGACGCCTCGAATGACACCGGCGAGTTGGAGTAGGATCATTGTTCAAATTGTCAACCAAAATCGTAAGTGAATAAATGGACGGAACCACGGAATAAACTTTATTGAAATGCAAGCGAAGGCGAGAGCACGAGAAATATCCAGCGTCACGAAGCGAGAGGACTCGGAATTTGCACACGCAGGCTGAGGTGAAAGTAGAGGTCTACATACTTACCCTGCCTAGCACCGACGCACGCACAGTTCTTAGGAAACAGGAAAGTCGCCAACGTGCAGCGATCATATAGGGTGCTGGTGGACAGCAACGTTCGTCCAAACCATGACCCAGAGAGCTCGTCCGAATGGGCGGTCCATCACAATGGGCAGAATATGTCGGCGATTACTCACCGCTCGCCCGAAATTACATGAAGCTCTCAGATCCTCTCTGCTACTCCCAAACGCCACACCCTCAAGCTTCTACATGACGGATTAACCCGAAGTTTCACAGCGGTCAATGAGTGGCTTAGATGTTCTATGAAGCGTACACCTCATTCCCACCGACATATGTTAGGACTGCCTAGATCCTGGCTATTTCTGATTCCTGGCTTCCACGCCCGTCCAATAAAGTAAGCTTCAGGGAAGATCGAGAGAATGCGATGCACTTTTGTCGAGGAGCTTATCCTTGACCAACGGACTATAGAGTAGACGCCGGCTAGCTGATATCCGTGGCTATCTTTAGATCTAGAAATCCATGCGAGCGCACGGCGTTGAATACGTGGACGAAAGCTAGTCTCGCTCTAGAAGGCGAATTATGCGTCTGAACTCGAAGCATGAGGCCTTGAGGTGCGGTCCCACCCCCGCAATTGCTCCACCAAACAAGGGGGGGAAAGTATATTGTGCATACATCAGCAGAAAACAACTTGTGGCACGACGAACGTTGCTAGCAGCTGACATGTGTTCTGACTGCCCCACGCTAGAGTCCTCCTACAAACGTGATCGACGAAGAATAACAGGACTTCCAAAAGGGCCCGGCTGCGCCACGTGGAAATCTGCCTCGGACTCTCGACTCTCAAAGTTAGTATAACACCACCCCCAAAGCTTGAAGTTGGTAACGAAGGCGTATATATGTTGAGCGTGGCTAATTTTGGCCCGGGCGCATGAGACATGTGACAACCGCGAAATCTTGGACATCTGAGCTAGCCCACCGTTGCACTGTTCAACATTGCCAGGTGGGAGGCGCGGGATTCTGAATGAATCGCCTGTTGGAACGATACCGCGCGCCAGTATTTCTTGTGCCGTATGGTATCCGACTGAGTCAGCAAAGAGTCTAGTGTCGGCCGAAATGCCAATCATACTTATGTTCTTTGTTGATGGTGCGCCCACGGGAGTTCATAAGTTGCCACATCGTGGGTCACGTCTGAAGTTTAATAGTGTTTGTCTTGTGTGTCCTTGAAGTTAAGGTGCCCTTCCATGCTATCACAGACGTACGTACTATGCCCAGTGCACAGTAAGTAGATCTGTCCCTATTCCTGGAATCGAGGGTGAAGATCGTGCTCTTTCTCAGGTTCATCCCTTATTTCCGTCTGTAGGTTTCAGCTTCTTTGAAAGCTTGTACGCGCTAAGTGCCGAGAACGCTGGGAATACATGGATATGCTCTCACTGCAACGGACCGCGTCCACAAGGGACCATCGTAGGGAAGGGGTATGCATTCCCCGTCTCTCGAAGCTCGCACTGTGTCCACATTGCTCCTCATATTCATTCAGTCTCGCCCTGACTCTTCTTACTCGGCGCAGTCCCCTCGTTCGAAATTGTTGCTTTCCGTCATCCAGAACTGAGAAACCGTTAGCGCCCAATCCACGTGACCGAGCGCTTGTTCAAGTTGCACTTCGCCAGATTCTTTTCCCACTTTACGGCCAGATATAGAGATTCCAAATTATATAAGTCATTGATACCGTCGACAGCCGTGTACGCCCATATCTATGCTCATCCCGAGTCCCGACCCGATCACAGATTCACACCTCAATAGCCGGTACCCACCCCTCTTGAACCCGGCCTTCAGCCGCCATCGGACGTCCGGCGCAGCACCCGGCATGGGTGCGCCCAAACTTGGTGATGGTGTATATAGAACTAACCTTCTTGTGGCTTGGTGGTTCTGTGACTATCGAGCTTAAGTATACTATTTCCGCACAGCCAATATTCCGAAGCGGCGTACTCGTTTGCAATAACCGGAACATCCGATGGGAAATGAGGAAGGTAAACTTCGGTGTGCGCATGTGGGCAAAGTGACGGGTGAAAGTGCGGCCAGAATGAGGCAAGAATAGCAGCTGCCCAATACGCTGCCGCTTTCAGACATAGCAAATTTGGAATATTTGTTGAGTACATAAGGGACAGGAATGACGCCTCTTCCTTATCCTGATTTTCAGGCTCTTTCAACGTAAGTGTCCTACCACTCCTACCTGTCGATGCTGACAAGGATACGTCTCGGATACAGAGCGAATCACACTCGACGTTTTCCGACTTGATAAAAAAACCTCCTTGTCGACTACACAGGTATGTTCTTCTCTCCGCCGTCGTTCATTCGTTCCCTAACGTCCTCTCACACAGCCATCATGTCTAACACGAGCTTCGCAACCATCAAAGCCGAGGACAATGCCATCTACAGCAAGTTCACCGTGAAGGGCGCGATGTGGAACAACCCCGCCGACCACGACGAAGGTTCCGTCCCGATCACCTTCAACGCCAACTCGGACGTCGCTGTCCCCAAGTTCTACTCTGCGGACAAGTCCCTCACCCTCCTCTACGACACCTTCACTGCCGGGTACGACACGTTCCGTGGCAACATCGGCGGCGGCAAGATCTTCTTCAAGACCGGGAAGGGCATCACTATCAAGGGCGATGTCACGGGTGGCCCGGCTGAGGGACAGAACTTTGTCGGCTCTGGCACCTGGATCCAAGCGTGACACGTACGCGAAGAGGAAGAGTTGGACCAGGACAATCGGGTGTCGGCGTTCTGTACGATAAAGTGGCGTTTTTGGTCGTAGCAAATGTGATTTGAATTTGGATACGTAGCACAGACAGATTGAACCCGATAAGATTGCCAGACCCGAATTAAACACGAGGAAGCCTAGTCAGGAAGCGACAACGGCCACTGTAGAATTATTTTCGCGAGGTCCGAATAATCCCTACATAAATCCAAATCATTTCAAGTGAAAATATTTAATCCTACCCACGGTGGTTAGGACATCGTACAGCTTCGGCGGCAACCCCCATCGAGCTTTCCCACAGAATCCCATCACATCTCGTTCACTTAGAGTTGGATGGGCGCGAATACGTAAGATCTGACTGCTCTGGCCTACGTGAATATTGTCCGGGTCCCCACTATTGTCTGAAGATATTGTGCGGGGATCGCCAGGCACGTCTTTCGATACCCCATAAGGATAAGATTTTGCTCATTTTGGAATCCAATTATTCAAATTCAACATACTAGAGGGAGATCACCCACTGCACAGGCCATATCCCTCCCATTAGGGCCTTACCCATGGAAGTACTGATTCAAAGCCTCGAGCACTCATTCTGCGCCTCTATATGATCACAAGGTCAGCTATAAATATGCCTATAGGAGATGGAAGGACGGTGTCTTCACTGCAACGCTTCTCTTGATAGTAAATAGCAGTATCAATGCAATCAAATCATAGTAACTAGTCGAATGAAATTTCCGTAGTTTCATCAGTCAAAGTGGGACCACAAAATATGAGTGGGAAGATAGCTATACGCAGCACAGAGAAAGTAACTAGAATGCGGCGGACTCGTACTGCCACGCCATGCGACGGCCCATACCATACAAGTTTGTCTAAGTGCGCTGCGTAACTGACCTATGCCTATCTTGTGTCACATCCACAAAGTAGTATAGCACGAGGGCCGGCCGCATCGGACACACGAGTTCCTGACACCGTAGTCGCAAGTAGCACCGGTACTGCCGTTGCACTCGAAGATGTGCCCATTGGTGCAGTCGCGGTTGATCGCTTCGTTGCCGCAGAACAGGCCTTGGACTTTGTTACAGGTGCACTTGGAGGCGACGCAGCTCTGTCAATGTAAGAAAATATATGTCAGTAAGCACCGCACGAGCTCGTGGAGTGAAAAAGGACGTACGCTAGCTTCAGACTCAGGCTCTAAAACAGGAGCGGGTGCAGGGACTTGAATGGCGGACGCGGTGGCTACAGCCATGAGAGCCGCGAGAACGAGAGTGACGAACTGTAAGAGTGAGGTCAGCAGTCAACAGATCAGCGAACAGACGGCAGAGCGGACCTTCATGTTGCATTCAGGTGTGGTACGAGTGGAGAGTAGCTATTTGCTTAAGGGAGTTGGTGTCGAACATGTCCAATTTATGTGTTCTCTGATAGAGCATTTGCCACCAGATCAGCTTCTATTGCTGCGTATCAGCCGTGCGTTATGGTCGTGGTAGGATTCAATGAAGGCTAGACTTACATGCCAAATTCCGTTGCAGTTGCATGCGGTGATATCTATCAGTGCAGTCCAACGTTGTAGGGCGTCCGCATGCGATAGAAGTACTTCAGTATTGAACATGTCATGCACGACGCCGTAGGCTGTTCTGCCGTGAGGTTAACGTATGTCATGCGTAGTTGGTCAAAGACCAGTACACTGTCCCAACACTACCTACTGCCGATGCACCACGCAGAGAGGAATACGCGGTGAGGAACATACTCAGTGAAGAACATGCTGGCAAAAGTATTCATTCTCTGGCAAGGTGTGTCAAGCAGTGCGATTTCGACTGGTCAGAGGTGGCCGCGGGGAGATTCCCTGGAGTGATGGTGAGTTCGGCGTCAAATTCTTTGAGATTGTTGAATAGCGTTGAGCCTGAGATGAAGTGAAACAACGATCGTGCATAGAAAACGAAGGATCGAGGATGCGTTTCGAACCCTTGAGGAGAATTTGTGTCTGCTTGGTAGGGAACGATCGTGAAACATCGTACAGTTGAGCCGCGGGTTGGGACAGAAAACGAGAGTGAACCAGAATGGAGGTCGATCAATTGAGCCCTAATGCCAGGAAGCAGGTATAAATGGGATACATGAGGTTGGAACTAGCTCGATGTTCTTTGCGATTTCGTCGCGTTTGCTGTGAGACGGCGAACGAGACACGAAAGGCGCAAAGGAGAGACGAAACCGTGGGAGGCGCGCGTTGAAAGAGAATAGAGGGCGGTGGCAGTTACCCGAGATGGCTCGAAGGGAAGATCAAAGCCAGCGATCTGAAGGATGAAAAATGAGGAAGAATCTGGAAGGTGCGCGGATAGAGAGAGAAACAATGAAGAGAGAGTGACTAACCCCGAACGCCAGGAAGTGGGCGACATGGGATAAATGCGTTCGGAATCGGGTTGCGAGAAGATGTCCGTTACTATAGGATTTCTTCACGTTCGCTGTGAGACGATGCGCTGGGCACGAAGAGGAGCGAAGGAGAGACATAACCTATCGCGTCTGCCATCAATTTCAGCGTGTCCAGAGATAGAACGGAGGGAAGGCGGACGGTTGGCGAGGAAAGTAGCAGCTGCGTGAAACGAATGTCAAAGAAAGGAAGAATCGAGATTTGAATCCTCTGCTTGAAGCTTGAAGCCTTCGGTTCCTTCGCTCCTTGACCAAGTTCTCCTTGCTCCAAGCGTTCCGCGACGAATTTCCTGGAATTCAGGGGGTCGAATGGTGCCGGACATGCTTCGAATCTCTGAGGAGAGCGAGAGGCGACTTTGAACCACGTTTGACACGGAAGTGCTAAACTAGATACTCGCGAATGTTCTGGAGAGGTGGCAGCTGCTAGGAGGCGGCCAAATCCGAACGAGGGTGCCAGTCACGGTGGGGTGCAAGAGAAGGAGCCTTTATGTTTTCAGCTCGGGCTGAACGGACTCAGAAGAGATGGAAGATGGGCATGGTGAAGCGTACGAGAGGCCAGAACGCAGGAGACAGGGGCCACTTTGAACGCGGACGTCGGGACTGTCGTCGACGTTGAGGAGAAAGAGAGAACCGGACCTGTGTCCAATCGGAGGCGATGACGGATCGGGTTTGAAATTGTCTCGGTCCGGTCTTGCATTTCTCACGCCGCTTGGCCTCCTCGCTGGCACCCTCTCAGGTATCGCTAGTCCATCGTGGTGTGTCAGCCGAGCTTGGTTTCCCGTTGGAGTGCCGGATACAAAACCGAGGACAGGAATATATGTAAACGCAGGTTATTATATTAGTTTTACGTGGGCACTCTTCTTTCTATCGCTCAAGAACGATGGCACATCGCGAAATTTCTGACATCCAAAGTCCAGAATATCTCACCGATCAAGTAACATATTTCTTGAACGCATCGTAGCACTCGAGGATAACCCGTCGACTATCCAGGGGCTTCATGCCTTCGCTGAACCTGCGATGTGGGCGGGGGACGTCAGGGACGTGTGCCGTTACGATAGTGGGAGCGCTGGTGGGTGGGTGTTGGCCGAGCTCGACGCATCGGCTCAGTGCCAGGGTAATTGGGATTTTGAAGAAAGTGGGGGATGTGCCGTGTAGGAGTATACCGGGGTTGACCTAGACGCAAGGTGAGCTTTGGTATTCACAGTACATATGGATAAATGGATGAATCGTGATGTGAAATGCGTACGAACCTTGCTCCCGCACGCCTTCGCGCGTTGTTATTCTGGAAGGCGGCTATGGCCTGCGCAATGAGCTGCGCATGTGAGTTTACCTCACGCCTATCCTCTTTCACAGCGAGTACAACATCGTTCGTATCTCGATCGACGATGCACACGTCCGGTCTCGCGTACTTCCACTCCCCTGATACGAGCAACCGGAGCGCTTTGCGCGTGCGAATCGCTCTCGGGCGGTGAATGTAGCCTAAGGAGTGGAAGAGCGCCACGGCGAAGTCAACGATTGCTGAGTCGTCAGAATATTCCTCAGGCTCGGAGAGAGGGGGTGTTGGCATCATTGCGAGATCGAGTTGGGCGAGGAGGGTGTATGCGCTGTCGGTGAGTGCATCGTCGGCGGTGAGGGCGGTGAGGAACTCTGGGCCGACAGAAGGAGCAGGTAAGGCCGTCTCACCGAAGAATGTTTGAGCGTCCCAGGGGAAGGTGAGCTTGATGTTGCATGCCTCCAAGTCGGCGTCGGTCCATTCGGCCCTGGAGTTGGGCGAGCGGATAGTGGTGTCCAATCGGGTCCCTCCCGGTCCGCGGACCGGGACCACGTCGCCTTCCCCGCTGCATCCCATCGCGTTCAACTGTAACGCACACACACACGCCCCTCACTGCTTCCGCTGAGGGATTCGAGTCGTTCCGTCCCTCTCTCACGTTCCTCACACTGGACAAGTCGAGCGTCGGTTGAGCAGCATTTCACATCCACCCATTTGTATGTAAGTAATACCAACTTTATGCTTAAAAAGAAGAGGGAGCCCATCGCGATATTATCTCCGAACCTAGTGAACGACGGAAGAAAAACAGAATTTTCCAAGAAAGAATGAAAAGGACAAGAACAGGGGAGAGGCGGCGAGGCGGCGACGGTGATGGTGAGAAGAAAGGACTACTTAAGAAGGAAAGAGTGGCGCGGTAAGCGCCTCGGTGAAACGGAAAAGCGGCGGTCTTGGTCACGGGGCGGCTACGCTCAATCCCTGTCCGAAGAGATCATGTGGCGGGTCGGAAAAGGTATCGGGGAGCGGGGAAATCAGGAGAATGTGATGACGAAAGTCAAAAAAAAAGGAATTTCCGAGGTTAGAGAACGGGCCAGCACATCAGCCTCACCGACACCCTTCACGCTTCTATCCAAGTCCCAGAGCCTACAATGTCCTGTCCGTCATCCGGACCACCATGGATTTTTCCCTTGATCACGATCCCTTTCCCCGTCCTGATGAAGATAGTGCCATTGCCAATGTTGCCACGGAACGTGTCAAAGCCGCCTTTGAAAGTGTTGTAGAGGAGGGTGAGTCCTTTGTCCACAGACGAGAACCTCGGGAGGGAGACATCGGCGTCTGCGGTGAAGACGATCGGGACGGTACCCTCGTCGTGGTCGGCGGGGTTGTTCCACATCGCGCCCTTGATGGTGAACTTGCTGTAGATGGCCTCGTCCCCGGCTTCGATGGTTGCGGGGCACGAATGAGACATGGTGGCTGTGTGAGCGGAAGTCAGGGAACGGCAAAAAGGAGAAGAAAATACATACCTGTGCAGTCGACGCGTAGGATTTTTATCAAGTTGAAAACGTCAAGTGCGATTCCCTCTGGAGGCATCCCTGTCAGCGCCGAGAGGTAGAAGTGGTAGAACACTCACGCCGAAAGAGCCCGAAAGTCAGGATGAGGAAGAGTCGCCATTCCGCGCCCCTATAAACCCAACAAATGGACCAAATTTGCCGGATCTAAAATTGGCAGCGTATTGGGCCACTGCGATTCTTGCTTCATGCTCAAGCCGCACTCTCGCCCGTTACTTTGCTCACATGCGCACATCGACGTTTATCTTCCTCATTTTGTGCCGGATGGCCCGGTCATTCCGAATGAACACTCTACCGCGGAGTAATCGATGGCACCTGGGGTTGTATCATCTTGCTCGCAAGAACGAAGTAGCTGTGTGGAAATAGTATTAGTATGTGATCGGGTCGGGACTCGGGATGGGCATAGACACGGCTGTATACGGCCGTCGTCAATGTACATCAATAACTTGTATAAAGCAGAATCTCTATATATGATTGTAAAGTGGGAAAGGAATCCATCGAACGCGACATCGAAGTGCAAGGCAATGCAACAAGCGCTGGCTCACGTGGATTAGGCGCTGATAGCTTCTGGATGACGGAGAGCCAGAATTGCGAACGACGAGGGGACAGGGTCAATGAGGATGAGTCAAGACGAGGTTTCATGAGTATGGAGAGCAATGTGGACAAGGCACGAGTTTCCAGAGATAGGGAATCCCCTCCCTCTTCCCTACAATGGTTCCCGGCCATGTGGACCGCGGTCCGCTGCAGAGAGAGAACACTCATGCATTCACGGCCTTCTCCGAACACTTCTACATCTGCATGACATTAACTTACAACCCCTCAATGCTTCGGCACTTGGCGTGTACAAGCTCTCAAGGAAGTTAGAGCTTAGTAACAGAATCGAGCGAAGAGATTCTAAATCAAACCTGAAAAAGGAAAAGATCTTCACCCTCGATTTCAAGAATAGGGTCAGCTTAGGCTTTCAATACAGAGGTTGTATAACCAAGGTCCTCAATTCAGCTGGCCGGGACATCCGACTGCTGTGGACGTCCGAGATTTCGATGTTTGCTACTTATCTCATCCGCCTGGAACAAAAGTAGCCTTGCTCAACGTCTGGTTTCATTATTATTATAACCACACGCTTTAGCCCTGGTGTTATGTATAACGTTCGATAATCGCGAGTCAAGGTAGAACCCAGATGTTGGGCACATGATCATTGGAGTAATAGTATCGCGTGGCCGCTGGGCGCGTTCGGATTAATCCGTCGTAGAAGCTTGAGGTTGGTGGGTTGGGGAGTAACAGCCTGAGCGCGCGAAGATGAGAGTTTAACTTGAAGGTATGTACTTAATTTCAGGATGACCGGGTCTGTACCGCAGAAATATTCTGCCCATTACCATTAGGATTAGTATGGTGCTGTCGGGCCAGCGGGGTAGAGCTGTACCGCGTCCAACCCACCGCCCGAATCGACCTCTCTTGGTTGTCGCGCGGAAGCTCTCTCCCAGCCTCTTGTACGATCGTCGCACATAGGTTTGGCATTAGCATGTTTCCGGTTTCCTATAAGCCGTGCACACCTGTCAGGCAAGAACATCCAATCACCCTCGTTCAGCACCAAACATACCGAACTCATCTTCATCTCGCACCAGCTGTAGGGGAATTTTATAACCCCCCCAGAAGGGAGTCCTCCACATCATCTCATCTGTCCTGAACCCTGAACCTTGAACCTTGAAGGACCGCGTCCCAGGCATCCATCGCAGGGGGTTTCTTACTACTTACGACAGTGGGAAACGTAAACAACCGTCTCGAAAGATAAATCGCAGTCCTCACGGGAGGGATAAGGCCACAAGGAAGTTGCGCGGCGTCAGTAGGACGTCGAAAATTCCACCGGTTTCAGCGACGTGGGGAGGAGTTCTGAGAGCGTCGTCTTCTGCCTGGATGTGCTCGCTCGAGCTCCGCGCCGCGCTGCAACCCGCCAGCCTGAGCCCCATCGGATGGGCCTTCGCGATAACGTGCGCACCGGAGACGTCCAGCGTATCTTCGAAGGTCAACAACCCTCGAGTGGGTCGTGACGAACTGCATAGAGAGAGAGAGAGAGAAAGGACGTCAGAACAGCCTGGCAGCACGAGAAATAGGGCGACGGACACGATCGAGTAGGGATACGAAGCACGCGCATATATACTCTATAATAGAGACGATTGAATGAAGAACGAGTGCCGTACGAGTGCCGTACGTTCTGCTGCCCCTAATCATGATGCTGCCCAGCTGTACTGTAACTCTAGCCCACCGTCGTGCCAGATGTCTTAGATTAGAGTCTAAGGAAGTTTGGCGGTGCGAGCTTGGAGGTGTGGCCTCCGCGTGAGCTTCGTCTGAATCCATGGGAGGCCGGATGGGATATTGATGATTGAGCACGGATATGTAGCTTCACAAGGATCGATGATCGATGAGGGGTTAGTGTCCGTGTTGTGCACTGATTCGCTGCGCGCCAGACCCGGTGCTCGGATTCAAATTGTCCTTGTGAACGAAGGAATGTGGTACAGTCGGTAAGAGGTGACCGGCTGCAGAGAGGCAAACCCCGTTCGGCCCCGGGCTGAATTTCTGGAAGTCTGAAAGGAGGGGCGGAGCGGGGAAATTGATCGTGAGTATAAGTATGGCATGGTTCTGGGATAAGGGTAGGGGTAAGGAGGAGGAGGAGGAGGAGGAGGGGATAGAAAGCGAGAGGAGACGACGGGAAACAGAGGGAAAATGGGGAAGAAGAAGAAAATACCACGAAGAACATACACACATCACACAAACAGCGGCACGAACCTCCATCGACGTTATGTAAAATTGTTCGCCCGAACGAGAATTGGACTTTGGTCGTGGTCGGTTGTACGCTCCGAGATTCCTAGCTGGTGTGCTATCGGCTTGGATGGTGCGGACTAGCTAACTAGCAGGAGAACGTCGGTACTTATCCTGCTGGGATCGAAGATCTGACAGCCGAGTAGGATCGACAAAGGAGGTATGTAAAGAAACCGAGGGAGGAAATGGACGGCGGGGTGATGAAAGCGTGGGAGGGACCAAAGAGGGGATTGAAAGAGACCTGCTTGGGCTGCATGCATGCAGCGACGGGAGCAGCTCCGAGCAGGATGTACGAGGGGCGGGACCACCCAACATACCCCCTCTTCTCAGTCCTTTCTCCTTGCAATTGCACCAGACTCGCACTGGCGACCGATACTCTGCCCGTTGATTATGCGTCAACGTGCTCACGGATAGTGCTCACGGCATCTCCTGGGACTTGGATGTTCCCAACAGTACTAGTTGCGGAGGAGGGGTTCGTAGTCGGCGATGGATGTCGTGGGGTGCTGGTTGTAGAGTGTGAAGGTGACGAATCGCATCAATTCGGAGTGGGATGTACAACCAGTGGGCGTGTAATGCGTAGGAGGAGGAGGAGGAGGCGGCACGGGGGTTGGGGTGACAACAATTTGCCCAGAATGGGGGTGCAACTGAATTCAAGGAGGGCGGAGGAGAGTGTCTGTGGAGGAGAGTGTGCGGAGGGGTTGGCGGGTCAGTAGCGGGTGGTCACCGCCGCGGACAATACAGGTTCACGAAGGCTGACGTGGGGTAGCGTCGATAAGAACAGGCGACGATAGTTGGTTCGTTGTCCAGGAAGTACGCTGGGTAGAGAGACGGAGTGGGATTTCGAGGTTTGGGTTAATCGTGCCGGGGGGGCGGCAAGGAACGCCGAGGAAGGGAGGACGAAGAGTTGAGATGTGGAAAGAGGACGGAGACATGGTGAGGAAGAGTAGGTCTAGTACGCAGAGGCGGCGGCGGGAAGTGTCGTTGGTGTAGAATCGAGATGTCGTCGAGGTGAAGGTAGTGTTCTATCGAGGATATGTAACACGATGGCGGGCAGAGTCGGGGGGCCGGGACGTGCGCAGGGCATAGGGAGCTAGAGAGGAGGTGGACGGAATAGGCCGCTTGAATGGGCTAGAGGCGGGGCCGACCGATGGCTGGGGAATTCGGGCAAGGAAGAGCCTAGGGTGAGTATAGAGGTGTGACAACGAGGAAGAGGGCAGAAGCAGCCGCTGGGGTGACGTCGAGGTGAGGGCCCAGAGTGTTGAACTGGAGAGATCGCTGGCAGGAGAGGTCCGTCCGGGCCGAGATGCACCCGATCTGTCATCGTTGCCGATTGGACAGAGGTCTGGCTCTCCTTGTCTTCTACATCGACGACAGTCCCTGGGTTGCCATACTATCCATGCAAGCCAACGCAACCCACCGTGACCAACAAAATTCGCTCAGAAAAGCCCGGGATTGGAGGCATATAGCTTCGAACTCGCCTAAGACCTTCCGCTCCGAGTCCCTCTATCGACCCGGAGGCCCTCACCACCCTCAGTGCACAGCCGACGATGCACTCACAGACGGCGCGTAAACCCTCCTTGCTCAGCTCGACCTCGCAATGGCGCCTCCAAGCTCCGAGCCTGAGGAGGAGCGCTCGGCGCTCAGCGCTCAGCAGTCATCGACTTCGCTGTGGCGCTTTTCAATTCCCTGGGTTATATCTATCACCCCAGCTGTGCAAACATGCCAACATGCCAATACACGCCGAGATACAGTGCTTCTGGTGAAAATCGAACATATCACTCAATGATATGAATAGGGATAGCCTTACACTTCAAGGCTGGAAGCTTGAAGCTTGAAGCTCTATCCTAGGTGGCAGCTAGTATGCTTGCTGAGGTTCCGAGGATGAAATAATTTATTCGTAAAATCACTGAACTCCTTTTGATAGGACACGGCACTCTATAGTATGAGAAATGAGGCTCACTACGTTAGACCGCCACCGAAGCACCGCCATTCAGATGCCCTTTCTCCTCGTTGAATGGAACGCCGTCGTGCTCCGTGACCGTCTTGACTATCTTGATCTCTTCGAATGGGCGGTGCTTGTCGTCAGCTTCACCCGACTGCTTCAAATCGGCACCATTCCTGTTTGGTGGGAAGGCAAGAGGGATGACTGCCCCACCATTGGACATCGAAGACGACGGGTTGCTGCTTGGGTTCTTCAGCTCTTTGTATCGAGCCAACTTCGTCCGCCTGTACACACGGCACGCCATCATGTTCATCAGCACCGCGTTAGGCACTGCGAACATAGCCCGATACACCGCAGGCACGAAGGTGAAGTAAAATATGATCACAGTCATTAAATTGGTAGTGACCGTGGTCCTAAGGGCAAGGTGAGCAAGAGGAGAATACGAAAACACATGACTTACAAATAGTACACCTGTCCGTCCTGTAGAAGCCCCCGTGAAAAAGCAGGTAAGTAGTCTCCTCGAAGGAGTGCCCGAAGGCTGAGGTTTCCTCGCAGCGGATTTGCAGAGGTGTGCGTATTGCGCATCAGCTTCCAAGAGATTGCTAGGAAGACGAGCGTGTCGTTCACGAGCGGGATAATCGCAGCCGCTCCGACGTACTCCTCCACCTTCACGTTAATACAATACTTGGTAGGCCCAATATTAGCGCCGATGAGACCTTGAGTGGGTGTGATGACGCCCGCCACAACACAAAGCCACATGACGCTAAAGAAGGCGCAAACGAACTTGTTCCGGTCGAATATGGCGAGAACGCGGAAGAGGAACAGAAGAGATGTCGATGGTACGGCGACGGCGAACAGCCACTCGACGACTTTGCTGAAGAGGCGACACGGGATGCCCACCGGGGCGGCTAGTTATTCGACCACCATCAGGCCTGTTGCTTCTGATGACGCGACCGGCGACTCACTTTGGTAGATGACGGCAGAAAGGATGAAAGCGAGGGCCGCCATTCTGCAAACGCAAGATGTGAGTTGGATTTCAGACAGGCCGTTCATGCAAAAAACACCTCACCTCGATAGCAGGTAGACTAACCCAGGCAGCCTGACAGGGTACCGAAAGACCAGCGGGTAGTCTTGACGAAGGTGGAATAAAATGTCCCAGACCAAGACCTGTTAGAACGATTTCCCCAGGACCTCAGCATACTGAGGGATAAACAAAGGTCCAAGATAGTTACCCCCAAAGTACCCACGTAAACGTACGTGGAGATGGTGTACTGATATGCTAATTCCGGTGGCAGGAAGGCCATCGGAGTGAAGAGATTTGGAAGCGGTGGTGGGGCCGCAGTGGTGGCATTCATGGTAGCTAGATGCCCGTAGGATGGACGGCTTGAATATAAGATGTGAGTGTGCACTTGGATCCATTACGGCAGTTCAGACTCTGGTTTATATCCAACTTCTCTATTATTCCTAGCATCCCGTCCGCCCACTGCACCAAGATCTAGAGCGGTATGATGTAGAGTTGGATATACATAGATGTTCTCCAAACATCTCTTGGAGCATGATCCCCCACCTCAGACGTTTGAATTCCTCGGAGGTTTCTTTGTAGTCCTACAACAAAGCAATCGTAGAAAATAAGCGCCGGATCAGAACGCCGTGGACGGCGCACGCAGCTATGTATCGTATCATACCTCTTCCTTTTGGTTGATGCCTTATCCTTCCTGTGGAGCTCCTTTTGCACTCAATGTATTTCAAGCCGCATGAACATATGAACCTCTCTGAGGGTAGCCAAGGGTTGGAGCGATTCGGACACCAGCTGGCCGGTGTCGGTGGCGTAAACACCGCACATCCTTCGGGCTCAATAGTTCGTGCTCAATAAGAACAACCTTCAGGGCGAGAAGGAACTCACAGCGCTCACTGATAATATTGTGGGCTGTGGAATAGCCTGCAGGCGTATCAATGTGAAGAAGATAAGACGATAAGAAAAGATGGAAGCTCGTTCACAAAAAAAACGACTTCGTGTACGTGTACATCACATTCTCGATAGCATCCTCCCCTGAAACACACTTTGGTGGATGGGCGCGCAACTACACGAGACCAGGAACCAGAGATGATCAGGAAGCAAGCGGTCCCAAGGGATGTTGGTGAGAGTCGAGCAATTTTAACGCAGACCTCGTGAATGGCTCGTCGAGGAGCGATGCACGGGTCCGAGACGAGGGTGCAGTGTGGCTTATTGTCGCGCTGGAGTAGTCTTGGACCCCGGTGTTCAGAAATGGACCATGCCGGGTTACACCTCACCTCACCTCGTGACCACGCTGGAAGCCTAGAAAGTTCGAATCGTACTGCTCAGGCTTATCCATCACATAGAAGGAGGGCGAGGTTTTGGAGCATGAAGTGGATAACGGCCTCGTAGCGTAGGGTTGTGGGTGATCTGACACCCGAACGAACACTAATAGAAGATTTGGCAGCTAACCTGAGAGTTGACCCTTTCAATGACAGAAGACTCTAATTCAGGATTATTATACAATGATCTTGGGACATTATACACCATTTTCTTAAGACATATCCCAAATTTCTTACCGACACGTCACACAAGGAAGTTCAATAAGACGGACGAAAATTCAGATAGATTACAGCATACGAAAGAAATAAATTATTCAAAAGCACTTGGAACATCAGCAAGCAGAGCAGCAGCCTGTTCAGACCGAGGTCGCAATCTCAGAGTGAACGGTTTTGGTATTCTGTGACAACAAAAGGTCAGTCAACCTGGCTTCCCTAGATAAAAAATGTCGTGCGCACATGATGGCGCCTGAAGAGTACGCGAACTCGGGCAGCACTTTCTTCCCATCAGCATCGTGTCCCGGGAGGACGTTGCACGTTGCCAGTGTAGTAGCAACGATTGCGAAGAGCGTGGCCTCAGCGAAATATCTTCCAGGACAGACACGGCGGCCGAACCCGAACACAAGGTCTTTTACCTTCTCCATCTCTACGTCCGAGCCGTTGAACCTGTCTGGATTGAATTCATTGGGATTGGGGTAGACTTCCGGGTCGTGGAGCATGTGCCTAGGACCGTCGTCAAAGGCGGGTTAAGGGAAAGAGAGGAGGACCGAACCAGATGTTGGGCATGATCACACTGCCTTTCGGGATGGAATAACCCTCATACACGTCGTCCTGGCTGACAACGTGAGGGATACCTATTACCATACGAAATTCAAATGTTCAGATCATAGGCAGTGGCTGTATAGAACTCACCAAGAGGAAGAGATGGCCCTGAGCGGAAGATCTCTGCGATTATCGCCTTTACATATGGCAAATTAGGGCGATCAGCGATCTCTGGCAGTCGATCCTTCCCGACGACATTGTCGAGTTCGGCTTGCGCCTTTGTCTGAATCGCGGGATTCAGAATCATGGCAAGATAGAATGTCAGTGCCGCCGAAATATTCTGTCCATAAAGATAAGTGAGACGCTATGGTACCAGTGGTCGTAGGACTCGCCGTATCCAACCCGCCACCCATGACACTTCCAGCCGCCCAGATGAGCTTTTCTTGCGTATCGGGCGGAAGCTCTCCGCCAGCCTCTTGTATGATCGTCGCACATAGATTCGGCATTAACGTCTTCCCTGTTTCCTGTAAGCCACGCACAATGTATCAGGGAGCATCTAGTTATCCTCGTTGGGGCGCAAAACGTACCAAATTCGTCTTGCACCAGTTGTAAGGGATATATGCACCGTCGAGAAGAATTTTACGCATCTCCTCGGCCGTCTTGAAGAACCGTGTTCCTGGCAACCATCGCGGGAGGTATTTCACTACAAGGTAGAACATAAATGACAAGTGCCTCGAGAAATGATTAATGAACGGCGAAGTCCTCACGCGGAGGGATCAAGTCCACCAGGAAGTTTCCTGGCATCATCAAGATGCTGAAGTTCTCCACCGCTTTCAGCGACGTGGCGAGGAGGGCATCGTCTTCCGACCGAATGGAGTATCCATACGTGACACGAATGATAATCATTCCGATTCTCCTATATTCCGCACAATGTTAACATATTTGCAACATAAAGGATACATGAAGGAGCATATGGATCACCTACAGCTTGATTTGAGAGACAAGGGAAGACGGGGTGTCCATGATGTTGCGCACAAGGATTCGAGCTTCCCTCTCTTGGAGACTGTAATATCTTGGGGTATTACTTTGAGCAAAGTCTTGAGCGACCAGACGACGCTGGCGTCGCCAATTATCGCCGTACGGTTGTAGGACGAAAGATTCGCCATATCCAACGCTTTAACGGGTGGTCAGTATCCGCCCCGTGAAACTAGTTCAGCGAGGAAACACCCTACAGCTCATTTGCCATGACCTGAGAAGCTCTAATCAGCATAAAGTCAATTTGTCATCATCTAGCACTCACAAAATGCGGTCGATCAGAATACACCGACGAGCGCTTGTCGAGGAGGTCTTGTGCAATCTTCGGCGAGCTCACAATGACGAACGACTGCCCCATAGCGTCGACATGCATGATATCGCCTGGTCAAGGTGACAAGGTCAACTGCAGTTTCTCGTAGTCGATGGATTGGGTACGTACCATACTTCCTACTCCAGTCAGAGAATGTCATCCATGGAAACTCAGCGGGGATTTGGTGGGCGTTTCCGATAATAGGGAGGCGTCTTGGACCAGGTGGTAGTTTGCTCTTGCGGCGGGACCATATGGGGTGGAGGACAAGAATGCCAAAGCACACAGCGGCGCCGACGAACGTTGTGAGGGAGAGATCAAAGTTGAACATTGTCAGCATCTTTGGGCGATGATCGATGAAGGCTTCTCACAGAAGCCTCGCCCTTTATAATTAGTTGCCCTCAAGGCACTGGATCGGCATCTGCGCGGGTTCCAGAAGCATGAATCAGAGGTGGACGGCAGAACAGCTTCCATGATCAGCCGCTCGGAGAAAGATAGATCAAGAGACCAATGCTCTTGCGAGCGGTTGAACTGGGTTCTTCCTGCACCCTACATAGTGACGAAATAGGTCTGGGGACCGTTGCGTTATCAGAATCCAAATTAACGCGTAGACTCAGTCCCGTTTCCAAATGAAGAAATATAGAGAGGATAAACAGTGGGCAGGTGCCTGACGGATGGAGGCAAAACCCTATCCTAACAAACGAACGAAAATAATACCCCAGAAATGAGACAAGAGGGCGGAGAACATCGACGAAGCCGAGAGATTCGAGCGTCAATGTTGATTCAGTCCTGTACTGCCATTCTTCCCAACTGAACGAGGGCATCTGGAGAATAGGCGAGATTTACCTAACTAGCAGGAGATTATTAGCATAGGGTCGGCATCGAGGTGCCGGAACAAAAGAGAAGGCGACAAGGATTGAGAGGACGGTATGCAGAGGAGAAAGTAAGGTGCGCAAGAATTGAGAGAATAGTGTATTAAATCCGTATTGATGAACACCCAGCACGAAGCGACGGATAAAATGGCTGCTAGGGGAATAGCGACAATATGAATGCACAATGTCAAAGAGAAAACGTTGAAAGAAACACCTAACCCATCCGATGAGAACCACGAAGGACATTCACATAAAACAGAGGCAAATGAGGTCCTCCTTCGATGCAATCTACTCCCTGCTCTTCCGACTGTGCGGTCCAGCAAAACCGGACCAAAAGCGGCTACAGTGGAACTGCTACTGAATCGGAGGTTGGGTGTTCGGCGTACGTTGCATTCGTCGCAGTCTTGTTTCGCTGCTAGCGCGCCTTCGAGTCCAAAGTTCGTTCACGAGAAATAAACCGGCGTATCAAAGACTTGCGTAGTCCTTGTCCAATGTAGGTCCTCGGGTACGTCAAAACTTGTATGTGTCGTCGGTTACAGGGTCAGAAGGCTTGCTAGCTGCAACAATGCGAAAGACGTGTCCCGCCTACAGAGAAGAAGGACGAGTTGAGTACGGGTCTACATTCCGGAAAGACTCCAAGGGAGAAACGAATGCTAGGGATGAAATCGAAGAAAGCGGCCGCGGTACAAAATGAATATCATCGCAACGGAGGAGGGGGGGGCAAGGAACACAAGGGCAAAGCTGGAAAATTCGACAGAAAACGTACCGTCATGGCGCGCACAGAGAAAGTCACGGTCCTTCCTCGTCATCCGCTCTCGTCGACATTTGAGTCAAGCCTTCGTCCGTATAGCCAAACTAGCAGGAGAAAGTCAGCATGGTGTTGCAATTGACGAGAAGGAAGACGAGAGAAATTAAGGCAAACGAAGGATAATAGTCGTGGACGCGGACGAGGGATAGAACACAATAGCAGGGATCAAAGAGGAAAAGAAAGAGGCGAGGCACACCTGGCCTATGTACTCCAATCCTGCCCCTCCGCTGCGTGATCGCCCGACACATGCCTCTCCTCGGCCCTCTCTTTTCCTGGACGCAGACTCCCACCTGGAGCTAATACTCCGCTTGTCGATTACGCGTCAACAGGTTCACGGGTAGTCCTCGCAGCATCTCCTGCTACTTCGGAGTTTTCAAAAGCTGAGCAGGTTGGTTCGGGATGCTCGACGTGAGAGTGTTCAATATTGTGCATGCAAGGAGTCGAAGTGACGTTGGGCACGACTACACGGCCCGGAGAGGAAGGCGAATGTTTGTCCAGTGAAGAGGTGGCTGGGGAAGGAGGTGAGCATGTTGATGGACCTTGTCGAGGGAAGTGTCGAAGGAAGTTGGGCAGCGACGCGGCGTTGGCGAGAGCAGGTTACAGTTCCTGATTAAGGATTCGTCATCCCGGATGTACAAGGATAGGGATAGGGGAATATTGCGTCTTCTAGGAAACGGATAAGCTTGACGTGCATGGTGGGCTGAGAGTTTGAACGCACCAAGGGCTTAGGGGATGCAGAGACAGCGAATATGCAGAGGCTGCGCCGCCGGGAGAGATGCGGTTAATCTTGATGTTCAGGTGAAGGAATTTTTGCACTTGTCATGTCTATGCAGGCTATATAAGGTAACGGGGTGGTAACTCGAATCTGTGGATTGGGACTTACGCTGGCATGAGATGGCAAAGAGGCAGTGGACGGCGGTTTGAGAGGGATAGAGACAGGGCCAGATGGCTGGATGTAAAAAATAGCTCAAGAGACGGGGGTGAGAGAGGAACTTAGAGGGCCACGGGGGTGCCGGTGAGGACGTTGAGGTGAGTGTGTTGAGCTGGAGAGAATTAATGGCAAGAAGGACGAGGATCATCCGGACCGAGACCATCCGTTGTTGCTTCCGATTGGACAGAGGAGCAGCTCTCTCTTTTTCTTCAACGTCCATGTCGGGCATCTTCTCCAGATCGAATGCATCCAACTCACCTCTCAGCTCATACGGTGGCCGAATCAGCAGCGGGACGAGACGATATAGAACCAGAGAGCTACGATGAAGACAGAAATATCACTAGGATGGGCAAGAGGAGGTGAAGTGTAACCCAGCATGGTCCATTTCTGAACACCTGGGTCCAAGACTACTCCAGCGCGACAATAAGCCACACTGCACCCTCGTCTCGGACCCGTGCATCGCTCCTCGACGAGCTATTCATGTTTCAGAACGTCTATCTCAGAGGCAATACACAGGCTGTAGGTGGGATTGCGGTTTCAAATCAGTTATAATACTTATGTTGAGAGAGCCCATTTTCCCCTGAATTATTTAAATGACCCATAAGATGTATCTGTGCAGACTGAATACAAAATCGTTGCAAATACCCAGCTCAAGTTTAGCTCAGTTGACTTCAGGCACTTCAAAAGAAAGAGGCCACTCTACCATAAATTCTCCATCAGTAGCACAATTTCGTGCTGGAAATATCCCAAGTGACGATGAGTCGCTTCGAGTACTTGTCCCTGTCCATCCCGCTTTTCATCCTTCTCGAGGAGTCATAGGCCCACATCAAGCAACTTGCGAAGACCGAGCGGCCCTCTTGGTCCAACGGGATTCAGCTCGGAACCTCCAGGAAGGCGGGAGAAATTGGCGGAGGAAAGAAAGTTTGAATACAGGGACTGTCAAACTCCTCCGCCCTTCTCTTCCGATTTGCTGGTACAGCCGCTCAGCCAACGTTGCAAAGCCCTGGCGAGCGTTGAAGAAAAATTCTAATTCAACGATGGAGAACGAATTCGTGGCTCGCGGTTGACAACTGCCGTACCCTTTTCGAGCGCAACCTCGGTCGGGGTGAATTCAAGGTTGGCTAGGCATCTTGGGGATGCATAATAAACGCCAGACAAGGAACACGACACATAGCGGGGGCAGAGTAACCTGGGATCTATGGGCGGCAGGAGTTGGGTAAATGGAACATCACTCTTCGTCTAAAATAGAAGGCAGAGGAGAATGAAAGGAAGACATAAACAAGACGTACAGAACTTGACAATGTACGTATCGAGAGTTGCCTCTTTTGTAGTGTCATCCCCGGATGGAGGTGTTCTGCAAGTCAAAACAGCGTCAGTACACATTGTCTTTGCATTAAACGAATGAAGAACCGACACTCCAAAAGTTTAAGTTCGGAGAGAAATAAAACGGATTACAACGTGCATAACTGAACTTCAAGTAGGGAGCAAATAAAACCACGACATCGCGAACAAACCAAGCGGTTGACAATTCGATGAAAAGTGGAAAAGCACTCACATGAAATCCGGGCGATTGGTATCTGCCTACACTCAGTTTGCCCCTTAAGAGCACGTCTCCGCCGGCCCAGTCCTGCCTTCCTGTACAACCAGAGCAAAAGCGGCGACACTCGAACCACGAGCTGTAACGATCTTAATTGTTTGGAATGCGGCTGTTCACCATGTCTTTGAGGCTCGATGCGCGTTGCGAGAAACATTGTACGGTAACCTAGAGAGAGGAGGAGCATCAGAAAGGGCTTCCAGCACGAGAAAAGGACGGATGGACACGATTGAGCAAAAATTTGGAACTTGTCGTCGTGTGCCTTCCGTAACCAGAGACTGAAATTGTCCCCAGCTGCAGACGTACTCCACCCGCATATGTGGGCCGTCGGGGGACTTGATCCTTGTTCTCGTTCTCCTCAGGGAAAATTGAGGGCCATAAGTGGTGATAAGGGTCTGCGACGACCACAGTTTCAGGCTTTGCTCGTCTTTCTAATTCATAGAGCTGCTGACTTTCCGATTGCTGGAGGGAAATATTCAGAATTCGGAAGGGCGGGGGAAGAGAGAGATGGTGGGTGAGGTTGCACTGCAAAAACGTAAAACACGATCCTAACACAAGGGAATGCTGAGATGGGACAGATGGAAAGAGAGAGGAGACGATGGATATAGAAACGATGGGGCTGGCGAAATAGGATGAAAACGTACCATAAAGAGCATGTGTCACATAGCTGTGATCCTCCATCGGCGCTGTTATCAAAACCCCAGAAGCACCAGCACCAGCACCAGCACCACCACACCTCCCATTGCTAAAGCCTGTGCCCCTACGGTTCTAGTTGGATCTCTCGGTGTCGGAAATCTCTCAAATGCCGTAGGCGCCGATGATGGGGCCTGCTACCCGTCAACCTTGACTTGCCTCCAACGATCTATCTAGCCACCTCGGGAGCCAACAGGCATCGGGATGCCTCAATGGATGAAATCTGTTGGGATGCCTCGGCAGGCAGAGACCACCGAGACGCCTCGAGAGGCAAAGACCCTCGAGATGCCTCGACAGGCGACAGCCGTCGAGAGGTCCCGCATCGCGGACGTTGACGGGGAGGCAGCGCTTCAGGTTATTCTGCACTCAGTGCTCACAGGCTCGAGTTGGGCTTGAGAGATATAGAACGGCGGGAAGAGATTGATACAGAGTGCATCATCTCATCCACGCAGGTCTACGCATGACCCTTGCCTGTTAGCTGCCTGGTCATCGCGTTGAACGGCGTCCAGTAACACGACGCGAGATCTACAAACCTGGTTGCACAATATCTTGTCTCACTTTTAGAGCCTCTCCTCATCAGACCATCCTCCTGTCTCATGTCCGGCGGGGCTTCTTGTTTAAGTACAAGAGAGTTTTGAAACTTTCCTCCACATCTCGGGCCAACAGGCCTAACAAGCTACAAATGCGGGGACTTCGTAGTCCTCCCTTTTTTCTTATTATTCAACGTACCTTGTACCTGAGACCGTGAGTCTTCCTGGGCTATCAGTTGGTAGTGGTTGGAATAACACAGCGGTAAAGGACATGCATGTACTCCTAGTGTAAACGTAGAATTGCTGTAGCTTGTAGCTCTAGATACACAGGCCGGTCGTTCCTTAATGGGACCTCCCCGGTTAATCAATCCTCCTCCTCCTCCTCCAGAAGTGGAGCTTCGTCGTGTCGCCCCTACGATCGTAATACGCGGTCGAACAGACATTTATCCCCAGTCAGCGCGATATCGGCTTAGACATTTTGGACAAACTAGTGGGAAAAAGTCAGTACGATGTTGGAAGAGATGGAAAGGATCGTGGACGATGAGGCAACGAAAAAGTGAGAGCGATCAAGGAGGAAACCTACCTTGAGCTGCATGCAATACAACCTTGCAGCGACGGTAGCAGTTCCCGGCAGGATGTTCGAGGGCGGGTCCATCTGACATATGTCCCTCAGTTCTCCTGCCTCCTTGACGTAAATCCAGTCATCTTCGTGATGTCTCTTGCGACTTGGATGCTCCTAGCAGCTGCGGGGTTGGTTCGAGATTCACGACGGATGTCGTGGGCTGGAGGTTAAAGTGCGTCATGCTAGACGGGTCTTAGAACAGGTGGGCATGGAATGCAGCCAGGAAGGAGGAACTGAGGGAGGTGGGAAGCGGGATGGAGGCAAGAAGGCAGCGAGAATGCGCCGACAATGAAGAGGCGAGTGAGGGAATGAGGAAGAGGTTGACAAGCCGATTGCCGGTGGACATAGCCGCGGGCAGAACTAGTCGGGGCTCATCGAGCTTGGGTAGCATTGACGAGAAGGCTGGGGAAATTGGTTCGTCGTCCGGATGGACGTAGGGTGGGGTGGAGTGTTGCATCTTGTAGGATATGGACGGGTGCCATAAAACGCCAAGGAAGAGTGGGTGAGGGGCAGGGCTATGTGCAGGTATTGCGGAGAGTGCGCTTGTGAAGCACTGGTAATTAGAAGCGGCCGCTGTGTGAGGACGTCGAGACGAATGTGTTGAAGTGTTGAAGAAGAGGTAATTGAAGCGGTCAAGCACCGTGGAAGAAGGAAGGTGCAGTGATTTGGAGGTGATTTGGAGGTGGTATTTCACGCGTCGTGTCTATAAAGGATGTAAGACGACGCAGTGAGGGGCTGAGCCGAGGATGTAGAACGTACGCTACGTGCCCGAGCATGGTATGCCAGAGATATGGGAGCTTGAGTGGGATGGAGAATAGGTAGACGGCTCGAGTTTTACGACCCATTCGTTCTCCCTTCTGTCGGTTGACTTGGGTGCAAATATCGAGCACCTCTCTTCGTCCTACTTACGCAATTCAGCTCTTGGAGGACGGGAGAACTGGGCGGGGAAAAGAAATTCTCAATAAGCAAGTTGGAGTTCCTGCCTCAGGGCGTTGACTTTCGAAACCCTCCGCTCTTAGTATCCGAGCCGTCTCGTCCTCCCTGGAAATTGCATTGGGTACGGCGGGGTAGCGTCATCCGTAAGGTTCCTCATCCCATAGCTACGCCCACTATCTGACAAGTTCCGACATCTGAATGATCGCGGTTGCTCCACCCGCCAAATTCCAAGAATGTGGTCATAAGGCAAAATAGCGGATTCGACGCCTGAGACAACGAAGCGCTCTCACTTGTCGATGGGAGAAGTATGTATGTAGCTCTATCGATTGACCGAATCATTGGGGCCATGATGGCTTGCCATCTTCGTTACCCTACCGTCCTTCCAACGGCAAATATCTGAGCATTGACTAAGTACGCCATACACAAGGCCCAGCTCGTCCATTGAGGTGACATGGGCGGCGAGCGCCGAGGCGTGTCACGGACCGCATGATTAAGCACGTCATGTGCATCGCTTCAAGGTTGTAATAAGCGCGGCACGAACAGGTCAAACTTAAAAGGCCAGAGAACACACCTTAATGTATACATTGACTTGGTCCTTGTAATATTTCACTGTCTTCGGGAAAGCACCCAACTTTCTTAAAGTATCTTCCTGTTTGGCCAAGAACGCCGAACTTGCAAGAGTCATGTGAATCCGGGGAGCGTAGGGCAGGAGTGACGCAATAAACAATAAGAGCACGCCCATGGATAGGGTACTGCGAGTTGCTTCTGAAGCCAGAGCTTCACTGGCTTTGTCTGCCCATGCCAATGCAATTCCTGAAAAGTTTGATGACGGATATTTCTCAGCAACTTGTTGGACACACTTCATCCAGAACATGAGGTGGGAAGCTATCAAAGTCAGAGTTACACCTTGAGAGGCACCAAATTTACCTCTGATGAGCTAATAGAGATATGAGCATGGTGGTCAGTTGAAAGGGCGAAGAACATATGTACCTCTATAAATTCTTCTGCTACGTGTACTCCGAGATATGTGGGTGGCTCTGCGCCATTCCGGCTGTTACTGCTGAGTAGGTTTATGCCTATGCTTCGCAAGAAGGTGCGAAGCAACTTCCGCTTATGTGTCATGGTCGGGGTCAACAAGCGTCTCATGAAGTTGTCTGTGCCAGCCAAGGGTCGTTCGAGCCATGTTTCCTGCATCTTTTCGATCAACTTGACACATCCATCAGAGTCACGAGGAAAGTCCTGATCATGAAGGATTATATTTAGGCCTGCTCCAGAATCAAAGCACGATTTACCTTCCTTGTAAGCACAACTGACAAGCACGACAGAAGCTGGTGACAATGATGAACCACCCTTGCGTCGTCTGCAACATTCATGGCCCATGCATCTTGATTGAATTGACATAAGAAATTGATAAAGAACAGAGATGCATGCTCGATCGCCTGTGTGAGTTCATTTGAGAGACGGGCGAATACGCAGTGGGCAAGAAAGTCTAAAAGCGCGGAATGCCCATGATCGTACTGGAGGATCAACATGCGAGACCCTTGGGCTTCTATATGACATAATTAATGGGGGTACCCCATACAATATGGAGCCACGCACCTGAAGAAACAACATCGCTCCAATGCGACATAGCGAGAGATTCATGTGCAACACCAAGGTCAAGGAAATGAATGCCAGAGCGGCTACGATCAAGGAGAAAGTCAAACAAAGAGGCGTGAAGAACCTTTACACCATGATCTTTCGAAATGCTGAGCACAGACGGCAGATCAGCTAATGCCAGGTGGATATCACCCCGGACGACGGTTCAGGATTCTTTCCAGGTTTGTGGGATCTGACAGATGGTATTCATCTGACCAACGCTCATATCCGTAAACTTCATGCCGAGATGCCAGCCAGATGATCCCAAGAATACGCTGCACAGTGTCGCGATCCTGAACACAGGAAAATATATGGCTGTACAATGAGTCCAATGTGTAGAAAGGCTTTTCGTTTTGACGCGGCAGTGTAAGGGAAAGGATAATGTTGAGTTGATCGTCAGGTCTGGCATTGTTCCAGGCAATAAACCGTATCACTGTATCGACGTAGACAAATTGGCCCGAAGAATTCGCAACCAAGGTGTCGATGACATCAGCGGATGGCCATGATGAAGAGAGGAAACCCCCAATGGGATGGCTCTCTCGTATTTTTCGGAATTTCTTTGTCAGAAAGTGGCGTATATCGTTGTCGACTTGTGTGTCCTCGTTAAGGTCAATGCGGTGGATGAAGGCGTTCTGAAAGAGAGGGTCCCTATGAATGACTTGCATGATGTGCGTCTCTGGCCGGCAGGCAATGAAAAAGCGGAAGGGGTGTTGAAGGTGAGGGACAGCAGCAGCGATGATGCGAAGGAGGTCCAGCTGGACGTTGCGGTCGTTGCACTCATCAAGGCCATCTATTGCAATGAGACGGGGTTGTGTGTAGCCTGAGAGCTGCTGTCGGGGCCCTTGGAAGTGCTTCACGAAAAGACGATCAAACTGGACCTCACGCGATAGGTCGAATATTTTGGGGTATGCCTCGATCTCATCAAGCACTGGGTTCTTGATCCATGGAAATACCTGGAGGTGCTGGTAAACCAACGTCGGGATGACCACATCGCCATTACTGCGCTGCGGGTTAGCGGCCGTTCGTGAGAGGAAAAAGCTTGAGGCAAGACGACCCTCCTGCTGGCATAGCTGGGCGATTGTCTGTTCGAGGGCAGACTTGCCAGCCCCAGCCGACCCATGGAGGACCATGATGGACGCTTCTTCGTCGTCGCCCTTGATCCAGTCCATAATATCCTGCGTGATCTTGACACGTGTATCCAGGTCGCATCGTGGCGGGTCGAAGCGCTCATTGGAGTCGACTTGAGCACCGATGCAGCAACGCTCCTCGAGGAGGTTCATTGAGTCTAAAAAGAATGTTGAAGAATGTGCTCAGGTGCAAGCGGACAGCTTACGGCGATCCGTCTCACTGGACTTGCGCTGTTGGATGTTGAAGACATTGCCTTGAACCATATTCCCGTTTGCGTGTTCAAACATCGCAATGGCTTGATCTGGCATAGCACTGTATTGCTGGAGGGTAAGAGCTTAGGAAGACGGGAGAATGTCATAGTCGGCATCGAAGTTGTGGAAGGACGTCAACGTCCAGCTGTGGGAATCGCTCAATCACCGTGCGTTCACCACGAGTCTGTCTTGCACTCGACACATAGAGGCAGCCCATCCGGCATTAATTCTGTGAGGTGACAGCCGTCAGGATCCAGGAATCATGACCTAACACTGATTCAAACGCTGGAAGCCGAGAGGCATTTAATATTATAAGATGAATCTGGTACTTCCCACCACGGGCGTCATGAAAAACAGATACAGGCCTTAAAGTACCAAGTGGCAGAGCGAGCATGCTTTGAACACGATGTATAAAAATATCGAGAGGGTGTATCTCTAGCGAACTGTGAATAGGATGTTAGGAACAAGATAATCGGGATGCAAATTCAGCTGCAAGGATAGGGAGGAGGGAAGAACGAGGGAAACAAGAGAAACTTGAAGACAAACCTTAAACTTTAAGCACAAGGTGCATGTGAAGATGAACGGCTCTGTCGACCTGGATAGAATGGGACCATTAATGCATGCTGCCAGCAAGAGAAATAGGGGCGATGGACGCGATCGAGCAGGAATATAGGGCGTATGATAGAGACGAATGAACGTACGAGCGACTTACATATTGCTGACCGTAATACCGCACTGCTGCAGACCTCCCTGTGCTCTTCGTCCACGGGAGGTATAGTGATACACCGAGGCTGGCAACATCTTCGCAGCAGACAAAGTGGTGCTATGAAAAGATACTCGCCCATTGTCGCCCATTGTTCTGGTCCGGCTGAACAAATGGGTCAATGACCGTCATGGGAAAGAAGAGATCTTTGATTAGCCCGAGTTCGAGGTTCGGAAAGGACAGCGTTAAGAGAGAGAAGATGGGCGAAGTGCACGGGGGGATGAAATCACAAGTATGTCATGGTTCCAAGATCACAAAAAGGATGCGAGGAACGCTGAAGATTAAGCGGGGGGACAAAGAAAGGGACTATAAAGCAGGAAGATCAAAAGAGAACATACTATGAATGTATAAATCAGGTCATTCTGCGACGATCGTCCTTCGACCTGTTTCCTTCCCATTTCTCCGTTGCGGCTTCTCCGAGGTGAATGAAGGCGAGGACGCAATCAGTGGCGTTATTTTGTCTAAAGAACCGTAGAAGGTTTGTTACATCGACAGTGAGGATGAGAAGATGACGACAGAAGGAATGTGGGACTACAGGGAGGGAGAACAAAAGGGACTCACGGTAACTTTCCCTACTAATGTGGCGATGGTCATTGCTGGCATCGTACACGATGGGTGGGACTATCAAGTATCTTGGCCACAAATTTCAGACACGAACCCCTTCTCTGACTGGTCGCTGACTCTTGGTTCCTTGTAGTGTTTATGGGGTGTCAATGTCTTCATGAGTCCTCCGCCGAGGCAACGAAAGCGGCGATGATGGCGCTCACGAAATTGAAAGAAAACCTTCGAATCATATAAATCAGATACTTGCGATCCCCCAACGATGTTTTTAGCTGCCAGTAACCAATTCATCGCCTTGGACCTTGCTGCCTAAGAAGCAAGGGAATGTCAGCTCGGTGATAATTTGAGGGTCTGGAGGATGAGCGAAGGCAATAACATAACAGGGATGGATGGGCAGAATGGTAGTAATGGGTACTGGTAAAGGAAAGGAAAATAGATGCGGCGACGAGGGGATAGAAACACGAGAGGATTTGGAGCGAAGGAGGCTCACCTTGAGCTTCATGCAACGCTGCCCCGCAGCGATGGTAGTAATTCCCAGCAGGAATGAAACTCGAGTCCTCAGCCTATATCCCCCTCCTGCTGCTTCTGTGACTCTGAGGTGAAAAAAAGGCAAACACGCGACCAGTGGAGTTGTTTTGCCTGAAAAGTAGAAGGTGAGCATGGTGTTTAAATCAGGGCTGAGGATGACCAAAGATGGCAAGAGCGGAAAGATCGGCGCAAGGGGAAGAGGAGACGAAGGACAGGAAGGTGTACGACGTCAACGAGAACACCATGAATAGAAAGGAGTGGAGAGGGAGAGGAAGAGAACAAAGGAGACTCACGACTGATCGTCTGACAAACACCTTCCTCATCCCTCCATCCTCGCTGCAGGCTCGCACCTCCGTGTGACACACTCTTCTTGACAATTATCAGCTGCGATCGTGGTTCGTCCTCGCAAAATCTCCTGATGCTTCGATGTTGGCGAAAGTTGCAGAGGTTGGCGCTGTTCGGAATCCAGCGCAAGGCGTACATCATGTACTTGATTGTTGTGAGCAAGGCAGCAAACAGCATCATAGATAGGGCGGGTCAGGCGTTGGAGGCGGAAGGTGGGACAGGTGGCGAGAGTGTGATGGGCTACGGGATGAGGTTAAGGGACCTTGCCGAGGAGAGTGTGAAGGGGTTGGCAAGCCGGTTGTCGTTGGATATAGCGGCAAAAAAAAGTTGGCAGCCCAGGGTCATGAAGGTATGGACGTTGTTGACAAGTGTAGAAAGAAGACGGAGGGATGCCGAGAGTGTGTATGCCCGGTATGCAGAGGCGGCCGCGGGACATGTCGTTGAGGTGAAGGTCGTACTTATTGTCCGTATCGTGTCCATGGGAGATGTGAGATGAGGAAGCGGGGCGCGTTGGGATAGAGGCGGATGCAGATGGTTGGACGTGAAGAGAACTCAAGCTCAAGTGGGGGCGGTACGTGGAAGGGAGGGGGGAGGATAATTTGTAGTCCAGGTTCACCGATTTCGCGATGAGTCACGTCGACGAGAGAGGGATACATTAGTTGTCTCGCGGTCCTGGATGCAAGTAGGGGCACTGCGTCTTCTAGGATAGGGTTGCTTTGATAGTGTACGGAGCCCGTGAAGCGGTGAGTTATAACTTGGAGTGAGGAAGGAAGACGGAAAGACGGCGAGGGAGAGTGTGTGTCTGGATGCAAAGGTGGCCGCGGGAGGCGTCGTTGATGTTGATGTTGATGTCGTCGAGGTGAAGGCGATGTTGTAAGTATCGTGTCTATGGAGGATGTAGGATGACGCGATGACGGCCTTGAGGTGCTGGTGAGGGGCCGAACCAGAAACGGCGTGGGAGAGAAAGGCGGATATCCGGACCGGGAAGAGTCCGATTTCTCTTCGCTTCCGATTGGACAGAGGTCCGGCTCTCTTTTCCTTCAACGTCGACGATGCAGCTCAACTCCCGTGTTCAAAGCGCCTCATCCCTGGATCTAGCACTGCAGCACCCTTATGTATCGCATACCCCTTCTTCTCCCTGCCTGTCTGTCCAGGCCAGCCAGGGCTAAAAATGTCAGAGTGGTATCCCGCCGAGTTCCCGAAGCCCTCGTCCCGTAATTCTCGCAACCTCACCCTCTCCTTGTCCGTCCCGTCCACGGCCATAGCTTGCCTACGCCACCTTCCCTTGCACCGGCAGACTAGCGTGCATTCAGCCGCCTCCAACCTGCGTTCTTCTCCCTCCTTTCCTGAAAAACATCCCCGTCCGCAGAGTCCTGCGCTACTCGGAGAGCGAGCTCGCCTCTCGCTCTTCTTCAAAGTCCCGAAGCATGTCAAGCCTATGATTTCCCTTCTTGCAACTTGCCACTTCACTCTAGCGCGACCAAAAAGGCTTACGCCCGCTGCAGTCCCAGAAATCCGTCTCTCAACACAGCATGGGGGGGCAGGGGATAATCTGATCGAAGAATCGCAGAGCTTCAGTTGTCAAGCCGTGAGCTCAGAATCCAACATCTTTGTGGATTTGAGCCCCGGTTTAAGCCATCCTAGAGCCACCTCGTGTAACTGCCACCTTCTTCGCCAGCGGCCCGCCTCCTACTACCTGGCTCTCACTGAATAAACTCTCAATTAAAATGTCTCCGCTGTCCGGCTCTGACATTGTTTGCAAATGCGGCGGCGCGTTTATCTCTCCTTTCCTTCTCTCTGGCTCTCATGCGGTGGCGAACATCGCTTCCTGGCGTTGAAGCTCTATTGATCGCCCTTCCCTTATTGCTGGTTCGCTTTCTATCTGCACATATTACAGCTTCTTCGTCTTCTCTGTTCTGGAAACCGCTCCGCCTCCTCGGAACTGATATCCAACCCCAACTCCCACGGACTACATGGGCGCTCTGGCGGGTTATCCACTTGACCATCCACCACCACGAAGTACGTCGTTCCTCTTCTCACCTCCAAAAACCCAGGCTCTCACTGGACGAAGTTCCGGTGCTCCTGGTAAATCCCAAGTCCATAAAATAAAGGCATAATGCATAAAGACCAGAGACACCACCGAATAACGTGCTGGCAAAACGTCATCTATCTTCCAATTCTTGCATCCACCCCGTAACACGCTTCTAACACATATTTTTATACAAAACCCCCCTTGGTTCCCGCCACCTTCGATTCTGAGAGCAGTCTGCGAGCTGGTGGGCCTTGCATCTCCAGGATTAACGCTTGAGGGCATTTGAGTCGAGCCAACGTCCGGGCACCGGCGGACCGACCATGCTATATGTCCCGAAAAGCGTTTTTTCTCTCCTCTAAACCCCGACCTCACGCTATGCGTCGCAAGCTAGTAAGCTTGGTGCCCCTCAGGGTCCAGCCCCCGAGAGCGACATTCGCTCCCAGACATTTCCACCACTCCTCCCATTACAGCATTGTGGCCCGACATACCTTCCCACCCACTTATCTCGCACTCTGTCAGTGGACGCACTCCCCTGCCTAAAAACCTTGACACTCATGTGCCCAGGCACCACATCACCTGTTGACTCGACCCCTGAGGAGCAAACCTCAGTCATGCTGAGCCTACCTGCACCTATATTGTTTGTATTCCCACCTACCACCTGGATGTCGTGTCTGAGATAGACGTCCTAGAAGAGGGAAAGCTCGTCGAGGAGCCGTATCCGGGTCTGAGAAGAGGGTGGCGACGAGGGAAATCTCTTGTCGGCGTATTCTGGGGACCTCAGTGTTCAGAAATGGACCGTACTGGGGTGCACCTCACCTCCAAATCCCGCTATCCGACCTGCGGCTCGACTATACGCCCATCAAGGATATTTTTTGACCGTCCGAAGTGAAGTCGGAGACCCAAATTCTATCGAAGGGCTCAAAATGCATTTTCGATCCCCTCGTTTCCTCTGCACGACCGTTGTCTCATTTCATTTCAGGATGAACTTTATTCGACAATTCTCAAAGAATTTAATGCCAAGCTTACAATCACCCCAAGGAATCACCCCCAGCCACCTCTGACCTGTGAAAATCGTACTGCATGACACACCTTGCCAGAGAATGAACACTTTTGCCAGTATTCTCTTCACCGCAGATCCCTCACTGAGTGGTACATCGGCAACAGGCAGCGTTGGAACAGTCTGTTGGCAGTCGACCGAATTCGTAAGTTAGTCTAACGGCAGGGCCCGTCTCCAGTCGTTGATGACACCGTCGTTCTCCTTCAGGATAGCGCCAGCGCCGCCATCTCGAGCCGTCGGGCAATGTACGAAGAACAAACCAAATTCTCTGCTTTTCGTGTATGTAAGCATACTAACTTTAGATTTATGTCTACAAAGAAAAAGGGAGCCCAACACTAGTCACTATTATCGCGTGCGATCGATATCTCTGAACCGAGTGAATGACGGAAGAAAAACGGAACTTTACAAGAATGAATGAAAAAGATGGGAATAGGGGAGAGGCGATGACAGCGGTGACAGTGACAGTAACAGTGATAATGAGAAGAAACTTGAAGGAGTGCTTAAGAAGGAAAGAGTGGCGCGACAAGCAAACAGAAAAACGGCGGTGTTGGTCACGGGGCGGCTAGAACCATATGACGGGTCTGAAAAGGTATCGGGGAGCCAGGGGGCACGGGAAATGTAATGACGAGAGTCGAAACAAGGGATTTCCAGGCTCATCATCGGCACCCTTCAGCGTCATGCCTGCGTCCAAGTGCCGGAGCCGACAAAGTTCTGTCCCTCATCCGGTCCACCGTCGATTTTGCCCTTGATGACGATCCCTTTCCCGGTCCTGATGAAGATCCTCCCATCGCCGATGTTGCCGCGGAACGTGTCAAAGCCGCCTTCGAATGTGTTGTAGTGGACAGTGAGTCCTCTGCCCACAGACGAGAACCTGGGGAGGGAGACATCGGAGTCTACGGTGAAGAAGATCGGGACGGTGCCCTCGTCGTGGTCCTCGGGGTTGTTCCACATCGCTCCCTTTATGGTGAACTTGCTGTAGATGCGGTGTTCCCCAGCTTCGATGGTTGCAGGGCAGGTATGAGACATGATGGCTGTGCAAACAGATGTCAAGGAACGAACGACAGGAAAAAGTACCTGTGTGGTCGACATGGAGGATTTCATCAAGTCGAAAATGTCACGCTTTGGAGTCATATTCACCGTTGGAATCGAGAGGCAGAATTGGCAGAACACTCACGTTGAAAGAGCCCGAAAGTCAGGATGAGGAAGAGGCGCCATTTCACGCTTCTTATATACTCAACAAATACGCCATATTTGCTATATATAAAAGTGGCAGCATATTATTGGGTAGCTGCTATTCTTGCTTCATCCTGCCGCACTCTCACCCGTTATTTTGCTCACATGCACACATCAACGTTTATCTTCCTCACTTCGCACCGGATCATACCAAATGAAACTCCACATCGGAGTAATCAATCGCACCTGGGTATCCTCTTGCTCACAAGAATGTACGAGCTGTATCCTCAAGCTCGATGTTCACGGAAAGCACGAAGGCACAAGAAGGTTCGTTCCATTTACGTCCATCGCCAAGCTTGAGCGAAACCATGCAGGCACCGCGACGGACGCCCGAGGGCGGCTGAAGGACGGGTTCAAAAGGGGCGGGCATCAGCCGGGTATTGAGGGGGAATCGGGATGGGTCTTGGGACAGTGTACATCAACTACTTGTATAAATCAGAATATCTATATATAAATGTGAAGTGGGAAAAGAATCTATCGAACGCGACTTGCACTGGAAGGCGGTGGAACAAGCGCTGGGTCACGTGGGATGGGCGCTAGCGGTTTTCGGATGACGGAGAGCCACGACGTCGAGCGACGAGGGGATGAGGTCGATGAAGATTAATTAAGGCGAGTTTGAATGAATACGGGGAGCAATGTGGACCCGGTACGAGCTTCCAGAGATGAAGAATGCCTACTTCTTCCCCACAATGGTTCCTTATGGGCCGCGGTCCGCTGCAGTGGGAGAATATCCACGTAGCGGCATTCTCAAGAACAATTCTAAGTTTGTATGACAACGAGTGCGACCCCTCATGACACTGATGGCCCGAATGCTTCAGCACTTATCGCGTGCAAGCTCTCAAGGAAGTCAAAACCTACCGACGGAAATGACCGAAGAACCTGAAAAAAGGATAAGGGTCTTCATCCTCGAGTTCGGGGTAGGGACTCCTTAGGCTCTAGAGAAATTGTATAACGACGGTACTCAATCCAGCTGGCTGGGAGACGCAGCTGCTGTGGACATTCAAAATTTTGATGTTTGCCACGCGTCTCATGCACCCGGAACAAAAGTGGCCATGCTCAACCTACGGTTTCATTAACAATTTCAATATTTGGAGGTAGGGTTACAACTTTCGAGTTAAGGTAGATGTTGGGCACATGATCATCGAAGCCTTGATATCGAACATCCATTTGCAAGCGGCGTATCCCTTTCAGAATTCCTGTTATTTTTCTTCGATTACATTGGGCCAATGAGGACTACGGCATAGGGCAATGAGAACACGGGACAGCTGGCAACGCTCGTTGCCGATGTACTTTCCCCCCTGTCTGGTGGGAGCCAATTGCGGAGGGTACCGCACTTCAGGCCTCATGCTTCGAGTTCAGATGCATAGTTCGCCTTCTAGAACCAAAGTAGCTTTCATTACCATTCACGACGTACTCAACACCATGCGCCCGCATGGACACTTAAACCTTTCTAAGGATAACCACGGACATCAGCTCAGCGATCCGGCACTATCAGACTCAATAGTGACTCGTCAACGAGAGCGACTTTGAAGATTCGAGGACTCGGGTCGGGCTGTGCTACAACTTCAAGGCATGTCAATGCGGGATAAGAAGATAAAACTCGACAAAATGACCTCCTTTGCATAGCATTCTCTCGATAGTATCCAGCCCTGAGGAATACTTTCTTGGACAGCAACGGAAGCCAGGATCCAGGCAGTCCTCAGGGACGTCGGTGGGAACGAGGCAAATTACACGGACTATCGCATGGCTACTGAACGCGCTCAGATTAATCTGTCAAGTAGAAGCTTGGTGCTGTTGGGTTGGCAGGTAACAGCGCACGAAGATGAGAGCTTCAGGTAATCTCGGAATGACCAGGTCAGTGCCGCCAAAATATTCTACCCATTGGGATCAGTATGGTGTTATAGGAACATACCACACTAAACGTCGTTGAGGAGAGTCCTTCGCATCACCTCAGCTGTCCTGAAGAGCCACGTCCTGGGACCCAGGTAGCCATCATGGGGGGTTTCTTACTACAGTGGCGAACATAAACAACCGTCTCGATCGCAGAGGGATATCGATAGTTTCAACCACTTTCAGCGACGTAGCGAAGGAAGCTTCGCTTTCCGACTGGATATGCTCGCTTGGCGGCCGTCCTGCAGCGCGCAAACGCCATCGGATGGGCTTTCTTGATGACGTGGGTGCTGGAGACGTTCAGCGTGTGTCTGAAGGTCAACAGCCCTTGAGTAGGTCGTGACAAACTGCATAGAGAGAGACAGAACGTTAGAACGGGCTGGCAGCGCGAGAAATGAGACGATGGACGCGATCGAGTAAGGGTAGGAAGCATATAATAAAGACGAAACTACGAACCTGTCCTTACGTTCTGTTACCCGTAATGCTGCCCCACAGCAGCCCCAGCGTCGTGCAAGACGTTCATAGGTCGATTTTGGCTACTCAAAGGCTCGATCTTTGTACGATCTTGGTCCATGGGAGGCCTGCAGGTCAATCGAGCGCGATATCTTCCTAGATGACGAGAGAGGTAATATTCACTGCCGCTAGCACGTTGCTCTGCTCCTTTGAGAAGGGTGTGTCGATGCCCAAGAACTGGAGAAATCAAGGAAAGTTAAGCTCAAGTTCGAATCCGGGGAAAGGAAATACTAAAGGAGAGTGTCCTGGATGTAGAGGGTGTCGTTGATGTAGATGTTGCCATGTTGGTGCGAAGGTGGTACCACTGGTATCGCACGCGGCCGTCTACGGGAGATGTAAGATGTGCGACGACGGCTGAGTCTAGAGTCCGGGACGTACGCTGAATGTCGATAATGTGCGAGCACGGGATGCTTGAGAGGCGGATGGGCCGCTTGAAGGAGAGGCCCCGGAGGCGGCAATTGATTGCTGTTGTTGTGTCCCGACGCCAAAGCCCTCTCGGTGCCAAAGTCTCCACGTTTGCCTCACCGTATTGAACGCGACTTTGCTTCACCCTCCTTCGCCAATCGCGCCGACCGATATCTTACACCCTTTGAGGTCGGGAGTCCATTCGACTGCTTTCACGAAAACTACGTTCTAAGTAATCCCCCTACAGGACCACCCTACTAAAATGTCGTAGTTCACGTCACCCTCGCCGCCTCCTCTCCGCCACCCCGTTCCGACACACCCAGCCTATATCCCGGAGCCACCCTCGACGCCAGCGTCTCCTCAAGGGTATCAACGCTTCAAATCCTCGCCAGCGCCACCCGGGCCGCTCCAGCAGCAACAACAAGCTGTGGGGCTGGGGCCAGGTCAGGCGCCGCAGGGCCAGCACCAGCAACAACAATATGGACACGCAGGCTTCGGTGGACCGCAGGACAGACAGTACGTCCAGCACCTCTGGTGTAAGTACACTGCAAAGGAACCATATATGTCGGCTTACTTAATTTAATTCAAGTGCCTACAAATGTCATCAAAAGTACATAACGATAGCATTGTCCCTCTTGCGGATGTGTGAGGAATTTGGGCAAGTAATATAGGCTATAGCATGAGCACCCATGAAGGGTTTCTTACAGGCTCAGGCAAACGAACCAGAGTGGTGGTCTGGAAACGTGACCTGTCGATATAGACAAACCCGATCCGTCAATCGTTTCCGATTGGACAGAGGTCCGCCCCTCTTGTTCTTCAACGTCGACGACAGCGCCCTTGAAGTTGACGTTGACCCCCCTTCTAGAGTCTCTCCTGCCAATTTTTTCTTTATACACGTCCGTTCCGGTCGTCTCTTTTTCTTCAACGTCAACGCTGGACTCTCGCATTCAAAGCGTCTCCTGCCCCCCCCCAGGATTTCCCCTTTCGACTATCCTTCTCCTCACTGCCCAGTCCGTCCGGCCAGGACTAGCACTGAAAAAATGAAGGTGGTGGTCCGCCGACGAGTTTCCGAAGCCCAATTGCTATATCCTCGACCCGGATTTTGCAACCTCATCCTACTTCCGTCACGCGCAGGTACACCTACGTGGATTGGGTCGCCTCCAACCTCCCCAACCCGCGCAGATCTCTAGACTTCCACGTTCATCGTCGTGCGATAGAGCTCTCTCGCTCTCCTCGAAGATTTTAAGCATGTCAAACGCGCCCCGTTCAGCCTCTGGATTTTCCCTTCTTTCCATCTAGCACATTGGTGTGGTGCCGCGACTGAGCGCATACATCCCTGGTCTGCAGGAAAATCATCTCTTGACGAAGCCTGGATCAGGGGATAAATCGGTCGAGGAACGAAGGACCGGAGGCGTTCGCCTGTCAAGCCGTGACCTCAAACTTACCCGAGACCTCCTGGCTCCGAGCTTCTCTCGATAATTGGCTTCCGGCGTTCAAGCATTCAGGCTGCGTAGATCGCACTCTCCTCATTCCTGAGACCGCTCTGCCTCCTCGGAATTGAACAGACTACATGAACGCTCTTGCAGCCTTTCCATGTTCCAATCCAGCCAGCTGCTCGACTCTCCGCTCATAAAGGAGATTTAACGGTCATGCGACGTCGGGTCGCAGGCCCACGTTCTCTTCAATAACTCAAAACGCATCTTCGATCTCCTCTTTTTCTCCACGCGACCGTTGTCTGAACTCATCTCAGGCTCAACGTTCTTCGATAATCCTCAGAGGCCAACAATACACCCCTAAGGAATCTTTCTCGGTCACCTCTCTAGTTGGTTGTTATTTATCGTAAAATATGTCGCATACAAGATTCACTCTATCACCCTACTCTACGGCGGTGGACACCTCAGCGAGTAAACCCAATGCCTCAGTCGAGCGAGCTTTCAACCTGAGTGTGAACGGCTTGGGGAATCTAAAAACCATCCGAATGAGAAATCGTCCAGTTCTATCATAGTTCCACACGTACATGATAGTTCCCGAGGTGAACTCGAATTCAGGGATCTTTTCCTTACCGTTCGCATCTAGCCCCGGCAGAATCTTGCACGTCGCAAGAGTTGTGGAAACAATAGCAAAAAGAGTTCCTTCGGCGAAGTGCATTCCGGGGCAGACACGGCGGCCGAATCCAAAAACGAGATCCTTGACTTTATCCATCTCGGAGTCAAGGTTATTGAAGCGTTCTGGATAGAATTCCATAGGGTTGGGGTAAGCCTCTGGGTCGTGAAGCATATGCCTTGAGGAACGAGTTGTCATGTAGGTTTTGGGACTCTGAATACAATGCTATGACACCCACCAGATGTTCGGCATTATCATAGAGCCTTTCGGAATAAGGAGCCCGTTGTAGATGTCGTCCTGACTTGCGCAATGAGGAAGGCCTAGAAAGTTTAAATAGTGAATGTGAAATGGCAAAATTGTCACTGAAAGCGGCGTACATAGAGGAATCGCAGGACTCGAGCGGAGAACTTCGGTGATAATACTTCTGATATACGGCAAATTGGGACGGTCATTGATGGTCGGTAATCTGTCTTTCCCGACGACGGCCTCGATCTCAGCATGTGCCTTCTCTTGAATGCTAGGGTTGAGGATCATCGCTAAATAGAACGTCAAAGCAGAAGACATGTTCTATGAAGGACGGCGTCAGTCCCCATGATAGGCGAGAAGCAGAGAACTTGAGGATCACAGTGTCGAGTCCACCCCCCAGAACGCTGGATGCGGCCCAAATCAATTTCGTTTCCTCGTCCTCTGACAATTGGTGAGTCGGGTTCTGAAGTATTGTGGCGCACAGGTTCGGCAATAGTGTCTGGCCAGTTTCCTGACCGAGGAGTCAGTGGGTCCCGCGTAACCAGGGGTAGTGATCGGATAGCGAACCAGGTTTTTCTTGCACCAGTTGTAGGGCCTATAGGTAGAGTCGTAGAAAAGCTTCCTCCACCGTTCTGCGGTGGCTAGAAAGCCTGAACCAGGTACCCATCGTGGTAAATATTTCACTAGCGCTCAACTTCAGTACGCGCGCGTCAGAGCAGCAGTGGAGCGGACGTACAAATGGGGATAAAGTCTACCAGGAAATTGCCTGGCGTTGTCGAGTAGCTGAAGTTATCCATCGCCTCCAATGGTGTCGTCAAAATAGGATCGTTTTCGGATTGAAGATAATATCCATATGTGACTCGAAAGATGATTATGCCAATCCTCCTAGAGAGACGACGTGAGACAAGCGAAATGAAGGTGCAGTTAGTTAGACGTGCAATTTGACTTGAGAGACGAGCGATTCCGGATTCTCGAGAACGTTCCGGACAAGGATTCGGGCTTCCTTTCTCCTGAAGTCCGTGATATCGTGGGGTATTGTTCTGCGCGAAGTCGTGAGAGATGAGTCGACGCTGTCGTCTCCAATTGTCATTGTACGATTGCATCGCGAACGGCGCGCTATATCCGACGCTGAAATAATGCGGCTTGTCAAGGGTAAGAGGACAACCAAGATAGAAGGCTCACAGTTCTCCCGCCATAACCTGCCAGAAAGTCGTACGGTGAGCACCTCAAGTACGCAGCCATGATGGCTACTCACGAAATGCGGCCGGTCAGAGTAAATTGTTGCACGTTTTACGAGCAGGTCTCTGGCAATCTTCTCTGAATTTATTATGACGATGGGCTTGCCGACGATGTCGATGTGCATAATGTCCCCTGTTCAAGGGATTTTTGAGTGGACTGGCCGTTATCGTACAGGAAGTACTCACCATACTTCTTTCCCCACTCAGAAAATGCTCTCCAAGGGGTCTCAGTAGGAACTTGATGAGCGTTTCCGATGACGGGGAGGCGCTTCGGTCCCGGAGGCAACTTCATTCTGCGACCCGAAGAAATGACATACCACAGGAGACCACCAAAGACGCCGGCTGCGAGCAAGGGAATGTATGAATGGCTGGAAGACATTTTCTTCTGCCTGAGAGGCCTCAAAATGTCCAGTAGGCGGCCTCACTTAAATATCAGGCAAAGCACGACTTCCAGACACATTTTCTCCATGTCGTCGCGCGTACTTGGCTGTGAGGGTCAGCAGACCGCCCATGGGCTCAGTTCGCCCACTGTGGGCTGCTTTACACGGGACTGCTGCTTCTATCTACGCAGCCCACCGCCACGCATGTCAATCGATCTCTGCACGTTGTCCCAAATTTGGAATATTATCTCTGGAAGAGCGGCTCTTATGCCTATCAGTTAAAGAAAACGTCTCCCGAGTGCCTTGGTTGTCGGAGGCTGGGATATGAAAGGATAGAACCTCCCAACGATCGAGCGGAAACAGCAAAGTCAGCCGGACCCACTCCATCTTACGAAAGTTGGCATTCCGGACATGCTGTTTGTGCGCCTACACGTTTCCTTATTTGGTCTATCCTGGCTCTATCTCGATATGAACGTAAGGTACAAAATTCTAGACCCTCACGAAGTTGACAATATGTGGATGGACCCACTATAGCCTGGTGTGCCTTAAACATTTTTGAGGGTCTGTGCGAAGTCCCTTGGGCTTGTTTATTCTCCGGGAATCCTAGACCCCACTGTCCGGGACATCTGACCGTTAGAATGTTGTAACTCTCTGTGGGCGCCAACATGGGACTTACGCAAAATGTGGGAGATTAATATCACGGTATTGAGTGCTGTCGAACATCGGCGCAATACATGAAATAATTCCTAATCTGCAGGTTGTCTGCGGGTGATGTTTATTTAACGTCTACTTAAACATTGGAACGACAGGATTCGGGCGAAATTAGTGGCCGGGTATGAGGCAAACGCACTTGGTTAAGCAAAAGTTGAAACATCGTCATGAGGACCATATGCCGGTGACTTCTGCCCCATTCCATCCGTGCGTTGCTCGACGGTCTTCGTGACTTCGATCCCTCCAATGGTGTTACTCCGACCTCGTCCTAATCTACCGTTAGAGTGCGAATTCGATGTGAAAGAGAGTGGAATTATGGTGTCGTTATTCTTCGAATTGATGCCGTTTGAAATGATTGAGGTCTTTTCCCTATAAAGGCCGAACTTGGTGCGTCTAAAAACGCGGCACGCCATGATATTCATGAGCATGACGTTCGGGACAACGAACATCGTTCGATACACAACCGGTACTGTCTTGAGGAAAAATACGACAACCGTTAAGAGGTTGGTGGAAACCGTTGTTCTGTCGAGGCGTCAGAGACCACGGATAAAGTAGTGTCAAAAATAAACAAACTTACAAGTAGTAGACCTGCCCATCTTGCAACAGCCCTTTCGAGAATGCCGGTAAATAATGACCGCGGAAAAATGCCTTGATTTTGCCAATCTTCGGGCGGGAAATGGCCGAATTCATCATCAACTTCCAAGAAATGGCAAGGAACACGAAGGTGTCGTTCACAAGAGGAATTATAGAGCCAGCGGAGACGTACGACTCCATGCTGACGTTAATGCAGTACCTCGTCGGTCCTATTTTTGCACCGAGAACACCTTGGGTAGCTGTGAGTACGCCTGCGACAACAGAGAGCGACATGAAGATAAAGAACACAATGACCCCTTTGTTGCGGTCAAATATTGCGAAGATGCGGATGAGAAAGAGGAGCGAAGTGGAAGACACGGAGAGGGCGAATAACCAATCCACGACTTTATTAAATAGACGACAGGAGATGTCCACGGGCGCCGCTGTTCAAAGCGAGTGAGTTTGAGATTAGCGGATAAAATGAAAGACGCACTTTCATAAATAGTGCTTGAGAGAACAAAAGCGAGTGTCGCCAATCTGTGCAAAATGAAACGTCAACGATCAAGTATTAAAATACAGAAAAAAGCGCAGACCTTGATATGAGGTATATGACAGTGGGAAGCCTGAGAGGGTGCTTGAAAAAAAGTTTGTAGTCCTCTTGGAGATTGTTCAAGATGTCCCACACAAGGACCTGCATTTTCAATCGACGAGTCAGCAATATGGATTCTGTTGGAATGCAGGGATAACCGAGAAGAGGACCTACACCCAACGAGCCGACAAAGATGCAGACAGAGATAGTGACTTGAAAGGCCAACTCTGCAGGTAGAAACGCCACGGGTGTGAATGGGTTGGGCAAATCTGGGGCGCTGGTGTTGTTCGACATTTTTTTTCTCGCCGACTTCGGAATTCCGACGGGCTATTTATGTAGAAAACAGCTTTCGTTCGCCGCACACGCCGGGAATAATTCGCTACCCGGCCCTGAATGTGGGGGGAACACTCTATGAGTCCAATTGTGCGGCATTGGATGTTGGATTTGTGGGTCTCCCGTGGAAAAATGTCGTGTGGACGCACAGTACCCATGAGGACCTTTCACGCCTCCTTGGCGGAACGGGAGGAACGAAATGTACAAAATGTTTGCCAGATTGTAAAAATGCGCACAACCCGTCTCGCAACGATCTGGAGTATTAGAATCCCCGATGAGCCGTTGTCGCCCACAGCGGAATCAATCCTTTTGAGGGCTGAGCAGCCCACAGAGAATTGTCAGCGACAGGATTTTTTTTTTTTGGGGGGGGGATCAGAAGGTCGTATCAGAATCAAACCTTTGAAACGGTCTGAATAGGATTGCGCGGCATCTCGCCCAGCTCCTCGTCGCCCACTGGGATGATAACGTTGACCGTATTCGTCTCTTTCCGGATCGCGAGCAGCTTCATCGACTTCGTACCGTCTGCCTGACGAGAACCGTAGGGATCCTTGACGTCACGTTCTTCGGGCCTCGCATTCCCTCCTGACTGCGACTGAACTGAAAGCTGCATCGCCATTGTGCGCCGAGTACTTCGAGGAAGCGTGTCGTAGTTGAGTGGCTCGTGGATCAGTCCGAGTTCTGTGTTTCTGAAAACGCAACATGTGTCGACGTTGGCGAGCATGGTGTGCACCGGGACGAGGTGGGTGATGAGGATGAGTCCTGGGCCACCTAGTGGGAAGCAGAAAGCGCCGATGACAATGCCAATTTTGACGAGAGGTACCCTGAAGAACGACAGAGGTTGGTTAGATGAACATCGAGGAAATGGGCGCGATGGAGCTCACATAATGCAACTGACTTTCGTGTGGCATCGACGCCCCGAAAACCGCTACTCGCAATTCTCTCTGTATCGAAGTCTCCTCCATGCTGTACAGCCGATAAATTCGACACGACGTCGCCGCGAAACGAGCGTGTCGTAGACGAAAAAGAAAGCTATGTCGAGATGAGGTAATGCGTCCTGGCCTGCTCAACGCAGTACCCCGCCCTATGTGAACGGCGGTCATCGTGGCTGGGGATGCCATCCCGACTGTCGCACACCAGAACAGTCCGAAAAATATTACGATATAAAGTTTGGCGGAACACCGCCCAGGCGCGAATGTAGAAGAAGAGCATGGTGAGACATAGGAAGATCGTTAGAAATGAGTTGATTTGGATTTGATAGCACGCTTCATTTTTCGTCAGTGCGATACGGGGATGGCTGCGGAGTTCAGAACGGTAAGACACCTTTTTTGACTCATAAATTTGGTCTTACAGAGAAGGAGGGTTCTTCCGAGCGCATAGACGAGCAATGCCAGCCGATTTCAAGTTGGTGATGGGCCGAAGAGTCTATCGGATCGAATTTCAGAGAGACGACGCGTCGTGGGGACGGGGAGGACGCAGGGCAAAGGGGTGGAGAGATGAAAGCGGGTCACCGACAAAAGATCAGGGAGTCGTTGAAACAGGATAGCAATAAGAACCTATAAGAGGTGAAAAAATAATATCTTGAGATTGGATGGAGCTCCGATGTCGAGAGAACAGAGCGGCAAGCAAGTTACAAGGGCAATGACTGATCGCGGTTGCTGAGCGAGAGTCATCCGAGAGACTCAGGACATCGGTGATTGCAGTTGTTATGTCTAGACAGCAATGGCGTCAAGCACTCGCCAAGTTTCTCCACGTGTACTTGCACCGACACCAAATCGACACTGCACGCATTGAACGCGGCCACTCACGTACTCTCCTAATCCGTTCTCCTCTCATCGCGTAAAGCGACTCCTTACACCTTTTGGGGTTGTAACTCCACGCGACCGCTTGCACAACAACATCTTTACACACGTTTCAGGACAATCCTCCAACTGCAAGATCCCACAAATCAAAATGTCCCAATTCACATCTCCCTCGCCGCCTCCTCTCCGCCACCCTGTACCAACACACCCAGCCTACATCCCGGAGCCACCGTCGACGCCAGCCTCTCCTCAAGGTTACCAACGTTTTACGTCTTCACCTGCACCTCCCGGTCCACTGCAACAACAACAAGCCATCGGACTTGGGCCAGGTGTAGGAGGTCTACAGGGACAGCAGCAGCAGCAGCAATACGGACCCGCAGGATTCGGTGGACCGCAAGGCAGGCAGTTCGCACAGCACCCACAGGGTGGAGGCGGAGCGAACCACCTGCAGGCATACCCGACGCACGTCCCGGCGTACGGTGTGCCGTCGCCGTTTGCTCACTCGCAAGCCCAGCAGCAGCAGCAGCAGCAGCAGGGCGTGCCACCGCCGTACCTGCATGGGCAGATGCAGGGCTCGATGCACCCGCAAGACCGTCATGGCCAGCACGGAGGACCGGGTTTCGAACCTCCCAACTTCGCCGCGTGGGGCCTCGATGGGACGACGGCGCAGCTGGGGATGCAGCTGGGGAGTAGCGCGGTTGCGGCAGGGCAGGATTACATGCAACGAAATGTATGTCATTTCTTTATTTTGGTTTCCCCCCCTCCCTCTGCCACCTTCCTCTTTCCGTATCGCGAACTCGCGTTGACCCCTCCGATTCCTTCTAGTTTGGAACCATCCTCCCCTCGACGTACATCAAGCACCATTTCAATGTCTCCAACTCCTACGTGATCACTAAACTGCGCCTGGTCCTCTTCCCGTGGCGACAGAAGTCTTGGGCTCGCAGGTCGCGTATTAGTTCTGGACCGGCAGGAGGGCAGGGTGGGCAAGGTCAGAACCAGGCCGTGCAGGAGTGGATGGCGCCGAGGGAGGACGTGAATTGTCCAGACCTATATATCCCTGGTGAGTTTCGGTATTCTCGAAGTCCCTTTCTCCGTTGTATTTCATTCTGTCATTCTTTCTTTTTTTCTGCTTTCAAAATTTCTCCTCTAGATTTCTCTGTTTATTCTTTCTTCAGCGAGTCGTTTTTGCAATTCTCTCGCTTGCATGAAGATGGCGACACTGACCTTTTTCACGTCCTCCAGTGATGGCCATCGTAACCTACGTCCTCCTCACCGCTCTACACGCCGGTGTCCACTCTACATTTGATCCTAGGGTACGTATCCCATATCCGGACGTCCTACAAATCTAACGAAACTCTCGCAGATCCTCGGTGACTCCGCCTCCCGCGCAACAACCGTAGTCCTCCTCGACTTTGCGTTTGTCAAGCTTGGGTGTTACATCCTCAACATCACCGGCTCGTCACAGGTCGTAGACCTTGTCGCGTATGGCGGGTATAAGTTTGTTGGGTGAGTTGATTTTGTGCTCTTTTTTTCTTTTTCCTTTGTGGCGGGTTTTGGTCCTCGGTTGGGCACCTTTAGGGCTACCGTCCTGGTTTTCTTCTTCCTGCTTTGAGGGCTATCTCAGCGGGTTTAATCTCTGGACATAGGCGTCATAATTTGCTCGTCTGTGCTATAGCCTTTTCCCCCGCTATTCAGCCATTTTTTGCGCATATATCCACCTTTTGGAATCTCTGCGAACCCAGCTGACGTTTACATGCACAGAGTCATATTGGCCGTCGTCGCCAGTTTCTTTGGCGTGTCCGGCGCCCTCTGGTGGTTCGTGTTCGTATATGCGTTCCTAGCAAACGCCTTCTTCCTGGTATGTACCTCATTTTTCTCCAGCTCCTTTTCTCGATTCACCATTGACGTCGACCCTCCATAGCTTCGCTCTCTCCGCACGCTCATCCTCCCGGACGCGTCGACCGCCCCACCGACACACGCCACGTCGACGGTGACGCATGCACAACGTCGGCGCCGGATTGTCTTCTTGTTGTTGGAGGCGGTGCTACAAGCCGGGTATATGGGATGGTTGGTTAGGGTTTGAGGTGGTCCGTTTTGCGGAAACCTGTGTTGTCGTTCCTTCGAATCCATTTTCGCTATACCTGTTTCATTCGATGGCCGCCCGAAACGAACCTGCGGTGTCAAGAAAGGGAAATCAGAAGCAGGGACGTCGACTGATCAAGAAGTGCACCATCACGTCCAGCTTCGGTGAGCGCTGATAATTTTTGTGCATAGTCTCGTCCACTCGGGAGAGCATGGCTCTCGATTCGTCTTTGTTTGAGCATTATAATCATCGAAGCAATAGATCTTCTGCCGCGGCATTTATCTCTCAATCACACTTCCGGAGTGTCCATCGATGTCGGTCGAAACAACTTATACAGGGTGAGTGCTACATGGACTTCTTTCGCCGCCTCAAGATATTGGTGGTGCTGGCCTTTGATCCCTTTACAACACCTGGCCAATAGGCGTTGTCGGTCGGTCTAAGGAGCACGTCTTCCAAGACTATTTCGACCCCGGCCAGTGTGATCATTCCCAATATCTTGTTCGTTCCATCTCGCTTTCTGTCTTCTGTATCTCTTGATCAAGATTTCACCGAGTAAGGTGCATGCTCCCTCGGGAAAACTCACGATCTCCAGGTAAGAGGAACGAAGCACGGCCGCAGTGGCATAAGCGCCCAGCAGTTCCTTGGCGTATCTATTTTTAGACTGCTTGTTTGGAGGTCCAGATTTAAGGTGGTCGTATTGCCCTTCGGAACAACTTTCGGTTATCCGAAGTCCACACCACTCTCGAGTTTCCATATGGTGGATAAGGCCGAATATTGCAATTGCAAATTTGCAGGGACTCGAATGATCAATTGCCTATACCCCGGGTACCTCTTATACAAACTTCAGCGCGCATCTACGTGAAAAGTGTCTGAATGGAACATCCCGTCCATAGAATGGGATGCAAAGGATGTCCCTTGATTACTACCTCCTGTGTTCTGTCATCCTATTGAGACAGCCTGATGCTGATCACAATATCTTCGGCGAATGCTATCGCGGTAAGCTCCTTCCCGAATTCCCGAAGTCGGGCTGATCTGGGATTGTCTATTTATCCCGAGGGTGTATCCTGGATAAGCGCGCTGGTGTCGCGGATCCAATCACTGAGTATAATTGGAGAGGTCCAAATCTTCCTGCGTGTATCATGGTAAACATACGAGTGCGAAGTGATCGCCACTGCTCTGCTCCGCCACTTATATGACGTGAATGTTCGGTCCACAAGACATCTTTGGAGTTATCGTATGTTTATGTTGGCATGAGATCTACTGAGCGTCGCTCAGAGACGTTACAGTCAGAATAAAGGGATGGTCGGATTGAAATGTCCCTGAACCACCACTGTCTAAGTCCACTACCTAGTTCTCGAGCTTCATATACAACCCCTGCATTCCAATTTCTACGGGCCCCCATCTCGCAAAGATGGATGCAACGACTGGGGACCTCCCACCCCTCGTCAATCCGTTCACACCTAATGCTTTCCTGCCGCCGGTGCTGGCATATCAGAACACCATGTCCAACTACGTCTATGTGGGTACTCTGAGTGTAATTATTTCATCTATATTCAACACTCAAGATGCTGAACCACCGGGAAAATGTTATGCCAGGTGCTTGTCTGGGATATCTTAACTCATGTTCGTCAAGACTCCCGGTTCATCTTCCGCTGCCCTGTTAGACTGCCATCCTTAATCTACCTTTTTTCGAGGTGAGTCCTGCATGTACAAAATTCTGCGTGAGATAAAGTCTACATCTCAAGCATGCAGACTAATCTCCCTCGCACTGGTCCTCACCGTGGTCATCTTCCAAAGTACGTTTGTTGCTCGAGTGTCCGTAGAAGTAGTACTTATGCCCTATCCCGCTCGAATTACTAGCCGCTCCGGTAGCAATCCCATGCAGGACCCTCGACACCATCGCCGAAAGTTTTTTTGCCGTCTCAGTAGCGTTGACGTCGCTTCTGTTTCTCTTCCGTGTCCGTGCCATATTTGACCGGAACAAGTACGTTCGCGCCTTCTTCAGTCTCATGTGGCTAGCCGTGGTCGCAGCCGTCATCACACCCACGCAAGGGCTCACCGGGATGAATATTGGGCCCACCAAGTACTGCATCCATGAGAAGGTCGAGATGTACGTCGGAGCGGCTAATCTCCTCCCGCTCGTGAATGACACGCTCATCTTCCTTGCTATCTCGTGGAAACTGATGCAAAATACACACGCTGCATCGGCTCATCCGCTGAGCGGAAAAATTAACCTTCGAGCATTCCTTCGAGGGGACTACCTACCTGCATTTTCAAGGGGTCTCCTGCAAGACGGGCAGGTATACTATCTGTAAGTTTTAAATAAGCTGGCTGTTTGGGGATATGCATTCGTTTCCTTATTTCTGCCTACTAGGACGACAATCACGACGAATTTGATGACGGTTATCGTGTTCTATCTCACCTCCGCCCCGACTGTCTATCGTGCAATGTTCGGAATCCCCAATGAAGCGCTGATGAACATGATGGCGTGCCGAGTGTACAGGCGGACCAAGTTGGCTCACTACAAGGAGTTGAAGAAGCCGAGCAGTAACCCGTCGACCTCCAAGCCCAATGACGGCGCGCCGATTCTCCCTCTTGCCTTCGCACCAAATAGGAATAATTCCAATTTGAAGCAGCTTGAAGACATTGAAAGAAAATACCATCCATTCGAGGTGATCGAGCTGGTTAAAAATGTGGAAAGTCGCGGTGGTCAGCTCGATCCTAGAGAAGAGGTGAAGATGCTGAAAGGTTACGCTTCGACCACTGTATGAGCTGAAGGGTGTTGAAAATATGTGACTACTTTCCTGCAATGCTGACGACCATGCGTGATGTTGATCTGAACCTTGATGCAGATGATTCCCGCCAAAGACAGTTCGATGGCCAGAGAGGGAGACGACGAGAGCCCGTCAACACAACTGTCCTCGAGGGTTGAACTTTGGGAAATCAAGTTGCATATTTAACATGGAGTTGCCTATGGCAGGAGAGCGACCGACTTGAAGCCAGCTTAGGGTTATTTCTCGTCTGAGAATGTTATTCTGCAGTCCTGAAATGGAGTGTCCATCTTGTTGATTCTAGCTCAGACGATCACGGAAGCATCGCACTTTAGATCCCTCTCCTCGTCGAATGCAGTACCTCGGGTTTGCTCCTCTGTTTTAACAATCTCGATCACCCCGAATTTTCCTTCGATTCCATCCGGCTGCTGCATGGTGGAAGCGCCATTTTTCGACGCGAACACAAGCGGGATAATCGGTCCATCGTGCGACGGGTGGCCAGTGCTGCTGGCGTTCTCCAGCTTTTTGTATCGAGCTGACTTGGTCCACCTGTACACGCAACATGCCATCATGTTCATTAGCACCGCGTTGGGCACGGCGAGCATCGCCCGATACACCACGGGCACGAAGGTCAAGTAGAACACGACCCCTGTCATCAAGTTCGTCGTGACCGTGGTCCTAGTACGCTGAAATGAACACGAGAGCTTATATCACGAAACGGCTCAAAACTTACAAGTAGTAAATCTGCTCGTCTTGCAGGAGACCCCGCGAGAAGGCGGGTAAGTAGTCTCCCCGAAGGAACGCCCGAAGGCTGACGTTTCCTCGCAGGCGCGGATCCGCCGAGTTAATATGCGCGTTGCGCATCAGCTTCCATGAAATTGCTAGGAAGACGAGCGTGTCGTTGACGAGAGGGACGACCCCAGCCACGCCAATATATGTCTCCGCCTTCGCATGGATGCAATATTTCGTAGGGCCTATGTTTTCCGCCGTGAGACCTTGGGTGGGCGCGACCACACCAGCGACGACGCAAAGCCACATGAGGCTGAAGAAGACGCAAACAAACTTGTTCCAGCCAAATATGGCGAGGACGCGGAAGAGGAAGAGGAGAGACGTCGTGGGTACGGCGGCGGCGAATAGCCACTCGACGACTTTGTCGAAGATGGCGCACGGAATGCCATGTGGAGCGGCTAGTTATTTGAACGGGGTCAGGTCGCACATTATTTCCGGAGACGGGGCTGATAATTCACTTTGGAAGATGCCTACGCAGAGGATGAACGTGAGGGTCAATGTCCTACGAGCTCGAGATGTGAGTTGGATTCAATCAGGCCTTCTCATTCGTGCAAAGAATCTCACCGCGATAAGACGTAGACAACTGCTGGCAGCCTGACAGGGGAGCGCAAAACGAGCCGAAAGTCTTGACGGACATGAATTAAGATATCCCAGACGTACACCTGTTAATGTAGCGATTTCCCATTATTTTATGAGCGTCCTGGCCTGGTAACACAATTTTTAAGACATTTACTTACCCCCCAAGTGCCTATGTAGACGTACGTGGAGACGGTGCGCTGATATGCCAGTTCCCGGGGGCAGGAAAGCCATTGGCGTGAAGGGGTTAGGAAGCGGAGTCGTGGTATTCATGGTGGCCAGATGAATGCACGTCTTGGATGCCAAGGTTGGGTGAGGACTTTTCCCCGACGACGGTAGATAATTGAAGTCCTTGCTTATATGCAATCTTCAACCTTCTGCGCTTGGTACGATTAAGCCTCCTCCACACAGGCTAAGCAGATCAGAGCCGTGAAAAATCACACCCCTGTTTGACTCACAGAAGATTGTACGCCTATCAATCCCATCTTCCCGGCCCGAACACAGTCGCGACACCCCATCGAGCCTAATCACTTTATTAGCTCACCACCCACAGGATAAGCCCATCAAGCCAGCCACAATCACACCTACCATAAGTATCTGACCGACATTTGACAGCGCTTTAGTAGTAGCATCGAGTCTAAGACTCCATACTGTGCTGGTATCGTCAGTTGAAGGTCGTTTGATGATGTTACGTCGGCTTGGGAAGGCGAAGGATTCTAAATGAGAGAGGATCGATACGACGGTGGCGCTCGTGGTGAATAGAACACACGAAGAGGAAGAGGAGCAGGTGGATACCACAAGCTTTGACGTCGCCGTACATCGAGAGTCCGAGTTGCCACCTATCGATGGATTGGACGACGGGGGCGCAAATGTTGACATGGGCCTTCGGATCTAGTTGAAGGCGCCGCCGAGCTCGTCTTGATCAAGGAAACAAGGGTAGGTAGGAGGACGACGCGAGACCCAAAACTGCCAGTTGTTCGAAACTTAAATTCCTAGTTAGTAAGTAACTTCGGCTTGAGGACGAACCTCTCCGATCAACGCCTTCCTCGTCAGGCCATGCTTTCCTGCCCACTGCCAACAGTTAAGCTTAAGGGCCACATAGGTGTCCTTGACACGAAGGGTTCAACCTGCTCCCTGGTCACGTCGAACTGAAGGGGCCGATGTGCTTCACACGGTAGAGCTCCGAGTCGTCGAAGAGGACGAGAAAAGACTTGAATGATGGGGTGAGCTGGCTTTAGGTGACAAAATCCGCCAGTGAGTAAGTATGTCGAGAGTAATAAGTATAGGTGAATGGGTTAATGATATCCAGAACTCGGGGGATACTGGCATTCCGTCTGGCAGGCTGAAACGGATGGGCAGGAGAAGAAGGGGAGGGGGACACAGAGAGGTTACCAGAAGATGAACTCGTCGATGTTGAAGACAAAGAGAGCTGATCGATATCCTTTGTCCAATCGGAAACGACGACGAATCGGGTTTATTCGTTTATCTCGTCTTCTCTCCCATACTGCCTCGCTGCCCCTTCCTCGTTCAACAATCGACATACACCCACCTCGATGTCGTCGCACAGCGGTTGCTTCTCTGGCGTTTTACAACACTCGAGTACTCTCGCCCTCCCATGGACTGTTCTCGTGAACTCCAACGAAACTGCACATCCCTTGACGAGCACCCGACGTAGTAGATATCCTCAGCGGCCTTCTGCATATCAAGTAGGAGATGCCGCGAAGAGGATCAATGAATGCGTGGTCGATGATTGACGTGCCCAAGACTTCCATGGTGTCGGGACTTCACGTCAAGCCTCGCAAGAGAGAAGGGAGGGTCCATAATCCAGTGGACAATATGGGACCGTCATCGCACGCGGAGCTGGGGATGGATATCGTGATGAAACGGGATTGGAGTGCGTGGGTCAAAGTGGGTCTCTTTCTTTCTCTCTCTTTGAGCCATTCTATCGATTTTTGCCTCGTCCAGTCTAAGATCATACCCCTGCCCGCTCATCAATCTCTTCTCTCCGTCCTCTTTCTCTCAAAAATTCCTTGCTCCTCGCTGATTTTTCTTCTTCCAATTTCTCAATTCCGACAACGTACTAAGGTTCTCCTGATAGTTAGCCAACTTCTCCCAAGGCACTCGTGCCTCAATCGAACATTACCTTCGTTCAGTAGGAGGCAACGGCAACGCACAAGTCGAACGCACGTCCACTTCTCTGTCTACGAGAGCGGACGATGTCCAGGGTGGTCTAGCGTCGTGTTCTCTTACACCTTCCTTCACGGTAAGCTATCCATCTGTTTCCCTAGCATTTTCGTTATTTTCTCCGTCACCCTATCTCATTCCTTGTTTATTCCTTCTACCATTTTCCAGGACCATGGCGTTATGTGTGCATCACCTGAGCATGGGTAGGCGCATAGAGTGCAGGACCCTCACCAGGATCTGTGAGTTCTGTCTTCCGTCGCGGTGTTCCCTGAATAGTTATGTGATCGCTTGGGTCCTCAGGGATTCTTCTCATTCGCGTGTTGTAATCCGCCCCGATCTATGAATTATTCCTGGGAATGGACGTCTGTCAACGGGATTGATTATCGGCTTGTGTCCAACGATCTTCTGGTGCCGCGTGTTCCAGGCGTGGATTGAGACCTCGTGGAGATGCGGACGTCTTATCACAATTTAGCACCTACTATGTTATCCTCCTTCCCTCTCCCCACTTTTTCATCTCCAGTTTCTCACAGTCATGTCAGATCAAGCTGCAGCAATGTTTCAGAATGCCAACGCGAACATGGTACACGGCAATGTCTTCAATGTCCAACAGCACCAGATTCGCGTCCATGAAGGCGAGACGGACGGCCGTAAGCTCTCCCACCGGAGCCCTCTCTCTCCGAGCAGGTTGTTATCGCTAAATGGAATTTTTCAGGCCTGAAGATCCTCCTCGAACGTTGCTGCATCGGCGCTCAAGTCGACTCCAATGAGCGATTCGACCCACCTCGCTGCGACCCCGAAACACGTGTCAAGATCATACAAGGTATCATGGACTGGATCAACAGCGACGATGAAGGAGCGTCCATCATGGTTCTTCATGGGTCGGCTGGGGCTGGCAAATCCGCCCTCGAACAGACGATCGCCCAGCGATGCCAGGAGAAGGGTCGTCTTGCCTCTAGTTTCTTCCTCTCGCGGACCGCCGCGAACCCGCAGCGCAGCGATGGAGATGCCGTCATCCCGACATTGGTGTATCAGCACCTACAAGTGTTTCCTTGGCTCAAGGAGCGGGTGTTGGAGGAGATCAGCAAAGATCCCGGACTCCTCGAGCGGTCGCGTGAGGTCCAATTCGACCGTCTCTTCGTCAAATACTTCCAAGCCAGTCCGCAGCAGCTCCAGAGTGAACCTCGCCCCCGACTCATTGCGCTTGATGGTCTTGACGAGTGCAATGACCGTAAGATCCAACAAGACCTCCTCCGTATCATTGCCGCTGCCATCCCTTGCCTCCGACATCCTTTCCGATTCTTCATCGCGTGTCGACCTGAGTTACACCTCATGCAAGTTATCAATCACGACCCTCTCTTTCAGAACATTCGCATTCGCTGTGTCAATCTCGGGGACGATTCACAAGTGAACAAAGATGTACACCTTTTTCTCACCAAGAAATTCCGGGAAATCCGACAGACCCATCCGCTACGAAAATTCCTTCCCAAGGATTGGCCCCCCAAGAGCGTCATAACCGCACTCGTGGAAAAAGCTTCGGGACAGTTCATCTACGTCGATACTGTCATGAGGTTTGTTGCCTGGACTCACGCAAGACCTGACGACCGACTTAATGTCATCCTTGCAATGGCGCCCCCTCGTCGAGACGAACAGCCATTTGCCAACTTGGATGAATTGTATACCTATATTTTTTCTTGTGTTGAGGACTGCGACACTGTGCAGCGCGTTCTGGGGGTTATCTGGCTGGCATCCCAGAATAAAGTTTTTAGAAGCCTTCATTGTTCATTTTCAGATCCAGTGCACTTGGAAGAAATACTCTCGTGCCGTCCGGGCGATATTCATCTTGCATTCGCTGATTTACCATCTGTGATCAGCATCTCAGAAGGTCATGGCGTCAAGGTTCTTCACGCATCCTTGTTCGACTTCCTGCTCGACTCGACCCGATCTGGTAGTCATGCCCTTGACCTTGCTCTTGCACATCAATCACTGGCTACATGGCTTTGGAGGAAAGTCAATTCTGGAGGTTTATTTATATTTTTATATATAAATACAAATATAAAGTTTATATTTAAAATATAAACTTTGCTAAGAGAAATAAAAAAAAAAGAATCGCTAGGGTGAGGCGTGACCTTATCGCATATGATGCTTCCATTACTCACATCGTGGCATGCAGAGGTGCCTACGGGACCGGTCAATCTCATTCTTCGTGATGATTCAATGCTTTCCTACTTTTTTGGCCACTGTCGATCCGCGCATCTCTCAAAAGAATTAACACAGGCAATCGAGCGTACAGCCCTTGTCCTTATGAATTTCCTAGGTGAACTCGCCCAAGACAAGTGGTCTAGTGCTATTCCAGCCAATTTGGACGTAGTGAAGCATTGTGACCACCTTCTGTCGCGCATGTCAGTTGTATTTACGAGGAAGGTAAAATATGCTTCGACTCTGGAAGTTAATGCAAAAAATAATTCTTCGTGATTAGGATTTCCCTCGCGACTCCGATGGATGTGTGGTGTTGGTGGAGAAGATGCGGGAAATGTGGCTGCAGCGACCCTTGACTGGGGCGGACGACCTCTTCATATGGATGCTGACTCCTACCATTGAATCTACCGACAGAAGCGCCCAGGCACGAGGATCACACACGCGCAAGTTAGTTCCGGCGTTGCAAAGGGCGGGCAGTCGTATAAGCACGATGCTCGCTCGGAACGAACAGTACCTCGGACGACATGTAATCGAAGAATTCCAGGAGGTAGATTTGACCGTCTCTGTTAACTGTGGCCGTCATGCTTATGTCCATGATAGCTCGCAGGGGACGAATCCGGTGCTTCTCGCGGTATGAAACTGACTTTGATAGCGTCGCGTCTCATGTTCTGGATGACGTGCGTCCAGAGGTACACGGATAGTCATTCCTCATCCAAGATTTCTGACATCTCATTCACCTGGGCAAAATACGCACATGAAGCTGTTCGATTGAGTTACGATCCCCTATCCATCAAGGTGCTGATGTTGCTCACAGCAACGCTTCTACGCCACGCTCACCAGCTGGATCCAACCACCGTGAAATACACGTTCACGGTCGAAAATGAAGGCGCATTAAAAGTGTTGGAATCTTTGTTCCCGAAAACGGCGAAATACTACAAGGACCAGGTCAACGCATATATAAAGGTGCATTTTCTGGCCCTTTACCTGTTTGCGCCACTCTCATCACAGCCTCGAAGCGGTGCACATATAGTTGACACACTGCACCCCAGGAAGGAGTGCCTCGACAAATTGTGGTTACAAGCGGGGTTTTGAATCAATGCTCAGATATTTGTAGGTTGGATGTTACGAAGATCGCAAACCGCGCAAACCGCGCAAACCGCAGGTGACTAATGGGCGAGGGTCGAATATTTAATGTAAGAAAATTCTTTGGGGATGGGTGTTGAGGTTGGCGTTATATTCTCTGAAAATCGTCGAGCCTTATATGCGTTCAGACATCGGTCATCCAGAGAACACGAGGAAATTGAGGATGCATTGATTTCAGGTCCTTGAGGAGAATTTTGCTCTCCGATATGACGTCGAACGGCCATGGGGTATCGGGTATCCCTGAGCTGCGTATAGTCGAGTCACAGGGAAGGCAAAGAGTATAGTAAATGCGTTTCGACTTGGTTCTAGCATGAGAAGATTTGGTCAGATCGCTTTCTGAAGGCATATGAGTGAAGAACCCGCTGCAGCCTCTGCCATCAAACTCCAGTCTAGTCTCCTGAGGGCGGACTCCGATATCCATTAACGATGAGTCGATAAACTTTTAAGTGTGCCTAAGACAGAATGCACGGTAGGCGGACCGTCACGGACGGATGAAAGCTGGCAGTGGCAGAAGCGAAGCTCAAGGCCATCTCTGTCCAATCGGAAACGATGACGGATCGGGTTCATCTCGGTCCGGAGGGTCCGCCTTCGCTTCTCTCCCAGAGTCTCCCAACGATCTCCTCACTCCAACTGGCTCTAACCTTCTCCTGCCCGGGCACGTTTCGCGGCTACCTATTCGGGATCCCGCTCAACATGAAACGATGCACCATCTATCCGATGGCGTGCTCCCAAGCATCCACCGTAGATCCAGCCAGCACGAACCATGAAAGTGTTGGCCAATGATCGACTTGCCCAACGCTCCTTGGAGCCGAGAGTTCGCGTTGAGGCTCGCAGAAGGGGAGGATGGAAGTCCATATCCCGATTTTGTGGCTAAGATGGGCCCGCAATCGCGCACGGTGCTGGAGCCACTGTCATGATGGAGGAGGATTGGGGTACAGGGGCAGGTGGGTCTTTTTTGCATCCTTGATGTTCTCATCTCGCGATCGCCTTTTCGGCTCACCTTGCTACCCTTCGTTCCCGTTCTTCCATCCCCTCATGCCGAGATGTCCGCTCGACATCTCGCATCCTCCTTACTCTCAATCCAAAGATCATGCTGATGTACCCCTGCTCTCTAGCCAAAACTGCCCCGTCGGTTGCGTATTCGCCCTCATTTACCTCAGAAACTGGCTGTCGACTCAGGTCCGTCGAATTAGTATCGACGACCATGGGAGCAGTGGGGATTGCCTCACTGCCTCCGCGGTCACGTGTCGACTAGTTCGTAGTGTGCGTAGCACTCATCATCTCATACCACGACGTTCCCTAGAGCCAGCGACCTGCTCGGGATACTGAGGACCACTCCAACATTCATGGTAGGCTTTTAACTTCGCTTTTTTCTGGCCTTATCGTTTCCCTCTCCATTGCCCCCCTCTATTCTCATGTGTTCATTCTGTCCTATTAATTTTATGAGGACCGTGACGATTTCACGGTGCTAGCACACCGGTCATCTTTTTCTCTATTTTATCCTTCCTTCCTTTCCCCCAATTTGAACTCGATCTTGACTTTCCCTCATTTCTCCAGTTCTTGGGCATCGACACACCCGTTTCAAGGAGCAGAGCAGCATGCTAGCGGTAGTGAATGGCACAGCTCTCATCATCTGGGAAGATATCACGCCCGATTCACCTGCAGGCCTCCCATGGACAAAGATCGTGCAAAGATCCAGCCTTCGGGTAGCAAAAATCGTCCTATGGGCATCTCGCACGACGATACGCCTGCTGTGGGGCAGGATTACGGGTAGCAGAACCTAAGGACAGGTCCGTAGTTTTATCTCTATTATATGCTCTGTACCCCTAGTCCGTCATCTCATTTCTCGCGCTGCCAGCCTGTTCTAACCTTTTGTCTCTTTCTACATAGCCCATCACATCACATTCAAAGGTTGTTGACCTTCAAAGACACGCTGAACGTCTCCAGCATCCACGTTATTACGAAGGCCATCCGATGGCGGAAGACGAAGCTCTCCTCGCTACGTGGTGGAAAATTCGGCTTCCTGTTCACCCCGCGCAACTTCCTTGTGGCCCTTATCCCTCTCTGTGGTCGAGGCAGTTATTTATGTCGCCCACTGTAGGAAGAAACCTCCCACGAGGGCTGCCTGGGTCCTGGGACGCGGCTCTTCAGTACATCTGAGGTGATACGGAGGACTCTCCTCAATGACGTTTATTGTGGTACGTTTTGTGCTGAACGAGGATAACTGGATGCCTTGCCTGATACGTATGCACGGCTTATAGGAAAGGCGCTGACGCCGACTTTGTGTGCAATGTCCGTAACACGTATCAGAGGCCGCGGGAGAGCTTCCGCGCGAAAACCAAGAGAGGTCGCTCTGGGTGGTTGGAAGTGTCGCGGCGGCGGGTTGGATACCGTATGGCTCTATCCCGCTGTCCCTATAACACCATACTGATCCCAATGGAAGACTGACCCGGTCATTCCGAAATTACCTTAAGCTCTGTTACTTCCAAACCCAACGACCTCAAGACGGATTAATCCGAGCGCGTTCAGTAGCCATGTGATACTGCTAATTCCTGGCTTCCATTGTTGTCCAATCTTCAGGGGAGGATACTATCGAGAGAATGCGACGCAAAGGAGGTCCGTTTGTCCAATTTTATCTACTTATCCCGCTTTGACGTGCCTTGAAGTTATGGGACAGCCCGACACGACTCCTCGAGCCTTTGAGGTCGCTCTCGTTGAGGAGTTGATCACTGTTAAATCTGACAGTGCCTGCTAGCTGAGCTGATGCCCGTGGCTCTCCTCAGAAAGGTTTGGGTGAACATGCGGCCGTACAGTGTTGAGTACGTGAACGGTAATGAAAGCTACTTTCGCTCTAGAAGGTGCGGTACCCTCCGCAATTGGATGCTACCACACAGGGGGGAAGTATATTATCTTTCCTTTGCATACTACTCAGCAGAAAGCAGCTTGTGACACAACGAGCGTTGCCAGCAGCTGACCTGCGTTCTCACTCCCATACGCCATAGTCCTCGTTACCGGCCCAACGTAATCGAAGAAAAATAACAGGAATTCTGAAAGGGATACGCCGCTTGCAAATGATGGTTCAATATCAAGTATCAAGGCTTCGATGATCATGTGCCCAACAATGAAACCGTACGTTGAACATGACCACTTTTGTTCCGGGTGCATGAGACGCATGGCAAACATCAAAATCTTGAACGTCCACAGCGGCTGGATGTCCCAGCCAGCTGGATTAAGTACCGTCGTCATACAATTCCTCTAAAGCCTAAGGAGCCCCTACCCTGAACTCGAGGACGAAGACCCTTATCCTTTTTTCAGGTTCTTCGGTCATTTCCGTCAGTAGGTTTTTACTTCCTTGAGAGCTTGCACTCTGGAAGCTCGTACCGTGTCCACACTGGTCTCCTCATTCATTCAAACTCGCCTTAATTAATCCTCATCGGCCTCATCCCTCGTCGCTCGACATCGTGGCTCTCCGTCATCCGAAAACCGCTAGCGCCCGTCCCACGTGACCCAGCGCTTGTTCCACCGCCTTCCACTGCGAGTCGCGTTCGATAGATTCTTTTCCCACCTCACATTCATATATAGATATTCCGGTCTATACAAGTCGTCGATGTACACTGTTCCAAGTCCCATCTCGATTCCCTTTCAATACCCGGCTGATGCCCGCCCCTTTTGAACCCGTCCTTCAGCCGCCCTCGGACATCCGTCGCGGTGCCTGCATGGTTTCGCTCAAATTTGGCGATGGACGTAAGTAAAACGAACCTTCTTGTGCCTTCGTGCTTTCCGTGAACGTCGAGCTTGAGGATACAGACTATACATTCTTGTGAGCAAGAGGATACCCAGGTGCGATTGATTACTCCGATGTGGAGTTTCATTTGGTATGATCCGGTGCGAAGTGAGGAAGATAAACGTCGATGTGCGCATGTGAGCAAAGTAATGGGCGAGAGTGCGGCGGGATGAAGCAAGAATACCAGCTGCCCAATATGCTGCCGCTTTCATATCTAGCAAATTTGGTGTATTTGCTGAGTATATAAGAAGCGCGAAATGGTGGCTCTTCCTCATCCTGACTTTCGGGCTGTTTCAACGTGAGTGTTAGATCTACCAGTTCTGCCTCTCGATGCTGACCTTGAATACGTCTCCAAGGCGTGACGTTTTCGACTTGATAAAATCCTCTGTATCGACTACACAGGTATTTTCTTCTTCTTTTTGCTGTCATTCATTCCCTAACATCCGTTCACAGTCATCATGTCTCATACCTGCCCCGCAACCATCGAAGCTGGGGAACACCGCATCTACAGCAAGTTCACCATAAAGGGAGCGATGTGGAACAACCCCGAGGACCACGACGAGGGTACCGTCCCGATCTTCTTCACCGTAGACTCCGATGTCTCCCTCCCCAGGTTCTCGTCTGTGGGCAGAGGACTCACTGTCCACTATGACAAGTTGCAAGGCGGCTTTGACACGTTCCGGGGCAACATTGGCGGTGGGAAGATCTTCATCAGGACCGGGCAAGGGGTCGTCATCAAGGGCAGAATCGACGGTGGCCCGGATGAGGGACAGAACTTTGTCGGCTCGGGCACTTGGACGCAGGCATGACGCTGAAAGGTGCCGATGACGAGCCAACCCGGGGCTCTCTGACCCTGGAAATCCTCTTGTCATCACATTTCCCATTGCTCCCCTCGCTCCCCGATACCTTTTCCACCCTGCCATCCCGTGACCAACACCGCCATTTTTCCGTTCGCTTGTCGCGCCACTCTTTCCTTCTTAAGCAGTCCTTCGAGTTTCTTATCATCACCGTCACCGCCCCCCATTCCCATCCTTTCCATTCTTTCTTGTAAAGTTCTGTTTTTCTTCGGTCATTCACTCGGTTCGGATAAAATATCGTGTTGGGCTCCCTTTTGCTTTGTAGACATAAAGTTGCTGTGCTTACATACACGAAAAGTAGAGAATTTGGTTTATTCTTCGTACATTGACGGACGGCTTGAGATGGCGCCGCTGGCGTATACTGAAGGAAAACAGAGGCGTCATCAACGACTGGAGACGGGCCCTGCCGTGAGACCAACGTGCGAATTCGGTCGACTGCTAACGGACTGTTCCAACGCTGCCCACTGCTGACGCATTATGCATGATGTACCACGGAGTGATGGATGCATTTCATTCTCTGGCAAAGCGTGTCAAGCAGCATGGCCACGAGAGGCCAGAGAGGTGCTTAAGGAAGATTCCTTAGGGGTGGGCATCTGATATGTATGAAAACGAGGGAATCGAGGTTGCGGAGAATTGGGTCTGCGACCTGACATCGGATGGCCATGGGATATCCTTGATTCGCGTCTGGTCGAGCCGCGGCTTGGACCTGCGTTGGGAACCGTGCGGCAGGCAGAGCGATCTGATTGTAGGGCGCAAAATGCGAAGAAGCTGGACGACGCAAGGACAGAGCTGAACTAGAATGATGAGGGGGCGATCCGCCAAGCCTGAACCCCAGGAAGCAGGTATTGGTGGGGGACATGGGATATATGCATACGACTTGGCTCATGAGGTAGGAATCGGTCATGTCCGCTGCATCAGAATGCATGTGGAAACGGTACCGGAGAGGAGCAAAGAAGAGGCGGCGTCTACCGTCAACATCAGCGGTGGACGGTGGAGAAATTTGAATCGGGAGTTCATCCTGAGAGTGCGAGGATGGACAAGGGCAGCTGGAGGGAGAGTGTCGCGTCTGCGTTGGCAGTTGCACTTTGTGAAGAGTTGAACTAGAGCCCAAGCCCGAGAACTAGATAGAGGGATCCAGAGGTGACGAGAATGACGAGAGGAGGGCTTTGGGAACTCGGCGGGCCACCGCCTTTACATTTTCAGCGGTCAGTCCTGTCTGGACGGAAGATGAGGGAATTAGGAAGAGGCAGAGGAGGTGCTTTACGTTTGGGCTAGACGAGAGGGGTGAGAGAAAGAGCCGGACCTCTGTCCAATCGGAAACGAGGATGGTTCGGGTTCGCGTCGGTCCGGATTGTCCGCCTCTCACCTCTACTTCTACCCACCGGAGATCCTGCCCTTCGACGTTCCACTCTCTTTTCACCTCCAACCATCTGTATAATCTGCCTCCATCTACGTCCTCGCATCGCTGTCTCCATCAACAATACCTCCTCCCGCAGCCTCTGCATACTCCCAAGACCCTTATCCAACATCCTCTCCCTCTCCCTCTTCCGTCCCGTCCCTCTATTCGCATCAGGCCTTGCCCTGCCCTACCGCGTCCACACGTCCCAACCCTAGACTCCTCCTCGCATCACGTCATCTTACATTCTCGATAGACACCACACGTCCCATACTACCTTCACCTCGACGACATCCAACAACACATCTCGCCGTCGCGTCTGATGCACCATAGACTCTCCCTCGCCATCTCTTCTTCCGCCAATCGACTGCTGAGCCGCCCTTCCTCGGTGCTTCACGTTCCCAGCCAACCATCAACTCTACGCTTCAAGAACCAGTCTATGTATAATCAGATCTGCTTCCAGAATAGGGAGAGCAGTACTGCATGAGCTTCATCCCCTTCGAACCCTTCCGTGTTTCTCGTTCCCTCGTACACACATCGTTCATGCTCCGTTCGTTTTCATTGGTCCTCTAAAACCTCTATTCCAAGACCGTACTGGTGTTTTCTTGCTGGTTAGGCACCAATATCGATGCTGATCGCGCATTGCTTGTCGTTCAATTGCATCCCAACGCGGTGCTGGCACGAGGGCGACCCAATTCCGCGACTAAAAGGGTTTATAACAACACTGATGCAGACTTTCTGTACGCTCTTTGTGGTAAGTCTGCCTATTTTCCAGCCTTATCCCTCTCTTTTACCGTCGCCCTTCTGCCTTTCCATGTATTCGTCTCGTCATTTTCCTTATACCAGAATCACGACATATGTGCTTTCCGTGCTACCGTCTTCTCTCTCTTCCCGCTGTCCTTTCCGAGTTATAAATGCGGGCTAAGCTATGTTCTTTTGTACAGCATCTGTCATCCAGACGAGGTTCTCAAGTATAATTCCAAATATAACAACAACGGGCGAGGAACCATGCAAAGACCAAGGACCAAAGCCCTCGAATGCACGGCAATGGGCCGCTGCGAGGCAATCTTTTACGGGCTGTTGCAGGCAAGTCATTCTTTCGTCCTTCTGTCCCTCTCATTTGCTTCGTACCCTACTCGATCGCGTCCCCCAATCCTGTTTCTCACTTTTGTCACCCGTTCTAACACTCTTACTCTCTCTAGGTCGGCACGATTTTCGTATCGATGCATATTGAATCTCAGGTCATAACGAGCGTCCGACTTCCACCTCAAGAGTATCGACAGCCGCGGCGGTGATCTCGGCGTGGATGCTTTTGCTCCGGTGTGACAGAGGGCAACGGACAGGAGAAAGATAAATCGAGGAGCTTGGATAGTCCTGTACATTCCTGGTAAGTATTTTTGCGCTCATTGCCCGGTCGCGTTGGCCGCTCTCCTTCATGACTTTGGGAACCATTCCTGCGCTGTCAAAACGGCTTCTGTCCTGGTTCCGTGCCGATGGTGTGCTCTATCTCGATGCCGCCGATTTCGTTCTATGTAGGACAGATGCTGACATGGCTACCCTCTGTCCTCTTCATAGCTCTGCGTGCCGGTATCGACTCGTGATTTGAGCCTGGGTTACGCATAAGTACCTACGGCATAACATCGACGGCTACCAGAGATTGAGAATCTTGATCTCGAGGGCATAGTGCGTAGAATCCCTGGCTAGCGTGTGAGGGAAGAGAGAGTCGACCTTTGTCCCATCGGAAGCGATTGGGCGGGTCCATTTCGGTCCGGCCTGCCTTCCTCTCCCGTATCGTCACCCTCTCTCTGTACTCCCCAGGTACTGCCCACCCAGCACCCTCACTCGTGCAATGAATACTCTATCCCTCGCCATCTCTTCCGCACTCCAACTCCTGACTATTTTCCCTCGGCATTTTTCTTTGGACACCCACACCCCTCCACAAGGTCTACTTCGGTCTCCTTCACCCTCGTCACTTCGTCATATGGTCCAACACTCTCGCCACCCACACGCCTCCGTTCCACCTCCCAATTTCCATACACCTTCCGCGGACAATTCCGCTTCACGCCTATACATTTGAAATCCTACACATATCCAGCACGCGCCTCAAGCACCGGACGTAGGATTCTCATCTTGCACTCAGGAGCCTTCAACAACGTTAACGTCAAGGAGGAGATGCGACCCGTTGACGCATGCTCAACTTGCAGGACATCACATAGAGTCACGAGAGTGTCAACTCGAAAGAGGACGGAGGGGTTCTTAACCTGTTTTTTGGCCGAGATGAGACCACCATCGTACGTGGGGAAGGTGATGGATTTCGCGACCGGAATTGGAGTACGTGAATCACAGTGAGTCTCCGTCCTCTCTCTTCGAGCCATTCCCTCGGTTCTTTCCTCGTCCACAATATACCCCTTCCCGCTCGTCAATCTCTTTTCTCCATCCCCTTTCTCCCAAAATCCTCTCCGAGTCTCCTGGCCGGCTTCTCTCCTCTCCAATTTCAATTCCGACGGGATACTAACGTTCTGCCATTTAGGCAACCTCTTACAAGGCAATGGCGCGCTGATTGCACGCGCTTTTCTTTCAGCGGAGGCAACAACAGCGTGCCACACGGATGAACGGTCACTTCTGTGTATACGAGAGCGGAGGACATCGATAGTAGACTAGGATATCGTTCATTTGTTTATTCCTTTCGCCTTTGTCTACGGTTGGCCACGGCGATATGTGTGTTTCACCCGAGCGCACATGGGCATCTGAATCCAGTGTGCAGGACCACCAACGTCGCAGGAACTGGCAGTGCCGTGCTCTTGCCACCTCACCTTCTCCGTGCGGAGAGCCTCGAGGCGACCTCGTCGTTTCTTAGAGTACCACCCCAACGTCTCAAGGACTAATTCACCTTCACGAATCAAAGTCTCTGCCCGGTCAGGAATCTGCGAAAGCAGGATCAGCAGGATCTTGACCTTTTGCTTGAATTCTATTTGCTTGGATCCGTATGTCTTCCATGTCTTCCGCCGTGAATGTCCAGCTTCTATGTGATGGATAAGCCTGAGCAGTACGATTCGGACTTCCTGGCCAGGCTTCCAGCGTGGTCATGAGGTTCGCGCTAAATTTGCTCTACTCTCACCAACATCCCTTGGGACCGCTTGCTTCCTGATCATCTCTGGTTCCTGGCCTCGTGTACTTGCGCGCCCATCCACCAAAGTATGTTTCAGGGGATGCTATAACGAGAACCCCGAGGAATTCAATCGTCTGAGGTGCTCCAAGAGATGTTTGGAGCACATCTATGTATACCCAACTCTACATCATATCATTCTCTTGGTACAGTTAGCGGAGGAATAATAGAGAAGTTAGATATAAACCAGGGTCTGCGCTGCCGTAGTGGATCCAAGTGCACGCTCACGTCTTATATTCAAGCCGTCCATCCTACGAGCCATCTAGCTACCATGAATGCCACCACTGCGCCCCCTCCCCCGCTTCCAAATCCCTTCACTCCGATGGCCTTCCTGCCACCAGATTTGGCGTATCAGTACACCATCTCCACGTACGTTTACGTGGGCACTTTGGGGGTAACTATCTCAATGGACCTTCGTTTATCCCTCAGTATGCTGAGGTCTTGGGGAAATTGTTGTTGCACAGGTCTTGGTCTGGGACATTTTAATCCACCTTCGTCAAGACTACCTGGTCGTTGTTCGATACCCTGTCAGGCTCCCTGGGTTAGTCTACCTGTTTTCGAGGTGAGGGTTTTTTTTTTGCATGAACGGCCTGCCTGAAATCCAACTAGTTTGCAGAATGGCGGCCCTCGCTTGCATCCTCTCTGCCGTCATCTACCTAAGTGAGTTGCCGGTCGGGTCACTGGAAACATGGGCCTGATCGTGGCCGAATATCTAGCCGCTCCAGTGGGCATCCCGTGTCGCCTCTTCAGCAAGGTCGTTGACTGGCTGTTTGCCGTCGCCGTGCCATCAACGTCTCTTCTCTTCCTCTTCCGCGTTCTTGCCATATTCGACCGGAACAAGTTCGTTTGCGCCTTCTTTAGCATCATGTGGCTTTGCGTTGTGGCAGGCGCCATCACGCCCACTCAAGGTCTCATCGGCGCTAATATTGGGCCTACCAAGTATTGCATTTACGTGAAGGTGGAGGAGTACGTCGGAGCGGCTGCGATTATCCCCCTCGTGAACGACACGCTTGTCTTCCTGGCGATCTCTTGGAAGTTGATGCGCAATGCGCACACATCGGCCCATCCGCTGCGAGGAAACCTCAGTCTTCGGGCGCTCCTTCGAGGAGACTACTTACCTGCTTTTTCACGGGGGCTTCTACAGGACGGCCAGGCGTACTATCTGTAAGTCAAATGTGCTTTTAAAAATCTTCTCTTGTTCACCTTGCACCTAGGACCACGGTCATTACCAAATTAATGACTGTGATCATATTCTACTTCACCTTGGTGCCCGCGGTGTATCGGGCTATGTTCGCAGTGCCCAACGCGGTGGTGATGAACATGATGGCGTGCCGTGTGTACAGGCGCACAAAGTTGGCTCGCTACAGAGAGCTGAAGACCCCGAGCAGCAACCTGTCGTCTGCGATGCCCAATGACAGGGCGGTAATCCCTCTTGCCTTCCCACCAAATAGGAACAATGCCAATTTGAAGCAGTTGGGTGAAGTCGACGGCAAGCGCCGCCCAATCGAAGAGATCAAGATAGTCAAGACGGTGGAGCACGACGGCGCTCCGTTCAATGAAGAGAAAGGGCATCTGAACGGCGATGCTTCGGTGGCGGTATAAGGAGAAGATGACGAACCTTCCGTTTCTCATACTATAAAATGCCGTTTCCTGTTCAGCTGTGATTATACAAATAAATTATTTCGAATTCGCCCTCGGAACCTCAGAAAGCATACCAGCTGTCATTTAGGATAAAGCTTTCGGACTGCACATCAACTTGGTCCGCCGATACACCCGACATGCCAACTCAAAAATGGCAATAATTCCCGAGAAAGAACGCCTTTATTCCTCTTCGTAGATCGTGTTCTCCATAAGAAATGGATACCATGCGGCAGGAGATGGCGAGAAAGACCAGTATGTCGTTTACGAGTGGGATGACGGCTGAGACCCGACGTACGACGCGGCCTTGACGTTTATACAGTATCTCGTGAAACCAATGTTCATGTCTGTGAGGCCGAGCGTTGATGTCTGAGTCATAACAGCAGGCACAATCACCATCCACATGGCACTGAAGACGCCCTGTTGATGTTGCCGCAGTCTTCAGCTTCAACGGCGGCGACGAGGAAGAGGAAGAGAAAGGACGTCGAGGAGGTTGCAATAGCGAACAGCCGCTTGACGATCTTGCAAAACACTCGGCATTGGATTACCGACGTGTTCAGCTATCCGTCCCCGAGAAGGATGGCACGTCAGCTGGCAGCAGTTCTGGGGCTTGACATGCTTCAGATCTTCGAGAGGGGCGACGGGCGAGCTCGCACCACGATGCATGCAAAAATCTGGCGCCGCGCAAGTGTTTGAGGTGCAAGAGAAGAAGGCGTACAAAAGTGGATCGGAGGGTGGGATGGGAGGCATACCCAGCATTTTAGTGCGTTACGGTTACGTGGAAGGGAGGACGAGACAGATAGGGTTTGAAGGGACGGACAAGGGCAGACAGGTGAGGTTCCGTGAATTAAGAGAAATGGGCTTCGGGAACTCGGCAGGCTACCACCTTTACGTTTTCCACCTGGGAGGAACGGACGGGCAAGGGGAGGTGTAAAAGACGAGGGGGAATCGGGAGCGCTGGAGGCAGGAGGCGCTTTGAGCGCGGGGGTCGGGATTGTCGTCGTCGATAGAACGCTGTTCACCCAGCAGATTTGTCGCCTGACATGAGATCTACCTTGTACCTTGTCCTTCCGCGTCCCTCTCTTGCAAGTACTCGAACTTATGATTCACCTCCCACCATCTAGATACGCCTCTAGCCAACTCAGATGTGTGAAGCGCTTTCATCTTCGTTCCTCGACTACTTTCTCTCCTGCTCCAGGCTTCGTCAAGAGACGAATTTCGGGTCGTCGCACCACAGCAAGGCGATAGATGGAAAGAAGTCTTTAGGAAGACCGAGAGGCGAGCTCGTACCACGACGAACGCGGAAGTCAAGAGACGAGCGAAGGTTCGGGAAAGGGGGGAGAAGACCGCAAGTTGGAGGCGACTATAAAAGGGTGTCTGAAGTGTGCGGGGGGGTAAGGAGGTGTGAGCGAAAGTAGTTGGGTCCGGAGGGTGTCCGCTTTTACGTTTTCAGTAGTCCTAGCCAGTCCTGTGTGGACGTGGACGAAAGAAGCGGGCATGGGGAAGATGCCGAGTGGGGAATCGGGAGCGCTGGAGGGACCGCAGGAGGTGCTTTGAGTTTGAGCTAGACGAGAGGGAGGTTGACGGTCAACCGGTCACGGTTGAAGAGAAAGAGGCGGACCTCTGTCCAATCGGAAGCGATGACGGATCGGGCTCTTCCCGGTCCGGAGGTTCAAGCTACGTCCCACTGTGACCGTCGAACCATCTGCATCTGCCTCCATAGTGTTCCCCTCAGGCCTCCTCAGGTCTAGGACCTCCGACTCATCCCGCCCCCTCGTCACCGTCTCCGTCAACAACACCTCCCGCTGCCTCTGCATGCTCCCCGAGACCCTTACCCTGGCCCAACGGCTGCTACACCCCCGTGTTCACAGCGTTGCCCTCACGCGTCCGCCTCTATCGCACTCAAGCGGCCCATCCTGGCCTGTCCCATCCACCAGTACCACCTCTTCGGCATCCCGTCCCATCGCACCCAGCGTACGACTCTTACATACCCCATAGACACGACACGTGCGATACCACCTTCACCTCGGGGACATCTACCGTTACGCTTACCACTCCTCTCATTGCTTACTAGACCTACTCTCCTTCGCCGTCCCACGATTTCCTTCCATCTTCCAACTCCCAAGTCATTCTTCCCCGCTGTTTTATGGCCCAGCAATTCACGGGCTTTACTGATTTGAATGAACGCCTTGCAATACTAGGGTTTTATCAATAAGAGCGGTATTTCCGGTGTCATCTGTCCCTTGTCGCCTCATTTTTCAGTACCGATAGCCTCTCAAGGCCTCATGCATAAGGGCCTCTTACTTGTGTTGAAGCTCCACTCTACGAGATTCCTCTACAAGTCCTCACTGGCAGCTCGCTGCACCGTGCTACATATTACCTCCTCACCTTGAAGCACAAGTTTGGCCCGGGGCAAGAAAACTTTCCCCGCTCAACGTATTCGAGGTATCATGCACGTCATGTCCAGCCTTATCTCGAATCAGGGAAACATCCGTTTACGGGCCTCGCTAATTCCCTCATCCTGCTGCGCCGACTCCTTGGATGGCTTCTTCTCCGACTCTGCACGAGGTGGATCGACTGTATCTGCCTTTAGCGATTCCCTACCGAGCGCTACGGACCTCTCGTCTAAACGTGAAGCGAGGTACAGAGGAGACACGACGCACCCTCTATGAGGTCCCGGTACTGCACGAGCGAGGAGGCAGTCCCTGATGCGATGAAGCTGTGCGCCGTCTGGTGCTCCTTCGTTGCGTGAGAGTAGATATTGACGGGAAGCTGCCCTGCAGACAGTCAGTGGAGGTGTTATTCATTCGTGCGGCACTGTACATGTCTACCGTCTGGGGCGACCATGAGGACTGGGGTGTGCGTGACGCTCGAGCCGGTGGTTGAGTGGAAGAGCGCTCTGGTACTAGTAGGCTCAGGCTCAGGCTCGGCGCGGTCGTGGGCTGGCGGAAGAGGGGCGCTAGATGGTCCGTTTGGATCGTCGTTGGCGGATCCGGTGTAGGACATGATTGGTGTAAGTAGGAGAGGAGCGCCCTCAGGATGGAGGAGCTTGAACTGACATCGCGGGAAAAGACACCAGCACGTGTACTCAGGCTTTCTTATAACGTAAATCAAGTGGTGTCGTAAGGATTAAAAAGAGAACGTTCGATGATGTACGCAGGGTGCCATTGTGCGGTGCACGGCTGGATAGAGTTCGACCATAGACGTTCCCTTTGACATCCAGATGTCAGCCTGTACGGCCCATTGGTGAGTAAATAAGCGCCCGTCGTCTTTTCTCACACTCATTCAACCTTGCATCCAAGACTCGAGTCCTCGCTGTACTTCGACCGTCCTCACGCACGTTATGTCGATTCACAGAGTCAAAATGCTGTGTAAATGAATTGCTTGTTCGTATTTCGTCAGTCACCGCTCTTGATTGATTGATTTATTGTGTACTCAAAATTTACTCGACCAGTCTATATTTCTTCATTTGAAAATGGGACTGAGTCTACGCCGTTTAGCAGTTAGTTTGCCAGGAAGAATCGGGATTCTGAACACAGGGTTACGAGAGTTACGAGAGGTGATTCGGGAACTCGGCGGAGGGCCTCCGCCTTTATGTTTCAGCTCGGGCTGGATGGACTCGGAAGAGACGGCCGACGGGCATGGTGAAGGAGAGTGTACAAGAGGTGCCAATAACGCAGGACGCAGGGGGCACTTTGAACGCGGACGTCGGGACTGTCGTCGACGTTGAGGAGAAAGAGAGAACCGGACCTGTGTCCAAATAAGGGGATCATCCGGACCGAGACAGACCCGACCCGTCGCCGAATAGATGAGAATAAGATAAACAAGATGACAGGAGGGATTCACTATCCAGATTGTGAGCTTAGGATGCCCGCAAGAGCGAGAGAGAGGAGGGCTTACCTGCACTGCAGAGATGGTGGTTGATAAGAAAGAAAGAGAGGGGGCGCAGTGCAGGTGTTAACCGTGGTCACACTCACGTGCCATACCGTCACAAGTCTAGCATCCGCCAAAACAATGGCACCAAGCTGCAACGACACGCAAATGGACCAGGGAAGGAGAGAGAGGTAAGAGAGGATATTGATCCGAGAGGCCAGAGGCCTCCGAAATCGCTCCTTTCCCTTGGAACCCGCATTTACGTCGACCGTCTGGCCTCTACCTACAGATACGCCCTGTGCGATACCATCTTCGACGCACCGACGACATCTACGTCAACGATGCCAGGCCTCTACATCTAGGATTCCCCGCGTTACCCTCCTCTCGTCGACGCACTCCCACTGCGAGGAGGATCCGTGAACGCGTTGAGGCTTGATCAACATGCGGGACACAGGATGGAGCTACTAAGAGTATTGTCGAAAGAGGGTGGGAGACTCATCATCCAACTTTGTGGACAAGATCGCGTTCGTAAATCAAAGTGAGTCTCATTCGTGCTCTCGTTGAGCGCCCTTCCTATTGGTCTTTCCCTCGTCCATACGGTACCCTCGTCCTTCGTCAACCTCTTCCCGCCAACTTCTTTCTCTCGAAAATCCTTCTCAATACCCTGACCTCCCTCTTCTCAATTTCTCGATTCCGATTCCGACAACATACTAATGTTCTCCTCCTATCCAGGCAACTTCTTCTACGCTGGTAGTTCGCCGATTGTACATAAGTTGATAAGAACAACGGCCGGGCGGCTGTGCATAGCAATGGGGCGGCTGCGGGATAGGATTACAAGCAGAACGTAAGTTGCTCGTCCCTCGTTTCGCTTTCGTGATATCCCCTTCTCCTCTCTACTCGATCGAGTTTATCTTCCTCGCTTCTTTCGCTGTTCATCCGTTCTTACCCCTTCCTCCTTCCAGGACGGCCCATTCTCACCGAATTCGACGCGTATAGACATGAAGAATGTCTAGCTCGGCACGTCAGCAAGACTCCTGATGCATCATGGTCACGATGTGAGCACTTTCGCTCCGCTCGTGGAGAAGGCAGGGCGAAAAGATCAAAGCCTTATTTCGAAGTGGGCTTGAATAAGACCGTAGGATTGCGTCGTTCGCCCTGGATTTAGGTGGGTTTCTTTCGCGATTTTCGTCAGAGGCCAGATGTCTCCAATTCTTTTCCTCGCCGCATCGCGCCTTCATTCCGCTACTCCGCCTTCCCGAACCTTGCTTCTCACTTCCTACCTACTTAATGCACAATTATCCACCTGTGGTTTTCCTATTCTTTTCTTCTTTTGACTTTTGACTTTGGGGCTTCGTTTCTTGGTTCGCAAGGTCAAAATGTGTTGACATGCTCCACGCTTTGTAGTCGCTCGTACACGTTATGTACAGAGTCGCAAACGCAGGCAGGAGGTCCGGACGTCCGAAGGAAATGAGGATGTAGTGTGTTGACCTTGTTTTGTGATTTGCGCGCGACTGTCACGACCTCACCCGCAATCTTGTACTGCTATCATCGCAGCGCGCCTCGATGCAACCTCCAGGCGTCTCATAATCGTTGATCACCCCCTCTTGCCTGCCCGCCGTCGATTCTCCTCTCATCCTCTCCTCACTCCACCACTTCCGCTGCACGGTTAGGACAACCCGCCTCCCCTCATATCTCTATCTATCCGTTCCATCCTTCTTCCTTGTAGAGGACACCAACTATGAGCAGTCCTTCTCCCTCTCCCAGATCCAGGTTGTCTTCCCGCATGGGCGGCACCGCCCGTCGAACCTCGACTTTGCTGAGCATCGCGAGACTCAGTCCGTCTAAGTCCAGAGCAAATGGGCATGACGAAGGTAGCGAAAATGAAGCTGCATCCCGCAGGCGCACCGTGCCCCGCCCTACACTTCCGAGCCTGTCCGACTTGACAGTCCCCCCTCCAGCTTCTGTCCATGAAGTGCACTTGCCAAGTCCCATAGCTGAGAGTCCTGCTCGCGAGGTGCTAGCCACACAGAAAGACGTTGTCCGCCCAGCGCCTTTATCCCCCACTTGGGCCACAGTAGAGACGGCCCCTGGCCCCGCCCCTGTACGTGCAGAGACTGCTGAAGACAGTCCGGTCGTGTACACCCCGTCTCCAGTTGGCAGCCTGACAGCGGTGTGCAATATTCTTTCTTCGCGTTAACGAAACTCCCATGACCTGCGTGTTTAGGGATCTAGTCGACGTCGTGTCGAAAACGCCCCAGAAGGACGTTCTGAAGTTGGTCCCACTGCGGGTGGAAACCTTGTACCTAGCCCGGCCCCGGTTTGCATTGCTCCCTGTGTTTCATTGGAGAAATGCTCATGGTCTGCATCATAAATTAGAAGGCCAGTCAGTTCAGCGTCCAAGATGTCCCAAATGCACCCTTACTTGTTCCTTCAACGTCTTCACCTAAACCGCCGCCAAAACCCTCGGGAGTGGGTGCGTCCAAGGAAGGAAACAGTCCGTTACCTCAACTTCCTGAGCGCAGCCCCTCGGTGCATTGCTTTTATTGTCTCGTAAGAGAACCACTCACGAGCCTCGTCCATCGTGGATTCAGAGACCCGCGCAACGAGATGTCCAACGCGTCCCAGAAGGACCTTCGGGTGCTCCTTCAACGCTAATTCACGAAGAGCAGCTGGAGCCGCCAACCACTCTTGAGAAAGATCGTTCTCCTCCTCTTGAACGTAGCCCAACAGCGGTTTGCATCATATCCTCCATTTTCTCAGACACGTTGATGACAGAGGCCATTAATCCAGGGGTCTGGTCGACATACCGTCCAATACGACCCAGAAGATCCGGCAAGTTGGCGCCTCCAGTTAGTACCCTCGTCCGACCAGGCACCTATCCCGTACGACGTGAACATGCCTCGCGAAGAAAACACTCCGGCGCCTAATCCTCTTGAGCGCAGTCCGACACCTATTGTTCGCAGTGTTCTTTTCTTCTCATGAGAGAATTGCTTCTGACGCCCGGTTCAGGGTACCAGTGTCCGGGAGGTGACAGGACCCTCGGACGTGTATTCGGCGTCCTCACCCAGACAATCGCCGGTCCCATACGCAGTGAGCCTGTCTAACTCGGAGGAAGGAAATCGTGAAGCTACGCGTCTTCCGCGAGGACCAGCCAAGCTTGCTTACGCTGTGAGTGTGTCTCTTCAAGGGATTGTGCCCATGGTGTGTATCACTTGACCTGAAGGTCCTCCCTCCGTATACCAGAGGGCCAGGCTTCAACATCATTACACTGACCTAAGTCGAATCGGCCCATCTGAATCAGCACGTCGTGAAAAGACGAAATCCTCGTACAAGCAGGCTCGTGTGGAGAATGGACGTGCTCTACACACCGAAGACCAGGTGAGTGTGTTCCATGGATTCTCGCTCCTGTGAGAATGACGACCGCTATTGCAACCAGAACCTCGAAGCTGATGTTTCAGAAAGACGGGAATGCGCGTGCATCACCCCCTGCGGCTCGTTGAGTTGTGTTTTAAGTTGTCGGGCTTGCGTTATTTCGTAGGATCGTAGCTTGTCTTTGCGAGCATTGTGTTTAGGTGCGGTGAAGATTTACCTTTAGAGAATTTGAGACCAAGACCCGGGTGCATCAGATGCGTACCATACTTCTTTCACACCTTTCGCTTGTTTTCGCTGCTGGTCATTTCTGTGCATTTGGCGTCCTCTGGTGTCTGGTAGGAAATGTATCATGTTCATGGCCCCTTCTAAGGCAAACTCACAATCTGTTGGTCTACAGGCAATAGGATATTTGTTTGGCTTCATAATCCAGGAGAAAGAATGCCCCCTCCAATCTGCGTGAGTACGTTATCCCTGAGCCACATCTGGGCGCTTTCCCCCAGAGATATCCCGCTCATCTGTCTCTCGCGATTCACTAGCATGGCTGGATTGCCCTCGAAGAACAGCCATACTTAGTCCTAGTGATAGCCAAGCCGTGAAGTTACTGCGAGGATTTTTTATGATTCAGTAAGCTCCACTTACGTTCGATGTCCTTGAATCCCAAGAGCGAGCCCGCAGTTCCAGAGACGATGAAAGTCCTGTTGGAAACGTAGCCCTCGGTGTTTTCACTGTATATATGCGTCTTTTCGTCTGGGGCGAGAGTCATGGGTGTCAGAAGACGTCCTGCACTAGGCCGAATAATGATCCAACGCACTGTCTGGGGAAATCATCCATATGGGCGCGTCCTCGATTCTGGAGTTCAAGGTCCCAACGAACATTGCCTTCTTGAACTCCACTGGAGAGTCGCTTTCCTGGTGGGCTTGATTTGTTGAACTGCGCGTCTCGCTTGGACTTGGGACACCGTTGAGCGGCTCCATTGCTGGTGCCAGGACAGATTTTGTGGGAAATCTCGATAGCACTGGTAGCAATGTCGTTGAGTGTCATGATGTCTGTAGGCGGCTGCTGCATTTATCGCAATCAAGCCGGTCTCGTAAGAGGGATCTCTCTCATGTCAACGGAGGGAAGGGGATTTGATTTATATTAGTCTTCAGAGTATCCTATACTGGAATCCGAAGAATTTAAGGCCGCAGCTGTGATACCTGCCGGCCCCCTTGCTGCCCCCCGTGTTCGTCCGCGTAGTGTCACACAATCTCAGCAACCTCCAGCGCGCGTAACGAGTGATCTGTCTCCTGACCTGCCCCGTCTATATTAGACAACTGCCCATTTCCGCTGACTGCGAATGTTATAGGAACGGTGATAGATTCTTCATTCATGGACGGCTGAAAAGTGTTGCTTGGGTCCACCGAGTCCGCGCTTCTCCCGAGTTTTGTTCGTCTGTACACGCGACACGCCATCATGTTCATGAGCGCCTCGTTCGGCGCAGCCAACATCGAGCGATAAACGATCGGGACAAAAGGCAATAAGAGGATGAACACCCCAATTAAGTTTGCTGTGACCGTCGTTCTGAAGAGGGATCAGAGGAATACTCTTCCATGTAGGACGCCGCATAGACGCACAAGTAATACACTTGCCCATCCTGTAAGAGTCCTCTTGAAAAGGAAGGGAGGTAATCACCACGGAGGGCCGACCACAGCCGTATTTTCTCAGTACGCTCCCTCGCCTTCCGTGGTGCTCCCCTCATCAATTGCCACGAGATGGCGAGGAACACCAAGGTGTCGTTGATCAAGGGGATAATCACCGCTGCTCCAACATACTTAGGTACGTTGGCCTTGATGCAATATTTCGTCGGACCTATGTTTTCGCCTACGAGACCTTCGATCGTGGGTGTAAGCACCCCGCCAATGACTGCCAACCACATCGAACGGAAGAATATACGCATGGGCTTGTTCCCATCAAATATTGCTAGCACTCGGATGAGGAAGAGGAGGGTAGTAGAGGACCCGGCGATGGCGAATAAACAGGCTGTTACTAGGCTGAGAGTCTGACATGGTATGGCTATGGGCGAGGCTAATCCACCGCGATGCCGCCAACAATCAGTCGAGGCGATCATACATTGACGAACGGTAGCCGGGACGTACGTACTTCGAAAGATTGTCGTCGCGGTGACGAACGCTAGAGACGACCATCTGTATGGGTACCTTGCTTCCACGTTCGGATATATGGCAAGGACTGGATATCCTCTTACCTTGAAAGCCAGTATGCGACCGTCGGAAAATTGAGAGGGTACGTGGATAGAAACGGCAAGTCGATCCGGATGTTGTTCAAAATATCCCAGAGTATCACCTACAGCTCTAAGAACGTCAGCAAGCTCCTCTATGATTAATGAAGATCTAAAAATTGGTGAACACCCACGCCGAGGGTTCCAACGAGCACGTAGGTAGCGATTGTAAGCTGAAATGCAAGATCCGGGGACAGGTAGGCCATGGGCGTCATTGGGTTGATGATCTTGTCAGCAGTGCTGTTCATAATGTTCATACAAGAAGTTTTGCAGAACGCACATGAGATAAGTAAGAGGCTGGGTAAGTGAGACGATTCTTGGAATGGGTAAGCAATTTAAGGAGGGCTCTGTTCGTGGGTGGCAGTCCTCGGGAACCAACAGAGATTGAAGTTAATCATGGCTCTGAATGATTATCTCTTGACATATAAAAAGGTCCGGGCACGCTTCTACTGCTAACCTTCAAGGACTTTGCAAAAGGGACGCCTCTTCCGACTTACAACCTATCTCGTAGCGTATTTCGACCGCTAGGAGGGAGTGATGGAGAGATATCCGCGAACATACCTCACATACCGGAACTAATTGCCATTTACACAAAGGAATAAAAGAAGACTCCTTTCTAAATGAAAGAATTGGTAAGCAGCCTTCAATAATCGTCGAGGCATGGCGGCATCTTAATTTGTACTTGCCCCTATTTTTAGACGCCGGCAGGGTCGATCACGTCGCATTGTCGGCCTAATGAGAAGGCAAGGAAGCTTCAAGACAGGCGGACTCGTTCGCAGACGAGGTATATCTACGCCAACCTTCTAATGTACAAAACCTTTATATTAATATGCCAAAGGGAGGTAGAAACGAGCGACGAGACTTGCGTCAAGGCAAGTCAGGGCATGTCTGGGTCTCTGGAGACAGGAATGCCGACCCACGAAGTTCACTCGGTCAGACAGCAGTGGGAGCCCCGGTGCTCTTCACATAGGTTCTCTCGTCTTCTCGGAAGCGATACTCGTGATGCTCCACAGTCCCAACGACCTCGATCCCCTTAATACCCTCATCTTTCCCGTCGGCCATGTCGTTCGAATTCTGCACTTCATAGCGTTTCGACGTAAATGCGAGCGGAATGATGGGAACATCTTTAGACACGGAGGTTGTGGGGTGGTTGCTGACATTCTTCAGGGCCAGCTTCGTGCGTCGATACACCAGACACGCCATCATGTTCATGAGGATGGCGTTTGGCACCGCGAACATTGCACGATAGACGGCGGGGATGAAGGTGAAGTAGAAGACTACGACGGTCATCAAGTTGGTTGTGACCGTCGTGCTATTCAGACGTCAGAAGCACGTTACAAGGGTAAACTCAGCAGGAGACATACAGATAGTAGGCCTGGCCGTCATGCAACAGTCCTCGCGAAAAAGCGGGCAAGTATTCTCCGCTGAGGAACCCTCGGAGGCCCGGCCCGCGGCTACTCCTCAGCGGTCGTGCGTTCGTGTGCGCATTCCGCATCAGTTTCCATGAAATAGCGAGGAAGACCAACGTGTCGTTTACGAGGGGAATGACCGCAGCCGCGCCGACGTACTCCTCAACGCTCACGTTGATGCAGTACTTCGTCGGCCCGATGTTAGCGCCCTTGAGACCTTGCGTCGGCGTTAGGACACCAGCGACGACCGTGAGCCATAGAGTGCCAAAGAAGACTCGCACGAGGTTGTTCCGGTCGAAGATGGCGAGCAGGCGGAAGAGGAATAGGAGGGAAGTCGTGGGCACGGCGACGGCGAAGAGCCATTCAACGACTTTGCAGAATACTCTGCATGGGATGCCTATGGGTGCGGCTAAAATTGGCCAAAAACCAGTGAGTAATTGGGTAAAAGCATGGGAAGATAGCGGCGACGGACTTTGGTAGATCACCGCAGAGAGAACGAACGCAAGAGATGCCATTCTACATAGAAAAGAAACCTCAGTAAATACCTGGGTCACTTATAGATAGAACGAACAAATAAGGATACCTGGAGAGGGCGTAGACCATGGCTGGCAACCTCACGGGGTATCGGAAGATAAGACGAATATCCTGGCGCGTGTGGCTCAAGATATCCCAGACCAGCACCTTCAGGAGTAGAAAGCGACTCTCATTAGCCTTCGGAACTACATAAAACATGACGCTAACTTACCGCGAGTGTGCCGACATAAACGTATGTTGAGATGGTATACTGGTACGCCAGCTCCGGTGGCAGGAAAGCCATTGGAGTCGAAGGGTTAAAGAGGGGCGGAAGGACAGTTGTGTTGGGGTCCATTGCGAGTGGTCAGAGTATTCTTGAGCACGTAGCACGAACGGGACGCTTAAGAGAAAAGTTGCAGCATGATCGAAAAGTTCAACGAAGCTCGTTATCACCCTACATGTCCTTTCTGGACATTTCTTCGTAGTGAGCTGGGGCACCTAAACAGAAAAGACGTTTGTAAGTTCCAGTTAGAAGGCCCTTCTCGTTCAATTGTGGTTAGCGCAGGATAGACTGCGCTCCAAATATGTCCTGGGCAAGAGCATTACGCGATTAATCCATCCTATTCCCCCTCAAGTTGAATGCCGGAGCTGCACAGCTAGGGTGTCTGAGTGTCGACGCGAGCTTCTGCCGGTCCCGCTCACATAACCTAGCCAGGAACGAGTACGAGGCGGCCAGAGCCTAGATCACTCCAACGTCAGCGTTGGGGGTCTGCGATATCCCGAGCAACGGATAGAAGCTGTTCTCGCGAGCAGTAAAGATGCTGACGGCAAAATCGATAGTCAAGGTGGTAAGTCGCCTATCAAGCTGAGGAGTTGAAAGCAGGGCCGCCTTCGACTGTAATCACTCTGTTGAAAGGATAGGTGCAAAAATAGGGCAGGGTGGAAACGAAGTAGTGGACGGCATGGTGGCTCTTTGCGGCGAAAGACAACTCGGTCCGGTCAAAGCGAGGCTACCATTCTCGTAAGTGGCGAAAGCTGACCGTCGAATGAGAGCAAGTACGAAAAGGACTAGGAGAAGGAGCGGCCAGTCAATGTCAAGACTTCTAGCTCGCCGAAGTTGGAGGGCATGACAAGAAGCATATGTCTTCCTACCGTTACTCGCGGATATTGCATCAGGAATAGTGACGAAATTAACTTCAGGTTTCGATGGTTAGGACATCCAAACATTCGCAAAAAAAATTGGTTGGCTCACTTTCGATGCATCAGCATAGGGTCGCATCCAACGAGAACAGGTATAAACTTCGAGGTGCAACACCATGGCGGCTCTGAAGCAAACCTACGAAATCAGTGTGATTCACTGTCCTACTCTTTGAAACGAGGAGACAACTTCGACTACTAGTCCGTATCTCCGGAAGCACAAGCTGATTCTATGAAGAAAGGCCTCGAGTGAGTTCCTGCAGAAGGCCAGACCGCAGAAAAACAGTAAAAGTTGCCAGCATCGTAGCAACAATCGCCGGCCGTCTGGTTCTTTGGGCGACCTATGAGCCTTCCAGGCCGCGAACACGTCACCCAAATCCAAACACCAGGTATTTCTCTCCCCTCCAACGTGGCTTGTGAACCCCCTAATCAGCCAGGCTTGATGTCATGAGAAAATCACACCGAAAGTGAGAGTCGGATATGCCCACTTAAGCAGCAGTGTAAGGGTTATCATGCCAGCTGAGAAGAAGACTGCGTCAAGATCGTTCTGAAGCTTAGAAAGAACAACTTTGAAGTTGCACAGAATCGTGAAGTGAACATTGCTGGAGGCAAACTTGAAGGTTGAAACTTGAGGATGGTTGATTGATCAGGGGTGGGAGAACCTTCAAGACGGCATTTCGGCACCCGGTTGGCTGTCACCATCTACGAGTCGAAACTCTTTCCATCATCAACAGTCCTGCCAACAATTGCCTAAAAATTGTCTCTTCGTCGCGACAAGTCTCTAGTGCCCTAGAGCTTACCCTTCCCCGCACCATAGAACTCGACAACATTCGCCACATTCTAACAACGAATTCCTGCCTCACGGAACGGCAGTCCCACCTGCGCGTACTTACATTTATAGGGTTCAGGTTGGTTCAGCGCTCGCCATCGGAGGTCCAGGGCGGCGTACAGCGTCCCTATCGACAATTTATGTGTCATTCAAGACGATCAAAAACTGCACATCCGAAATCTGTCAATTTGTCAGGATGCTTCTCGTATGGGGCGTGCCGATATCTCAAGCCACCCATTTATACATCGACGGCTAGTCTGAAGAGCCCCCAGTACCTAGCTCGGAATGTTGGGATTTGAACTCTCACCACCCATCCTCCTGAGTGCAACTGTCCTCTTGGGCACTGTCATCCTTCGCACCATATGGCTTCGCCTTATTCTCAAGAACCAGCTGCCACCTGGACCAAGACGGCTTCCAATTATTGGAAATGCTCTCCAGGTGCCGACGGAGCGGGCCTGGGAGGTCTTCTCTGAATGGAGCAAGCAGTATGGTGCGTCTTTCCTTCCACCGTCACGGTCATTGCTCGCTGACCGATATGACGAACATCGAACAGGAGACCTCATGCATGTCGATGCTATGGGCCAAAACTTCGTTATCATTAGCTCGCCCAAGATCGCTCGGGACCTTCTAGACAAGCGCTCCGCGTTCTACTCTGACCGCCCACATTTCGTGAGTGCCACCAGGGCCCTCAATGCTGGTAAGAAGCTTACCAACCAACTGTAGGTTATGGCGAACGAACTGTGAGCCGTTTCTTGTGTGTCTCCCAACGTGACAGCTGCTGACCACACCATCTCGCCCCGAAGAGCAGGATACGGGGAGTCGTTCGTGTTGCAATCATACAACGATAATTGGAGGAAGCAACGCCGGCTGGTGGCTCAAGACTTCTCTCAGAGCAGCACGCCGCGTTACTATGCCCTTCAAGAGAAGGAGACCCGTATCCTTGTGCGGAACATTGTTGACAACCCGGCTTCCCTTGTTTCTCAAGTCAAGCTGTAGGTTACGTCCCTGTTTCTTGAGGATGAACTAATGACATCATTTCTTCGTGCTCAAAGGACAATTGGGATCATTATTATTCGCGTAACTTATGGATACTACGTGCAGTCCGAGAATGACCGTATCCTCTCGACGTCCCTGCAAGCAGTGGAGAACTTCAGCCATCTGATAACGCCCGGAACCTTCCTGGTCGACCTTTTCCCTCCATGTAAGTACGAGCACTGTTTCATGATTTCCTCGATCGGACAGCTTAACGAGTACGTCTTAGTGAAGTACTTACCTCGCTGGTTACCCGGTACTGGCTTTTTCAAGATAGCGGATGTGTGGCGTAAGACGGTCTTCGATGGCGCCCATGCGCCGTTTGAATGGTGCAAGGCGAATTTGGTGCGTTTGTCTCCACAGATAAGCGACCTCCATGCTAAGCTTTGTCTACATATTCCAGGAAACGGGCAAAACGCTGACACCCAACCTATGCGCCACTATTATCCAAGAGGCGGGTGGAGAGCTACCACAAGACGACCAGGAGAAGCTGATCTGGGGTGCTGGAAGCGTTATGGGTGGTGGGCTGGATACTGTAAGTGCAATTACCACGATGTCCTCTGATACGTTACTTTAATAAAAACTATCCAATAGAACATATCGGCGGCGCTTACTTTCTTCCTCGCTATGATCTTGAACCCATCTGTGCAAGCGAAAGCACAGAGCGAACTCGATGCTGTCGTTGGCACCGATAGACTTCCCGGCATCGCCGATCGTTCAAATCTACCGTACATCAGGGCTATAATAGCTGAGATATTCCGCGCAAGCCCATCGTTGCCACTGAGTACGTGTAAACGTCCAATTCTTCAGTCCGTTCTGTTACACTTGAGCTGACCTGTCGATCGTCGCACTGATACAGGCATCCCTCATGTGGTCCGCCAGGATGACGTTTACGATGGATATTTCATCCCGAAAGGCGCGGTAATTATGCCCAACGTCTGGTATGTTCATATTCTCCCTCTCCCTTCTCCGTTTCACATTCTCTTACCTGAAGGCACATGCTTCATGACCCCGAAGTTTACCCCGACCCGCATTCCTTTAATCCAGACCGCTTCAACGGTTTGGACGCCGCAATGGAAGAAGTCAAAGATCTCGTGTTCGGGTTCGGCCGTCGCGTCTGCCCTGGGCGGTACTTCGCCGAAGGCACGCTGTTCGCAATTATCGCGACGACACTGGCGACATGCAATGTCCTCCCTGGCCTGGACGAACATGGAAGGGAGGTCATGCCGGAGTGGGCGTACACGTCGGGGGATTGTGT